ATTTTTTACCCCCCTCCTCAACAACTCCAACCACCTCCTCTTTCCACGACCCCCCACCGCCAGACAACCTCCACCACCGCACTCGCCGCACTTTTGCGAGCACAACGGTCCGGGTCCCGCCCCCGTAGCCCGCCGCCAGCCCGCCCGGCACCAGCCCCCGGTCACGTGACCCCGGGCCCCCCGCCCTTGGCCTCTACTCCCGCCCGCGTTCGATTCTCTCGGTTGCGGCCATATCTAGCAGAAAGCACCGTTTCCCGTCCGATCAACTGTAGTTAAGCTGCTAAGAGCCTGACCGAGTAGTGTAGTGGGAGACCATACGCGAAACTCAGGTGCTGCAATCCCTTCTTTTTTTCCGCGCGCCGCCGTCATGCGTCACGTGCGCTCGATTTCAAAGTTGCAAACTAGCATTTCTCTTAAACATCTGTTAAGATAAGACGCCAAAGCCGATAAGGATCTAGATATAATCAACGCCGAGTATGATGAGATAAGCTGTCCACACAGGCAATAGATAGTGATAAGATGGGAATAAGGCATTGGAAGATAAAGAAAGATACTATAACGACAAGACATTAAATTAGTAAATTAATATAAAACTAGGAGATATAACCGACGTGATGAGTATAAGTAAAAAAGGTTTATCTTTTGTATTTATGTTTCGAGGTATCGGCTTGTAATTAGGTTATGTTAGTCATATTAAAAGTAAGTAACAAAGATAAGTTAAATTATACCAAAAAGAATGGGTATTCCATTAAGAATAAATAGACCTAAACGATATGATTAAGAAGGTAATTCTTGCCAAAAGTAAAGGTGTCAAAAGAGAAAGTGTTTCCAATAGTGGCGTGGATTTATCTCGAAAGTGTCCAGTTGGGTTGGTGGTACTGGAATAGTTTTACATTATTTTGCCTAAATTTCTCAGTTTCGTGATTGCCAACTTACCAGAGAATTGCAGGAACAAAAACTTTTTGAGCTCGCTGACAACTCGACAAAAATATTCTGCTTCTACAACCAGGTTTTTACTCTTAGAATCTCTCACAGTTGTTGCGTTAGATAGCCTTTATCGATAAAGATTTAGTCAATCAGAGATTACAGATAATGAATAAGAGGTAGGAGGGAAGAGATATTATTTGCATATTAAACAAGTAACTTAAACTAGAAGCAGAAATTAACAAATGATTGCTATGATAGTAGCAGAATCATAGCTTGACCTAGAAATCAGCTCACAAGAATGGCCTGATATCTCTTTAGCTTGTTGGCACACTTATCAATTTTGGAACTCCAGCTAAATTTTCACTAAAAGTAAGGGAGAAGTGTCGCTATCGACCCCTGGGAGCGTGGTTGAAAACTTAACACGGATGCTCCGATAAAAATATGCACAATAAATTTTATGCATGGAAAGACGCAAATTTTTTTAATTAAGCAAGACTTAAAATTTTACCAAAAGTTAAAAAAACCTTTTTTGGTGCGAAACCGTCTATTAGTTTCGGATATCGGCTTCCCTTCCTTATCTAGACAAACTATTTTTTTCTTACTATTTTTTTTGCGCGCTGAAATAAGAAAGTTTTCCGAAATCCGATACGTAAATAAATTTTAAAGTTTTGCTGATTTCAGCGCGGTTGTTTTTTTTGTTTTTTTTTTTTTGGTGGAGAAGAGAAAAAGTAGCTCTGCGGACGATGCCCCACAGCCCTAGCACTCATGATGCAGAAGGTGAATCTTTATGCATTTTTCACTACAAAATCATTGCAGCCCATTTATGGACAGGTTAAAGAATATCGAAACTGATTGCTTCATCGAAGGTCTAAAAAAATTGTATGACGACAATTGAGTGCTCAGAATCTTGTCAACCTTTGGATTATACTCTGATAACCACAGTTGTCGACTAAAACGTGACGACTTTCCCACTTTCTCAACCGAGTAATTTTTCGGCGCATTCCGATGAACTTCAGAAGCGGATACCATCTAAACGCCACAGCTGCTTTTCGGTTTCGAATACATTTATTTGCATGAGCCCAACCGAACACATAGCGATGAATTTTGATCAGTTCCCATGGTCGGCGTGATTAGAGCTTATATGCGATGTTGGCAGAATCACTTTGGTATATAGATACAAACATAAAATGTCGTCTACTAAAAAGCCGAATTTTATGGTAATTGTTGCAGATGATCTTGGCTTCACTGATACATCGGCATTTGGAGGTGAAATCAATACCCCGAATCTTCAAAGACTAGCAGAGAGGGGTTTAAGATTCACTGATTTTCACACCGCTTCTGCATGTTCTCCTACAAGATCAATGCTTTTATCAGGAACAGATAACCATATTGCTGGACTTGGTCAAATGAATGAGTTTGCAGAAAGAATCCCTGAAAGGTTTGGAGGTAAACCCGGCTATGAAGGATACCTAAATTTCAAGGTAGCAGCATTGCCTGAAATTTTGAAAGATTCTGGGTACTACAACTTTATGTCCGGTAAATGGCATTTGGGGCTATCTCCCGAGCACTGGCCCGACAAAAGTGGATTTGAAAAATCCTTCGCATTACTACCTGGTGCTGGAAACCATTTCAAGTACTTTCCAAAGGACAAAAAAGGCGAATACTTAAACTTTTTAAGCCCAATTTTTGAGGAGAATGGAAAAAGATTGGATCCTGAAGTCGATATTCCTGAGGACTACTACAGTACTGATTATTTCACTGACAAGTTTATTGATTTTCTCAGATTGGATGATAGGAAGGAGAGACCATTCTTTGGGTTTTTAACCTACACGGCCCCTCACTGGCCGTATCAAGCACCTGATGAGATTATTGCTAAATACAAGGGGGTGTATGACGATGGTCCTGAAGAGTTGAGGCAACAGCGTTTAACCAGAGCAATAAAACTTGGAATTTTGCCGGAGGGTGTTGAGCCGCATAAGGTTGAAACTCAAAGAGCCAAGGCTTGGAAAGAGTTAAATGATAAAGAAAAAGAAGTGGAGAGTAGGATAATGGAAATTTATGCTGCTATGGTTGAAATTATGGATACCAATATTGGTCGTGTATTGGATGAAATTAAGCATTTAGGGGAAGAAGAAAACACATTTGTTTTGTTCATGTCTGATAATGGTGCTGAAGGAATGATGATGGAAGCGCTATCCACTACTGCAGAAAGATTTCAATATTTTGTTGGTAACTATTACAAGAATGAGTTCCACAATTTAGGGAAAAAAGATTCATTTGTTTGGTATTCAGACCAATGGGCCCAAGCAGCTACAGCACCTTATTATATGTATAAGATGTGGGCTTCTGAAGGTGGTATAAGGTGCCCACTTATTGTCAGCTATCCTGATCTAATCGAGAAAAAAAACGATGGAATAGTCAAGCCTGCTTTTGTCACAGTTATGGATATTCTACCTACTATTCTCAATATTGCAGGAATCGAGCATCCAGCTCCAGTCTTTCAAAATCGTCAGGTTGCATGTGTTAAAGGAACTCCATGGACGAAGTACCTTCAAGGTAAATCTGATCGTGTTCATGACGAAGACAAGGTGACCGGATGGGAATTGTTTGCACAGCAAGCAATAAGAAAAGGTAGGTTTAAGGCTTTGTTCATACCTAAACCTTTAGGTGAAGACAAATGGCAACTTTTTGATTTATCAAAAGATCCGGGTGAAACCAGTGATTTGGCCTTGGTTAAGCCTGACTTACTGAAAGAATTAGTCAATCATTGGTCAGAGTATGTTGCGGAAACAGGCCTTGTTGAATGCGCAGATATTTTCTATGAGACACTTAAAGGAGAATATGAGCCGAGAGTTTTATATTAGAGCAAAATATAGTGAATTGGTTGGACGTTATCTTGATTTGATTACTGAAAAACTCCACGATCGTTTGCAGGCAAATATAGAGCCAAAATTAGTCTACATTTACATCCCTTTTATTGACTATACTATATCATAGCTTTTTCGATAAAACTTCATCGAAATACTCTTGAGGAGTAAGGTTTATATAATGGTCGACTACTTTCAGATTTTCTTCCTCTAGCTCTGGGGACCAATTGTCGTATTCTTTTTGACTCCCTACTGGTCTTTCTGCTAAAGTGGTCAGTCTAAATGCGTGACGGATATCCTCGCTATCCCAGTCAAGGGTCCTAGTGTGTAGCACCCTACGGTTGTCCCAGATAACAACGGTATTTTCATCCCAGCTAAGTCTAACATGAGCATCCAAGCATGAATTTGTATGTTTAAATAAGAACAGCAACAAATTATCACTTTCTTCTGGTTTCAATCCTAATATTCTTCTTGAGAAACCTCTATGAGCAAAAATGCTTTTCTTTTTCAAAACCGGATGATATCTGACTAGTGGGTGAATTGAGTCAATTGGTTCCTTTCTTTCAATACCTCCTTCTTCTCTAGCGGCTGCAGCTTGATCTTTAGATGTATGTATCACCTCCAGTCCATCCAGCTTATCTTTGAGTAAGGGTGATAATCTATTGTAAACCTCAATAGTGTCAATGAATTGAGTGTCACCACCAGACTCTCCTGTTTGAAGCATAGCAAAAAGTGTAATTCCAGGTGGTTGATTTTCGTAGCTGACATCAGTATGCCAACCAACATTGTTCAAGCGATCATTGAAAAAACGTTCATGCTCTTTTTTACTTCCTCTTCTGAATGTCAAGTGAAATTCAGGCTGATCTAAAGGGGCACCTGAGGTAGGGTGCACATGCAATGGACCAAAATAACTTCCCCATTCCTTAATTTCTTCAAAGGATTGATGCTTAAAATCTTGATTTCTGAATGCAACAACTCCGCGTTGTTCGACTAATAGTGCAAGGTCATCTTTCTGCTTATCAGACAACGAACTCAATTGAATTCCATTGACTTCTAACCCCAAATTTGGACTAATTTTCTTAAACACAACACCTTCAATGCTTCTCAAAGATTCAAAGCTTGGGTCCCCGTAAAAACCTCTATCAATGAACTTAAATGGTCTGGGGTTTTGAAAGCCGTGGTTATCTTTCGAATCCCAAGCTGGGGCCCATTTTGGAAATTTGAGATGTTCTTGATCATCTTTTGAAACGGTCAAAACTCCATTAATTTTCTCATCAACACCTTTTTGTGGATGAATAGAACTATCACGATATTTGCGATACAACAACGACATTACTCTGTAGACACTCTATGGTAAACAAAGAAAAACCTTCGAGTAAAAAAAACATGATATTTTGTGGGGGCCTCAGCGGTACTTATAAGAAATTACAAGCCAAAAATAAAGAGCCACATCGTATGTTAATTATCCGAATATAACATAACGATCATTCCAATACGACAGATATTGGTATAAAAACGAAGCATTCTTATCTCTCAGATAAATGGCGAGATTGTCCAAGTCAGACGCCACCACAGTTATTGTCACGTGACTCTAATAGGAACGTTGAACTTAAGACAAGTGACTTTGCCGTGTGTGCACACTACCTCGCCTTTACCACAATCCTGAAAATGAACTCAGGTAAATGAATCAGCTTCATCGCGAGCTCTTTTGAGGTTGAATTGCTTGGAAAGAATGGGCAGACTGATCACTAACAACAAAGCAAGTACCCAAAATGCACCCCTCAACTCGTGGAATATATTAATTATTAGTCCAATCACAAAAGGACCAATAATCGAGCTCGTTTTATCAGTTAGACTGAATATCGAGAAAAACACACTCTCTTTTCCTCTGGGTATGATGATAGAGTATATGCTTCTGCTAACAGTACTCAACCCTCCTAAGCCGATGCCATACCAAACAGCCAGTAAGTACATCTCGTATGCAGAATTTAGTGCTATTATCCCATATATTGGTACGCATAAGCACCAAACAATCAAACCAATCAACACATGTTGTAAATTCCACTGGTAATAGCCTATGATAACATGGGGGATAAGAATAGATCCGATTATGGCGCTGACCATGACCAACACTCCGATTTTGCCCAAAGAAACCATCGGCATATGCAAATTCGTTTTCGCAAAAAGTATTGCAGTCGAATTAATGGTGGTTATAGAGTCTGATAAGACAAACCACCCAAGTAAAAAGAAGTAAATGTCCTTCAAATCTCTGATTCGATAAACTGCGTGCCCAAGGTCATGGTATCCTTTTTTTATCATGGAGGTCAACTTCATGTCTTTATGCCAATTAGCATCACCAGTCGTAATATTGCGTAGGAATAGTGCTATGGGTATTTGCCAGATAAACCACCAAACCCCAATTGAAGCAATAACAATTTTGATACACCAAATCATATCGTTATTAATATTTTTTAGCTGTGTTAAAGATAATAGTGCAGATATCTGGATTAAGAGAGCAGATGTATATCCTGTTGAAGTTCCGATACCGCTAATCTTAGATCCAACCTTGCCCAACTCAGAATCACCCACTAGCATTGTTTCGTCATTGGTTATACTTTCCGTAGTGGAATTTTCTGTGAGAAGTCCCTGCAGAATCTCTTCATCAGCAGGCAAGCTCTGGAAAGGATATTTCTTGATAAGTATTGTTAAGTAAGAATTCATCAAAACATTCACACAACCGAATGCGCAGTTGGCGAGTATCGCCAAAAACGATGCAGCATAATAGTTGTGTGAGCCTATCAACGAATATGCAGCTGTACTCAATCCACCAAAGATTCCAAAAATGATAATTAGCTTTTTCTTATAATTACTGTTATCTGCTATTCCACTAACAGTTAGAACGCATATAGTCTGTAGCAAAACTGAGAATGAAAACGTATATAAAGCATAACTTGATGTGTCAATATAAAAGCTTTTTCCAAAAATTGGTAAAACACAGGTGCCAGTCCCATCTGACATGTTATTCGGTGGTGGGGGGTGAGGAATTGGATTATCATCTGTTGGTTTGTTTATGCATGGAGTCAAATGATCACTAGCCAGCACTCCATTCTCTCTTGCTAGTTGTTCAAGCAAAATCGGAGTGTAAGTCCCTAGTACCGAAACAACGTAAGGCTCAGCAGCTAAGGCAATCAATGCCCAGGCAACAATATCACGCGTTCTAGTCGACATTTTTCAACTCAATCCATCACTTCGTAATGACAATTAAATTACCTACTCTTTACCGAATTGTTTCAAGAGTTGCCAATCCTCTAATTACAAAAGGTGATGATGAGACAGAATGTTGTTTTCATGAAACTCGCACGTTTTGACGCCTCGGCTAAATTTATTCGATTTTATTTACACAGAATTTTTTATTTACTAGTATTACAGTACCAATGCCTTAACTATCCGATTAGCCATCCATATGACGACTAATGCAGCACTCAGTCCACCTAATTGTTCCTTCAGGCTGTGATACTTCACTATCGTCATCAAAAGCATGTTCAACCCAGTTAAAACCACCACTAAAGTTAGTATAATTGGATGAACAATAAACTGTATCCAACTTAGATTCTTGGCGAATAGCTCTTGTACTAAATTGTCTTCACTCGTATACAATTCAATTGATTCCACAATCAATAAAGTGCTGCTCAAAGTAAGCAAGAAAACATGTCCGGAAGGATCGTGCCCTCCCTCCCACGAACCTTTGAGGCGTCTGCAAGTTGCAGACGATACAAAACTAGAAGAAAAACTTTGTCCATTAGTGGTGGACAAAGTATTTTCAAACAAGCTTTTGAGTGTAGCTGGAATGCTTGATTGCTCAATATTGGTACATTGACCGCCAGTCATTAAAAAGATTTTATCCATTAATGGTGGCCCAAAACACCACTGTGTAAATAAAAACCAACAAATCGTAATCAATGAGACACGCATTACGGAAATCAAGAGTGCTTTTCTTTGCAACACTCTTCTCTTCACTTTGTTTAACACCAAATTGGTATAGGTTACCATAGTCCAGAACCATCCTTGTTTTACAAAATACCTGTTCACCAAGTTGCCACTGGAAGTAAAGTAGTTATGTACTGTTTCATCGGGGGAGAACAAACTCATAAGTTGTCCAAGCACAATTATAGCAGGAAAAATGAAAAGGAAGAGTAATTGGTATTCAGATAAGTGTGTTCTTCGGGATACGCTCCCCAGAAAATTGCTAACAAGTGATAAATGCCTAACGACTGGATGTTCCTGCATTTGTCACTTATTTAATATAAAGATCTACCCCGGATAAGCTGGTAAAGAGGTGTAGGGGAGACTTAAACAGAAAGCCTACTTCAATGCAGGCATCTGTGAGACCAACTGTAGAAATGGAGGAAAGGTTAATTATATCTTGGAGTGGCAAAAAAGTAATACGTGTACCATCAAAAAAAATTAAGATTTCAAGTAAAAAAATAAATGCGCAAGCCCGGAATCGAACCGGGGGCTCAACGATGGCAACGTTGAATTTTACCACTAAACCACTTGCGCTCGTACAAGAAAACGTTTACCTCTTCTAATAATCATGTTGGTTTACCACGTGATGTAATGAAAGTTTGACGTATTGTCAACAATTTTGTATATACATAAAATAATGGTAACTGTGACGTTGGCGGTTTTTGTAAATTTAATTAAAAATATAAACCATTTTGAATGAGCTGCTATCACAAAAGAAATACCTAATCTGTATTATAGATCATTATATGTCATAATCTTAAGAACACAATTTTTAGCTACTTAAGGTTGTATAGTGTAGTGGTTATCACTTTCGGTTTTGATCCGAACAACCCCAGTTCGAATCCGGGTACGACCTTTATTTTTTTATTTCTTGAGCGTGGAAAATTCTGAGAAACACACTGCAGTGCTGAGGATAAAACTTATTGGTGAAGTGAAACCTTTCTCGTGACTCACATTTTTGGTGTAACTAGCATGATGCTATACATTATGCCGTACTTTATCCTGAGTTTTTGGCACTAATCTGAAAGAATACATCAGTGAATAAAAGCTGGCAACCAAGACATTCATCATGACAGAATCTCAACCTTCTTTTCGACAACTTTCAGACTACATTGCGAACGACCAGGAATCAAATGTTTTTCCGGTTTATAAGTTTTTGAGTGCTCATTATTTGACTCCACATACAGCTTATTTGAAGTTAGTGGGCGCACAGTCAACGCCAGCTGCATCATTTCTTTTTGAAAGTGCAACTGACGGCGAGCAAGTTTCAAGATACTCATTCATCGGGGCATCACCTCGTAGTATAATTAAAACCGGTCCTACCGAGAGCAACGAAATAGATCCGCTCATTTTATTGGAAGAAAAACTAGCCGGAATCAGACAAGCACAGCTACCTGGTGTGCCAAAGCTAAGTGGTGGTGCCATTGGTTATGTTTCATATGATTGTATCAAATATTTCGAACCTACCACTAAAAATGATAATTTAAAAGATACACTAAAATTACCTGAATCATTTCTAATGCTCTTTGATCTGATTGTTGCATATGACAGTGTTTTCCAGAGATTTCAAATCATTAACAATATTCATGTGGATAGAAAGGTTGATGACGAAAAGTCATTGCAAGAAAAATATGATCAAGCATTGAAGGAAATCGAGGATGTTGCAAAGATTTTGGAATCACCTGAAGTCAAATATCCCGTACAACCTAAGATCAAAGATCCTGAGACTTTTACCTCAAATATCGGTCAGGAAGGATACGAGAATTTTGTTCACGAACTCAAAGAACATATCCAAAAAGGTGACATTATTCAAGCTGTGCCATCACAACGTATAAGTCGTCCTACTAAGCTTCACCCATTCAACATATACAATCATCTCAGAACGGTTAACCCATCTCCTTATATGTTTTACATCGATTACTTAGACTTTCAAATTGTCGGTGCTTCCCCGGAATTGTTGGTCAAATCCGATTCTAATGACAAAGTTATCACACACCCTATTGCAGGTACCATTCGCAGGGGTAAGACAATTGAAGAAGATAACAAGCTGGCCAATGAGCTAAAGTCATCGCTCAAAGATCGCGCTGAACACGTTATGCTCGTCGACTTAGCACGTAACGATATCAACCGTGTTTGTGATCCGAAATCTACTAATGTTGACAGCTTATTGCAAGTTCAAAGATTTTCACATGTTATGCACCTAGTTTCCCAAGTGAGTGGTACACTACGTCCGGAAAAATCTAGATTTGATGCATTCAGATCTATTTTCCCTGCCGGTACTGTTTCGGGTGCCCCTAAAGTCCGGGCTATGCAGCTAATAGGTGAGCTGGAGAAGGAGAAAAGAGGTGTTTATGCTGGAGCAGTGGGCCACTGGAGTTACGATGGTAAGACCATGGACACATGTATTGCTTTACGTACAATGGTTGTTAAGGATGGAGTAGCCTATTTGCAAGCTGGTGGTGGTATTGTTTTTGATAGTGATCCATATGATGAATATATTGAGACGATGAATAAGATGAAGGCAAATAATAACACTATCGTTGAAGCAGAGAAGATGTACATGTAAATTGTTTTTAGTCTCATGCATGTGTCTATAATAGTAAGTAGAAGGAGGTTTTTCAAATCTGTAGAGGTTACGTAATATTTTTTGGATGAGTAAATGTGCCCTCAGTCGTTTCATTTTGCCTGTTCACAATTTGCCACCAGTTTTAAACCCACCAGTGATTTGTGGAGCAACCAGTCGTTAGGAAAGAGAGCTTCTACAGGTGACAGATTGGAATTGAACAATGTCGTCAGAAGAAAGGGCAATGGAAGAGTTTATTGGTATCACAGGCATTGCAAAATCAGTTGCCGAACAGTATTTATCAAGAAATGATTATGATGTTGAGCTTGCAGTAAATGATTACTATAATGTTGAGCATGTGGAACCAGGCTCCGGGCCAAATCCGAACTTGACTGGGAACAAGCCAGCAACACCCAAACCATCTGGACCTGTGTTCAAGTCATTTTCAGATCTGCAGCACAGCAATGACAATGGCCCAGATGACGATAATGATAACGATGACGATATGAACTTTTTCACGGGTGGTCAAAAGTCAGGATTGGCTGTCGAGGACCCAAACAAAAAGAAGTCCGGCAATGGTAGAAAATTGGTTGACGATTTGCTTGAAAAAGCTGAAAAGGAGGCTGGCGAACCTGATTGGCGAGATAACGATAATACAGACGAAGAAAAGGATGTGAAAAAAATGAAAACCTTTAAAGGAACTGGCCATTCTTTAGGTTCCATCGAGAATGCAGTAGATTCCAGAACCATATTGGGTGAAAACTCTTCTCGTGGAGGCTCTAGACCTGAAAAGGTCACCAGAATAATCACATTCTGGAAAGAAGGTTTCAGTATTGATGACGGCGAGTTATATAAATATGATGATCCAAAGAACCAAGAATATTTGAAGCAATTGAATATGGGAAGAGCGCCATTAAGCCTCCTCAATGTACAGATGTTCCAGGATGTTGATGTAAGCGTTGTCAAGAAATTAGAGGAGAGTTATCATGATCATCAGAAAGCAAAGCCACGGGTTTATGGTTTTGAGGGAGAGGGCCAAAGATTAGGGTCTCCTATACCAGGGGAACCTACTACTGTTGACGAAGCACTAGAGAAGTATGGTGTCAATGCTGACCCTGCTGAAAGTGTCGAAGCTGCAGAAGAGCCAGAGGTAGCAAAAGAAGCTGAAGCTGAAGGCGATACTAGTATTCAAATTAGGTTAGCGACAGGAGAAAGATTGGTTCGAAAATTCAATTCCACTGAGAAAGTGGAGACAATTTACGAATACGTTGCTTCGAACGGAGACAGTAGTAGACCATGGGGTTTAGTAACCTCATTTCCTACTCAGCCTCTAGATGATAAGAAGGGTGAAACTATAGCTGGTGCAGGCTTGAAAAACGCTGTGATAATCCAGAGATGGAAGTGAATAACACTACTTCAGACTTTGCAATTTATAGGCTTCTAGTGAGAGTACAGTAAAAAAGCAATATAACATAGCAATTTATTATTATTAATATAGCAACCGTCCGCTCTATCAGGTATCTACAGCTACAATAGTTTTTTTTAAAACCGATGTTGAAATCCCATTATTTATAGAAAAAGAGTAGAATAAATACATTATAAAAATAAGTATCCTTGATTAGTGTAAAATACATGAATTTTTTGATGTTTAGAAGATGTGAAGAATTATTTTTTTGTTTTCGTTATCATAACCAGCATGACATTAATGTTGAATAAACGTCATAAATAGCATAATCAAAGTGATTATCCATTATGGTGAGACACTTATTTAGTACTTTCCTCTGTAGTACTTAGCAGCATCAACCATATTGGTCAAAGAAGCTCTAGTTTCTTCCCAACCTCTGGTCTTCAAACCACAATCTGGGTTGACCCAGAATTTGTCAGCTGGGTAAACCTTCAAGATTTCACCGATTCTAGCGATGAATTCTTCCTTGGAAGGAATTCTTGGGGAGTGAATATCGAACAAACCAAGACCGATATGGTTTGGATAGTTTGAGAATTCTTGAATGTAGTTTGGATCATCCTTCTTTGAGAATTCGATAGAAACAACATCAGCGTCCAAAGCCTTGATGTGGTTTGGATCTAAGTCTGAGTAACAGAAGTGGGAGTGGATTTGAGTAGAGTCTTCAACACCAGAAGTTGCGATTCTGAAAGATTCAGCAGCCCATTGCAAGTAGTCAGATCTTTCAGAACCAGCTCTCAATGGTAAACCTTCTCTGATAGCTGGTTCATCAACTTGAATGACAGTGATACCAGCCTTTTCTAAGTCGTTAACTTCATCTCTCAAAGCAAGGGATAATTGGTAGGATTGGACCTTTTGGGTGACATCATCTCTTGGGAAAGACCATCTCAAGATAGTAACTGGACCAGTTAACATACCCTTCATTGGCTTCTTGGTTAAGGATTGTGCGTAAACAGATTCCTTGACAGTCATAGCAGCTGGTCTGTCAACATCACCAACAATGATAGGTGGTCTAACGTATCTAGAACCGTAAGATTGAACCCAACCGTTGGTGGTGAAAGCAAAACCGTTCAATTTTTCACCGAAATATTGAACCATATCGTTTCTTTCTGGTTCACCATGGACTAAAACGTCCAAACCAATTTCTTCTTGGAATTTAACAACAGTTTCCATTTCAGAGTTGATGAACTTTTCGTATTCTTCAGCAGAGATTTCACCCTTGCTGAACTTGTTTCTGTTGATTCTGATTTCCTTAGTTTGTGGGAAAGAACCAATGGTGGTGGTTGGGAACAATGGCAAGTTGTACTTAGCCTTTTGGGAAACCAATCTGGTTGGGAAGTCAGAGTGTCTCTTAGCCATGGACTCGTCAGCTTGAGCTTCGGAAGTTCTCTTTCTAACTTCTGGGTTGTTGGTGATCTTGGATTCCTTTCTGGACTTGATAGCAGCAGCGTTTTCTTCTAACTTAGCAGAAACGTCTTCACCGGCAATAGCCTTAGTGATGGTGACGACTTCGTCAACCTTTTGGGTGGCGAAGGAAAACCAGTTCTTGATTTCAGCGTCCAACTTCTTTTCGTTGGTCAAGTCAACTGGAGTGTGCAAAAGGGAAGAAGAAGTGGCGACAATGATCTTGTCAGCACCAACCTTGGCGATAGCCTTCTTGACGAAGTCAACGGATTCAGCAAAGTTGTTCTTCCAGATGTTTCTACCATCGACAATACCAACAGACAAGGTCTTCTCACCAATGATGGAGACAACGTCGTCGAATTGTTCTGGGGTTCTGACGAAATCGAAGTGGAAGCCAGAGACTGGCAATTCCTTGATAGCGTCTAAGTTTGGTCTGACATCACCGAAGTAGGTGGTCAAGATCAACTCTGGAAGACCTTCAGCAGCAGCCAACTTGGAGTAAGCGGTTTGGAAAGCAGCCTTGACGTTTTCTGGCAAGTCCAAGACAAGGGTTGGCTCATCGATTTGAACAACCTTGGCACCGGCGTCAGCTAACTTCTTCAAGATGTCAACGTAAAGAGGCAAGAGCTTTTCTAAAAGGGAGATTGGTTCCAGGTCAAGGGAGTCCTTGTCAGCCTTACCCAAGTAAAGGTAGGAGACAGGACCAACAAGAACAGGTCTGGTTTCAATGCCCAAAGCCTTGGCTTCCAAGTATTCGTCGACCGGCTTTTGGCCGTTCAACTTGAAGTTGGTGGACTTGGAGAAAGTTGGTCTGACGTAATGGTAGTTAGCGTCGAACCACTTCACCATCTCCAAAGCTGGAACATCGACAGCCTTGGTGGTCTCGGTGGCCTTTCTTTGCAAACCTCTGGCCATGGCGAAGAAGGTGTCCAAAGAGGACAACTCGTACTTGGTGTATCTGTCTGGGATGACGTTGAAGAGAATGGACAAGTCCAAGACTTGGTCGTAGAAGGAGAAGTCATTGGAAGGAATGATGTCCACACCGGCTTCCTTTTGCAACTTCCAGTTCTTTTCTCTGATGTCCTTACCGACCTTCAACAACTGTTCAGCGTCGATCTTACCGGACCAGTAAGCCTCGGTGTTCTTCTTCAATTCTCTGAAGGCACCGATTCTTGGGAAACCTAAAACAGCGGAGGAGACCATTGTGGATGTATTTTTATTGTATATATGAAAACAACCTGCAGAAGGAAGAAGTCAACAAGAAGGGAAAAGAGACAGAACCAGGAGAACACAACACACCTCCAGAAAAGAAAGCAGCAGAAAAAAAGAGGGATCCAGGTGGAAAACATGAGTAATATATACTACGAAGTCGACGACGACAAGCGTTCGCCGATGGATCTTCTCCGATCACATGGCCGGGCCGTCGCTCGCTGAGTGAAAATTTTTCCTCCACGCCAGCGCAGCCTGTGGCACATGTTTCCTCGCAATTTGCCCGGTGTTTTTCACATGCCTGTCCAGCATGTGCAATTTTCCTTGCCCTCCCTTCTCGTTTACCTCGTACACATCGTATACATAGCGGAAAGGGGCGAGGGCCGCCGCCAGGACGCGGCGGTGCACGGCGGTGTACTCTCGAGCACAAAAGTCCCAAAGCCGGTACCGGACAAAGACGGCAGGAGGGGGGTGGAGACACGTGACATCATGAAAATGGGGGTCCTGGCATCTCTAGTAGAGCCGGAGATCGCCGGTGACCTGGTCCAGCACACTCCGGGGGGCAGGCCCGAGCCCAAGCACGGTCTCGCTGCCGGAGGCAATTTGGGTGCGGCCGGCGTCGACCACGAGGTAGTTGTTGATGTTCAAGCTGACGGCCTTCATGAGCAGTTCCTCGATCTCCTCGAGGCTGCTGCACTTAAGCACGATTTTCGCCTGGCCGCCGTTCGCCCATCTCCTTAGCATTGTTGGGTTATGGCTCTCGCTCTGCGTGTTGTCGTGCATCTGTCTGTACAAGGACACCGCAGCGTGAGCACATTGGGCCGCAGCCTTCCCCTTCAACATCCCCAGGTCACTGCGCACAATCAGGGCCATCCGTACCTCTCCGCCCACGTCGTTGAGGCCCTTGGAATTAACCACGATCTGCGCATCATCGTCGCTGTCGTAATCCTCATCTTCCTCGTCATCCTCGTCAACTTCCTCTTTCATTACTATCTGCTGGTGCTCCTTCGGAGCCCGGACATCTTTCGTCCTCTGCAGCTCGCTCCCAATGTAGAGTCCACCGATGACCCCAACTATACCCGCAAGCAAGACGCTGGTAGCGTTATCCAAGTTACCCATGCTTATCTTTCTGTCCCTTCGGTCGTGTAGTTCTCCAGTGCGTGGTAGTTCAATACTGGCATGTCTTGAAACTTTGCTGAAAAAATGTTATTGCTACGCACCTGACACAGGGTAAGCTCAGCTCCTGATTACGTAACCACCACACAAATAGATCATAAAGATTGACATTAATATGAATATCTATAAAAATCGCCACAAGTTACTCCGAGCCAGATCTCCTATCTGACTACTATCACATCCTCTAATGGATTAACAGAGACAACTTCAGAGCATAGTAATCTATCACCAATCATGGTTTTACTCTTCGAGCTGCTTGAGTCAACTATAATTTCCACCTCGATATCCTTCTCAAACCAGTACCCAATTATTCTTTCCTGGGTGATACTTGTGACAACACACCTCATTAACATGTAACCGTGAATGTTAGTGCCACCACTAACATCTTTTTGAATATTCCTTAGAACCTCAAACCTATTCAACCTGTTGATAAACTCAAGATATCCTTCAGTCTGGGAAAGACATTTATTGTAGTGGCTGTTTGTGACCTTATCCAACTTCAGAGGATCCCAATTTTGTTTATTTCGATCTTCAACCAGTTCAAAAGATTCAATGGCAAGGTACCTGAACAATTGCCACAAATTCAAATGCGTTTCAATATAGTTCAACGATGTAAATGAGGAAAAATGCTTCAACCCCAATGGCGTGTATCCATTTTCATTGGTGATATTTTTGGCAGTGCCCTTTGGGTTGTTGAAAAAATAAGATCCTTCTCCCAAAAACGCCAAACAACTGACATAAGCAGTCAAATCACCAGGATTAGAACTTAGCTGGAAATTGAACGTTTCATAAGAATTAGCATACCACTTGAAAATTTTGAATTTCTTGAAAACTCTATAGTCCACAGAATTTAAAATTCTCTTAGCCACGCTTCGATTTGCAACATTGACACCTTTCTCCGAGCAAAACCTGGATAGGTTTTCATCGATCAACAATTTTAAATTCTCAGTAATCCACCTCTTGTCTCTCAGCATATAGTTTTCATTTTCATTCAAAAGGTTTCCACCACCAACAGTAGTCGAATTATGAGTGTCTGCTGCAGAGTTTGTATTGCTTACATTTTCCAATTTGATATCACTCCCGTCCTCATTAGATTTATTATCAATGAAAAACGTTTTAAAGTTCAAAAAATTTCTATTGCTTTCATCGGAATCGCCAAACGTCTTCAAATAGCCCAAACGAACCCTCGATTTTTCCTTCTCAATAAGCAAATTCATCAGCTTATTCAGAGATAACCAGCAGTCTAATTTCTTTTTGGAGCCTTTCAAACTTGAAGGATTTCTATTTTTAAACCATTCTTCATCAATATTTTCAATCTTCTTGAAAACATCCAATCCAACCTTGATATTTGGGGACGTTAAAGAGTCTGAGTCAATTAGATTATGGTTGAAGGTCAACCTTATGCAGGGTTGGTTTATCCTCAGCGCATGATTGAACTTTTCCAATTTTGGGAACGTTACCACATTATTATCAATTTGGATAGGTTCCTGTACCGTTATATTCTCGTTTGGGGACTGATTGGGAATCGGTATGAAAATGTTAAATCTATAATTGGTCAAAGACTCCTGGCTAACTGAGAATGCAATAGTTTTAGTTAATTTATAAACTGTTCTTCTATTCCGCACCAATGATTTAGGCCAAATTTTCAACTTAGAATCTTGAATCACGTCTAAAAAACTGTTTGAGTAACTTCTATTTGCAAATTTTCCTCCTTCTTTCTTTTCATCACCAACAGGTTTCAGTGGCTTCATTCTCTGTAAAGATTTTGGCAATTCGTGAAAAGATTGCCCTTTGTGATAAGCATATTGTAGCTCGTTAACATTCTTAACAGGTAAAGATAAATCTGTGGGATCGTACATATTCAAGCCGTAGAAACCACTAGAAATCAAAGCGTTCGTATCTTTGTCATAAATGCCAATTTTTACCAAAAATTCAAACAATACTTTTGGAGATAGGGCTGTACTCACATCTATAGGCAATAAAGCTTTCAATTTGTTCACCAACTTTGAATCGGGATACACTATGGAGTATTTGACCATGAGAATCAATCGTTTAAAGTTCTCATCTGTTTTGAGAATATTGTAAATCTGGAATTCATTAGACTTTTTCAAGATCCCAAAATATGATCTGACAATCAAATCGATAGGCTGAGCATATATATTTTCCAGATTTTGGGACAAAAGTATCGGGTTGTAAAAATATTTGGTTGTCACTTGGTTCATTGGGTTTAAAAGATTGAAGATCGAGTTTTTGGACTTTATATACCTGAAATGAATAGGATCATTGTATATTAGAAAATGACAAGAGAGTAAGAGAACGTGAGAGCCCATAGGATTTGTTTTAATGTCTAAGGTATTTCTTAGGGATTTAGAGTAGTCGTACATTCCAATGCTAAACAACGTTAAGTTGAGAGATGACTGATAGTTCATAAAAGCAGATTTTAGGTAGAGAGTTCTGATCAGATCCTTTTTTAGTATGACGTTCACCATTTTAGTAAAGAAGAGGAGGAACACGTTCAACGTATATGTTAGATGCAGCAGATGTTCCACAGGAAGGACAGACTCATCAATTAGCATCGCCTTCATCATCTCACGCCTGATGAACATCGGTATAGTGAATAGTATGTGGTCTGCGTTAATTTCGGTAATTTCTCCGTTTGGTAGTAGCACACGATACGTTGAGACTTTGGAAAGACTGAAGTTCAAGTCGTTCAACACAATCCCAAAACTGTTTGAAAGACTGCTTTCTATATCATCTGTTGTTTTCAAATGTACCAAGGAGCCAGACATAGGCAATAGGTCTACCTTATTATGGGATATGGACTCGAAGTGATGGACTGTGTTTGTGAAGTTCTCACCCTGAATTTTGGTATCCAATATTTTTAGGTTCTGTGTATAGATGGATGATAGACCCGTGGAAGAAAATCCATCCGGAGTGAATATTCGGTCATCACTTTTTGTGAAAGATGAGAAATTTCGGAGATTGGTTCCTTGGAAGTATTGACATGGTAAGAACAGATTGGGTCGATTCTGGAAGTGCCTGGCAAAGGCTGTAGGTGTGTTCTTGATTTTGAAGAACGATCTATGTACAAATGACATTGATCTCATTTGCCACTAATCCACGATGGGTTGGATAGTGTCACAAAAAGAGTGAAATCGGTTTGTACGTGGTAAATGACCGGAAATCCGTAGAGAGGTCCTGTTGAAATTTCAAAGAAAGAGAAACATGTATATGGAACCCCAAGTAGCAAAAAAAGTCTTCTCCCTAGACGGAAGAAAAACATGAAAAAGGTCGATCGGCCCACCGCAGCGGGGGCTCAACGATAAAGAAAAGGCCATCTCTGATACACATGTACGGGGGCAAGAGAGATGGAAAGACCGGCAATCGGCAGAGAGTTACTGGGTGGATAAGGAATAGGAAGGCACAATTGTTTTTTGGCACAGTCTCGTAAGTTGTTTGTCAACCGGGAACGGGGCGAGACCCACTCCGGCAGGTTGGGAAATGTGTTCTCTGTGCAAATATTTGCTTTCCCTGGAAAACCGTGGTGCGTGAGTACGAGAGATGGAAACATCCAAATAGCTTCCTTTCCGGGGTTGCAGCAGACAGTCACTTGGCCAGCTTGGCCTGGGCTTGCACGGCTTTTCGCAAAACACGCACCGAGCCCACTATAGACAGGTCACCCTACTACAACGCCAAAAAAAGGAAAGGGAAGAGGAGACAAGCTAGGAGTTAAAAGGCCAATTTCCTCACTGCAAATTCCTCACGCACCAAAAAAGCCCAGCACGAAAAAAAATGAGAAAAAAAGATAAAATTTTTTTCTTCTTCAATGTGGTGTTTTTTTATCTCGATGCGGTGGCCATTGGCCTGCAGCAACGACAACAACAACTTAACATCGTCTGGCCTTCTTTGCTGAAAACTGCACCGGGTGTTCATCTTCGATTCGGAATCAATACTTTTGCAAAACCAGTACCCATAGATACGTTCCATCACCAACTACGAAACCCCGATAGAACGGTACACCCAACACATTTAAATCCGCCCCTTCCTCAATTGTCTTGTATTCCCACTTTTTTTCCATTCCATTAAGTTAGCTCTACACATCAGGATTCAGCACCGTTTCAATTTGTCTAGCATAATATAATGGGTCAAATTCTTTCTCACCCAAAAACAGAAAAATCTTCAGAAGAAGGTGGTGACCAGTTCGTCGCCTACGGCCTGTCTTGCATGCAAGGCTGGCGTGTGTCCATGGAAGACTCCCATTCGATCATTTTGGATATCAATACATTACTAGAGAAGAACGCCAGTGATAAACAGAATGCATTTTTTGGTGTCTACGATGGTCATGGTGGTGAAAAAGTTGCAATCTTCACTGGTGAACGTTTACCAAAGATTTTAGCCCAGAATTCACTCTACCAGAGTGGTGACTACATACAAGCGTTGAAAGACACCTTCTTGGCAACAGACGTTGCAATTTTAAACGATGATGAGCTATCGAAAGATCCTTCTGGTTGTGCTGCAACATCAACTTTGATCACGCCTGACGCCATCTTTTGTGCCAATGCAGGTGATTCCAGATCTATTCTGTCTATTGACGGTTTGGTCAAGCCTTTGAGTTTTGACCACAAGCCAACTAATGAAGGTGAGAAGAACAGAATTGTTAATGCCGGTGGTTTTGTGGACATGGGTAGAGTCAATGGTAACCTGGCATTATCAAGAGGTATTGGTGACTTCGAATTCAAAGATTCCAAAATCTTACCACCTGAAGAGCAAGCTGTTACTGCTTTACCAGATGTCTTAGAACACAAACTAAACACTCTTTCTGATGAATTCATAGTTTTGGCATGTGATGGTATCTGGGACTGTTTAACCTCCCAACAAGTTGTGGATTTTGTCAGAAGATACGTCAAAGAAAACAAAACTTTGACCGAAATATGTGAGTTGATGATGAACACATGTTTAGCACCAACTTCTGGAGGTTCAGGTATTGGTTGTGATAACATGTCTGTATGTATAGTTGCATTACTCCATGAGAAGGAGAGTTTAGACCAATGGTATGCTAGAATTTCAAACAAAATTTCGGACGAAGATTTGAAAAAGTTACCAACTGCGGACGAATTGTCGAATGATTTGTACAAAGTTGACTTAGAAACAAAATTGTCAGACACTAAGGATGAGGATTCGATAAACGGCAAGATTGGTGGATTGAGATCAACTACTAAAGATGTTCATGATGACCACGACGAGGATGAAGACGATGACGATGTTTTGAAAGGTGGTGCGCCAGCTTTCCTACAACAATTACTGGCTGCATCCTCTGCATCCCGTAACAACAATGTCATTTATTTGGACCCATCTGCAACATCGATCTTACAATCTTTAGGTGTGATGGAAGAAGACGGTGAAGTCAATTCGGAAAATAATGATGCAGATGACGACGCTAAAATAAAGGATATTTCAGAGGAAACAACAGAGGAAAATGGAGCCGAAGCAAATTAGAGATAACCATTTAAATTTTTGCCTATTTTTTTTTCATCTGATCTTGTAATTCAACGAGCGGCGTTGATAATGAAATTGATGTATCTTTGTCCCCTTTTTTATTTCCCCCCCACCTCTCTTCTCAGATTATTTCCATCACGTTTTGCTTCTATTCTAATATATTCCTTCAAACATTTGTGGAAGAAGAATGAAAATCATACTCAAAAATAAACTGATTTCGTTTGGACCTTTTCTAAATTCAGAGTGACATGCATCTTTGTTTTAAATTTTTCCTTCTTTGTTGATCTTTGCACATAATTTATTCACCAGTCGGTATCTACTACAAGTTCAAAGTACTTTTTTTTTACAATTTTTTTCTCGATCCACCCCCTCTGCTTATCTTGATAATGATTTCCACTATTAACGATGTTTTCTTTTAGTCAATTTTTCTTACCTCCTTTTTTTTCCATTTGATTTTTTTTTCTTCAATATACTTATTTCTAATTTTTAAATTTTCTCCTTCTCACTACTATGTATCTATATCCTTATATCTTTATATATATATAATTTTTATTATATCATTACCATCATCAATGTGGCCTGAAAAACTAGAGTTTGCTAGCCAAAAACCTGCTTGCTATTGCGATATGCAGAATCTATGATCTTTTGAGGATCCTCCGTCCTCACCTTGGAGATCACCAAGGCCACTAAACCTATTAAACAAGGTTCGTTTCTTGATTTGATGAGGGGGGAATCTTCAAAAATGTGACTATACTTAAATTTATCAAACTTGTCACTCTTGACGGTTGGTATGGGCAAAAAGTCAAACAGGGTCAAATTTGTATTGTTTGAATTTTTCTTGTTTTTAGCAGAGTTTTTCATCAACCCCTGAACTTCGGGACTTTGCATCACAGTTTCGTAATTCTCATAATCACAAGGATAAAATGAATTGGGGGAGGTGGAGAGATATTTCCAAGAGGGGTGTGTTTTCTTTATCTCACACCATGGGGAATCTGTCTCTATCATCAATCTGTCCAATGGAATCAAAGGTAGTACCTCAAGGGTCGAGGTATCTCGCAAACCTGCCCCATTGATGCTAATAAATACTTTGTAGCCATGTGGATTCGACTTCTCCAGCTGGAGTAGTTGCTCTAGCTGCATTTTATCACCGGTGAATGAATGAACCAACAAGTTTTTGTTCTTCAAGAGATTGTTATCGAGAAAAGGCTTTAACGTCCTGATGAAATCATCACAGGCTGACCTCATGTGCAAAAACAATGGTAAGTCAAACTTAGCCGCCAGCCGTAGTTGTTTTTCGAAGTAGACTAGTTGTTTTTCCATCGGCGTGTAGTGCAGACGATCATAATCTAGGCCAATCTCGCCAAATGCCCGGACAACATCGGCTTCAATGCCCTCGCTGACCAGATTCTCCAGATCTTGTAAATGCTGCTCTACCGAGCCTGCGCTCTCAAATTCCAACACTGTACACGGATGGACCCCGACGGTCGAATACAAGTTTGGAAGTTTCAAAGTCTTGTCATTTGTCACTTGCTGTTTTAGCGAATTGATGATTTCGATGGTACGCTTGGATTCGTCGAGAGATGAGCCTGTCAGCAAGATATCCACTACATGATGTCGAGCGGCCTTCTTCAAGACATCCAGCGTGTCATTTCTGTGATGTTGCCGACCGTGATAGCTCCCGCTGAACATCGAATCTGTTATATTGACCCCCACATCGTAGTATTTCGGCACGTAGGATTCGAACTTCGACGAGATACTGGCGTTAGACATTTTTCTGGTCAAAGATCGCCTGAGCATTTATAGAGCAATGCTGTTTTTCGGATCAAGTTTCCTCAATAAATGGACCTCACATATCTATGCAGCTGATGCAGTTGTATGGGGGAAGTACCTCTGACACATGAACGAGTAAGTCAATTTTCCAACATATTACGTAATCACAAAGTCACGTGTTTTTTCTCCTGTATGTGCCGATGGCACTAGCGAGTTTTCTCAACTACGTGAGCCGCAGCTCGAAAAGCGGAGGGACAAAAATATACGTGAAGGAGACAGGATCGCCGTTCGTGATGCTTATTTAGGAAGACTGCAGCAATAACAAGAAATAAAGTTGGTCTTTGTTCTGCTTTCCTTTTTTTTCCTTCCTCCTTATAGGCGTCCGAGGTGCCCGCTAGTAGTTCTCCTCTCTCCATAGTACGGATGCACTAAAATCATGCTTTCTGCGACCCAGGCGTATACTGCGCCTGAAGGGAGGCGCAAACGTCTCACTTCCTGACCCGTTTCGTGGGGCTTACATAACGCGCATGTTTTTCACTTGCCATGGTAAAAAGCTGGCCGCTGTCCATCCACAAGCACGCAATGGCCACATCCGCATTTGCCTCATCCTCTACAGGCTGGTGTCGTTATCTGCGCTTATCTTACAAATGAGTCTCGGTGTCCCGCACATGGGCCCGGCGCTTGCCTCGTAAACCTCACGCTGCCATCGCTTCGGCCGTTGCGACCGCCCTGCCTCGACGCCCCCACCCATGCAGCGGCCCGAGGCACGGCTGGAGGTTGTCAAAGTGCAACGCAGTCAGGCTTCGGCCGGCTTCGCATCCTGGGCCTCGCTGTCGGCATTTCCGAAGCAGGACCCAAGGGCGGCGGAGCTGAGCGCATTAAGGAAAAAGACGTTGCTGTACAACAGCGCGGCGGGTGCGCAGAGCTGATGCGATGCTATGTGATGTGCTGTGGTTGGCCAGCGGCTGCGCTGGTTGCCGCTGCTAACCTTCAGGGTGAGCAGGGTAATCAGATCCGCCGGGGGAGCCGACGGCCAGCCTGCCGGCCAACCGGCAGACCGGCCAACCGGCAGACCGGCCGGGGCACTGCAGTCACAGACACAGTTGCAAGCGCAGTCATAGCGACCGCGAAAGGGAAAAGGAGCAGAGACACAGCAGCTTTTGCGATCGCGATAGCGTATAGAGCCGGGGAAAGGGGGGTGTCGGTTGCGTAGGGCTTCCCCTGTAATCGGTTACGGGCCCAGTTGATAGAAACTCGGTGCCATGCTTATGTTGGTCTTGGTGTTGTTGTGCTATTACAAAAGAGCGTGAGGGCGTGAGCAGGAATTGGAATAGAGATGTATTGCAGCGTAGAGTATAAAGTGTATAGAACAAAGGAGCACTGCTTTTGTCGAAAAAGCGTCGGTTGCTCCCTCGGCAGAACCCGTAGCCAAAGTCGAAATTGATAGAGAAACCGAATCAGGTGAACCAAAGCTTTATGGAAAAGGAAGAACCTAAAAAGTTGGGCCAAACGGAGGCGCAACAAATTAAGATAACGAAGAAAAAGGGATATAGAAGTAATAGTAAAGCAGACGGAGTAGACCAGGCAAAATTTGGAGAATTCTTGTCAAGAAGCCTTATCGGTTGAGGAGAGAGTAAACTTTTGAGAGAGAGGGAAGTCTTTCATTGTTTGCAAAGTTGCACACCGTTGGTGAGGAGGAGGGAGTAACCGGGTTTAGTTTGAAGGGATAGAGGTTATTTTGGTGGACGGAAGAACCGATAGAGTCCGGAAAGGTCGACTTGGAGGCGAGGGAAGGGTATATTGGGTATTGGTGTGGAAAACTCTGGTGATGGTGGGGAATGTATTGATGGCTATGCTTGTGGTCAGCTGCTATGTGAGAATTGTTGGCGAAAGAGGAGGCTGAAAAATTGCTTGAAAAACTTGATGCTCTGGTTGGAGTTGGGATGTTGGACAGCTCAGAATCCGACTCCACGCTTGAAGTGGAGCTGAAGTTGGCACTGCACTCTGAGATGTTGTCTGTAAGTAGTGATGATATACTCAGCTTCTTTCTTTCAAGGAAATTTATTCTGTCTTGGATTTCGATTGCAGACTTGCTTGGGAGAAGAATCGACAACTCGATAACCGATAGCTTTTTGGTGATCCTTGACCGCACTAGGTTGTCTTCCTCTGTAGTCCAAAGGACAATGGTGCTTCCGGAACTGGTCCTTTGCAGCGGTATTCTGGCGGCAAGGTTTGTTTTTGGCTCGTCTACAGGTGTGTACTCTGCGTCACTCCGGTCTGTGAATCTCTTGGCTTTGGTCATCTTTTTCAACTGTCCGGATTTAAGGCGGCGCCATCTGAACTGACATGCGTTGGAGGTTCTGTTGTCGAAGTATCTCGCGATCTGCTTCCAGCCGAGATGTTCTCTCTCTTTTAGCTGGATCAACAGTCTGTCGTCATCGTCATCCCACGACTGTGGAGATGGTTTCTGCTTGGCGTCTGGGGAGTTCATCGGGATTATAGGGCCTTGCTACTGTTTTTGGTTTTGATGCGGAAACGATATTGGGCCTGTCCAGCGAAGGCTTTCTTAACGGAGCTGTGGAGGTATGCAAAAGCGTGAACTAGACCTAGAGAAGGGACGGGACGGAAAAAGAAGCGAAGGAGGGAGACGCAGAAGCAGAGGAGCGAAGAGAAGGAAGAACGGGCTGCAGCAGGAGCAGACCACGGAAGAAGAGCCAGGGAGGATAGAAGCAGAGATAACGAGGAGTGAGGATGTATTTATAAGTCCTGGGTAAAGATAAGTCGGGAGACGGCTGGGCCGCCGATGGGTGCATCGACGGGAACGCATACGCACACCCGTGGAAAATGCTACGCAAGAAAAGGATACCGAAGGAATGCACCGATTATGCAAGACAATTAGGGAAAGAAGGGTGTAATTTCACAGACAATGCACGCATGCAAAAACCGTGCCAGCTAGGATCCAATTTATCGGGGCCAAGCACTATAATGGCCGCAGCACTTTGCTCTGCTAGAGAGTAGACCCACGCCTGCATGCATGCCTGAACCCATGCATGGGGGGGGGGCATCGACTTGACAGTTTCCCCGTAACGACCTCACGCACACAGGGATGCAGGGAAACTAAACCCCTCGTTCCCGCTGCCATGTGCGTGGCAACGACCCCCGTTGTGTTGCACGCTCCCTGATTCTTCGCAAACTGCGTCCCCTCTCCCGCCACCTGCGGGTGACGTATTTGCACGCTTCTGCCACACTTTGCGGCAGCATCTTCCTACTCGCCCTCCGCCCCCCATTCCCGCCCGCATTTCCAATGTCCCCCACCCACGCCGGCCCACGCCCACAGCCACACGCACTAGATCCACAGCGACATCCACACCCACACCCAGATCCTGCCGAGATCCGACATCCGACAGCCGGCGCTCCCTGCCCGGGGCCGCCGATCAGCGGAACCACCCCCCCATCGCCATCCAGTCCATTCTTGCCGCAACACTGGCCGGCACGTTCCGACGGCCGCCTCTGCTGCTTGCACGTATCTTCCGACGGTGCGCCTGCTGCCCCTCTTAGCCACCCCGGAGCTGTCCACCACCGTCCCGACGGCCCTGCTATGCTCGCGCTGCCCTTATCCGCCGGAAATGGCGGTGGTGCCTAGCTCTGTCGCCTTTGCAGTGGAGAGTGAGGCCCGCATCGCAACGTTTTCGCACCGGGTGGGTGGCGGCGGAGGGCGCCGGGGCGGCAAGCAGCGGGATCCCCGATGAGCTGAGCTGAGCACGGCTGCGGCCTTAAGAGACAGGAGGGCGAGCGGTGTTGTCGCCGTGCTTTCTCGTCTGGCGGCGGTTTTTCCTGTTTGGTCGTTTGTGGAGTCGCCTTGGCTGTGCGAGGGGGTCGATGGTTGCGGGGGATGAGCGTGTTCTCAGTGTTTGGGCGTGGCCTGCCTTCTCGAGCCAGGTTCTGTGGAAGCTACAAGACCAGGCTCGACGGCAATTAGGCAGACACATCGCTCGATAGTGTGGATCGAAAATCCGCACACTCTAGATCTCTCACGTAGACTGATACACCCATATTCATGCGTGCGGAGGATGCGTCCTTGCTGTATTAGGAAATACCACAAAGGGAGTGGAAGCGATAGGGCTGATTTCCCGCTTCGCACCCTCTAGCTGCACTTCCTGCCTCCCTAGCTTTTCTGCCGCACCGGCAGAAGCTTCCTTATCTTCCTCCAGCCAAGAACATCTCAAGAGCGACATCGACGCTCTAACTGCTCTTTGCACACTCTACTTGCTTTTTAGGTCTGCCTGCTGGCACATCTATTCTTTGCCACTTCGCTCCAGACCTCATGCCTGCTCTCTTAGTTTCGCCTCGTGCAAACAAGCCTCGTGCAACACCCGCTGCTCGATTTAGGCTGCACTGCAGGCCAACCGCCTTCCTCATTCTTCAGTGTCTGGTTTTTCCGGAGCCCATTACCCGACGGCCGCTGTCGCCGCCTGCGCTTATATCCCGATCGGTAGATTCGAGCGCCTCAGATAAGCAGGCGGTGAACGCGAGCCTTCTTCCCCGAAGCGTGTTTCTCCCTCTACACCCTTTCTCCCTGCCTTTTCCCTGGGCTGCAGTTCTCATGTCCTCTTCCTTTCCCGTTCACACAGTTTTTCCTGGAAGTTTCACATGCTAACCTACCAGCCAGGATTTCTGCCTGTCGACAGTCGACGATCGGTAGTATATGCTGTCCGTTCCTCCCATTGGCCCCGACGGATATGCATATACATGCACAGTATTTCCTGTGTCTCCCTTTCAATATGCCGCTGTAATTGATGGCAGGAGCTTACGCAGCAGTGGCGTCGAAGAGTGTAACGGAAAGGTTGTTGGTGTCTGTAAGTCATCTGGTAACAACCCCAACAAGCGGCAGTTTTACGGATTGTAGCAAGAAATCCCACGAGAATGCGAGATCGGTTTGAAATAGGCCGTCGTCTACAGTAAACTGAGGCGCCAGACCAGTTCTGCCTTTGACCATCGTTCACTTTTGGTCAAAAGTTACAGATCGAGTTTTTCTTTTGCGTATGCATTTTGCCTTTGCTTACATGTCTTTTTTACAAAATTTATAAACCGAGTTTTTCCTCAACTCTGTCCCTGAACATATCTGGTATCAAAACGACACCAGATTTACCTAGAGATAGATAACTCATCTCGTCGATGTCCATTCTCAACAACTTCGATGCCATGCCCGCCACTATACCCTTTAAATCCAGTGGTAACTTTTTCAAATCTATAAATATTGGATAGTAATAATCCTGTAATGATCCCATTATATTGTTTTTGGAAAACTTCAGCTTGTTCAGCTCAGTGTTGTCATACGGTAACAACAAGCCAATCTCCTCAGTTGGTGTTCTCGTGATCGCAAAATATTCGGGAAACGATTTGCCGCCGCTTTTGAGGTTCTCCGTGTTCAGTCGGGAAACAGATTCTGCCGTTTGTTTAAGTACTTCAGCATAGTCACCGCTTCTTGCTCCTGTCAATAAAAGCTGTATGTCTGTGCCGAGTTTAGGTTTGATGTTGTTATTCTCAAATAGCTCAAATGTTTTTAACTCCAAATCATTACTATATGAATTGGCTCTAGTTTCATCGAGTCCATTCTGAGTTTCTTCAAGAATTTTTAGAGCCTTCACCTTATCCTTTATGGGCACCAACACAAGATCAGAGAAATAGTTCGAAATGAAAAATAGAGATATATTGTTCAACGATAAGGGCTGTGTTAGTTCGAGTATCTTCTTACCGATGTTAGATCCATCGCTGAAAACTTGCATGATGAAAAATTCATCACTTATCAGCGTGGATTCAGGGTCCATCTTCATTGCTTTACTTAGGTATCTTTTCATCAATTTCGTGCTACACATTATCGTAACTTCTTCTCTAGTAAATGCTAAGTGAAAGAAAAGACCATCGTCTTCAATCTCCGAGTTAATGTCTCCATTGTCTAAACTTTCACTCTCTTCTTCGTTGATCATATGTGCAGAATTTGATAGTTGATATCCTTGCTCATATACGTTTTTCACAGAATTGGAGGTATAACTCTCGTCATAGGACCTGTCAGAAGTCGACGATATCGATGAAACATCATTATCTGAGTATTGCGAGTTAGCTCTGTTTTCGTAGGCATCAACCAATCGATACAATATTTCCAATGTTCCAGATTTAAATATCCAAAAGTTCTCCCTGGGTATTGTGAGAATTGATATTTTACTCTTGAAGAGTTGTGTTTCAGTTGAGTCGATCATAATGATAAACTTTTTGTGCTTATTGTTTCTTCTCTAATCGATGTAGATCGGAAAGAAACTAATAACTTCTAAAATCTTTCAGAGAATGATGATTGGCAATTCGGGCAAAAAAGCAAACTCTTTATCTTTTATCAGGCTTTATCTCAAGCAATGAATCATCCATACTAGATATGTATAGGAATCTCGTATGAGTCAGGACTAGTTTTGCATCTGTTAGCTGCATTTTTTCTCCTCTACTCTGGGCACAGCCCCAGATGACTCAGTCCTCAGAACGTAAGAGGTGAAAAAATGAAAAAATTGAAAGAAATGAGAAAACAGATGAGATGTGATTACGTAAACAAGTTTTAGGCTTGAAACCGTTGTCCGACATAACTGATAGTTCTCCGAGAGGTCTCAAGCTCTGAGGTCGTGTGATCTATCAGCAAATCATGTTTGTTTCAGACGTTGCAAAAATCCAGTAGATACTAGCTAGCATTATATAAGGGCTGTAGTTTGACTTTGTCACTTTTTAAAGCTGCTTTGTAAAAGAAGGAAGAAGGACAAACTCCATGTCATGCCCGGAAATGTAATTCTGAGATAGGCGGCCACGTACACTTCCTTCCCACATTAAAGCTCTGTCAGCATGAAATTCAATGTGCTTGAATTTCTACATTTTCACCGCCGGGATAAGGTTCCCAAGGTTCCCAAGTCCCCTAAGGTCTCCAAAATCCCAAAAGATAAATCGTCCTTTTTCAAGGGTAAGGAAATTAAACACAAAGACAAGGAGATCGAGCACATAAATCCGTTTTCTGAATCGGACTCTTCTGCAACTCAAGCTGAGAAGAACCCTTCCAAAAAAAACCAAAACTCAGATACGAATATCATGAGAAAGTCAAAATCCTTCAATGACCTCAAACAAAACGTTTTCACCTCACTTAGGAGAAGCACCTCGTATCAAAGGTTGTCAAAAAATTTAAACCTCAGTTACACAAATCTAAGGACTCCGCTAGCTACTCTAGAAGAAAACAAGTTGGATTTAGAAGATTCTCACTCACTCATAAGACAACAAGAACCGCGTAGTACTATTCTTACAGAGCCTTCCTTAGCTGTCACTAAAGAGGAGGAAATGAAGTTTGATTTTGCGACCGAAGGGAATACAACAAATGAAACATATACGAGCATGTTTAACAGCATATATGCAGACTACTATCTTGATTCCGATTCTGAAAGTATTCAATCATCTGCCATTTCTGATAAAAAGGTTGTTCCACCAAGCGAGTATTTACTTTCGTCATCTGGAACACCAAATTACAACATTGTACCTCAAATATTACCACCATTTCCTTCTTTTGTTGCAGACAATCCATTTGCCGACTTTGAGGAGTACAATCAACTACCACATGAGAAACTTTTGTTACGAGCTTCGCAAATTCATGGTTTATCTCCTACTTGCTCACTTTCTTCTGCTATCAAAAGTTACAGGAGGAGTTTGTATTGCGAAAGTGATGATAATGACATATCTAACAATGATGATGATCTTATCTTCTATAGCAACGAGAAAAAAAGCATAGTACCTTTTCCTCAAACTAGAATACCACAGTCACCATTACCAGCGTTGCCACAGCCTTCTCCATTATTCTCAACTCCCTGTAGATCAACCAAAGGTTATGATTTGGTGCTTCCTAATATAAAGCGTGAAGAAGTCACAGATTTGGAAGATAAGAGCCTGTTTGATGCTTTGAGTAAGGCTGAATGGTGGGACTGTTCCAAAATAACATTGGTATCTTATAATGATTAGATCGTCTTGTGTAATTTTTTTATAATACATACATTTATACAATTTCAAATTTCTACATCGCTAGGTTCCAATCCTGCGTTATAATCCCCTTCATCATCATCATCGTCATCATCATCATATCCCCCCTCATCATTTTCATCATAATCTCCATCTTCTGAAACGTCATCTTTATCATCACCATTGTCTATATCAGCACCTACTCCATCTGATAATTCTTCATAAACGATCTCATTAGTTTCAGTTATACCACTTTGTTTTTTAGTCATACCATATACTTTTTCTTTGATAATGGGATCTATAAATTTCATTCCTGGGTAAGTGATCCTGGCTTTGGAAAAAGTAAATTCATTTTTTTCTTGTGATGTAAGTTCATTGTTTTCAGAATTTTGTTGTATTATTTTTTCAAGAAACTGGTCTTCAATATCACGATCATCTTCCAAATCATCTTTTAAAAAGTTAACAATCACCGAAACATTTTTCATCAGTTGTCCTTCATATGAAGCGGTATCAGATGACGCATTGTTATGATCTGCAATGACCATAGTAGAGTTAGTATTTATACCCCCTGATGGCCCCAATATAATGGGTTTCCAGATCAAATAGTCGCCGTTTAGTTTTACGGAACTTTTCCGTTTCCATGTTGTGTAAAGAGTTTTAACCAAGCTTGGACTAAAAATCAATGCAAACTTATTCTGGGAGTTTCTTTCGTAGGTGATTAGAGAATTTAATTGCTCTAATGCAACAATCACATCGTCATGTAACATTCCAGTGAGATTGGATAGATCATCGATTGAAACCGAAAAAACTTTCAAATGAGGATCTTTAATGTCAGTATCAGTTTTTTTGAAAATCAACTGCTCCTCGTTATTGAAAAGTAGTTTGTAGACTTCTCTGATGACAGAAAGCTTCCAGTAACTTCTATAGCTGAGTAAACCCAAATCACTTAGCGGCTTTTCTGGAGTTCCTAACTTGAATTCTCTTTTTGACAAGAGGTAGCTAAAGTCTATTAAAAAGTTCCCAAATCCACGTCGCTGATAAATAGGTAAGGTCATAATACATGAAAGATTGTAGCCGGTGGAATTTAATTTTTCTTTTGAAAAGTAGCCGACAAACTTAAAGCTCGAATTATTTGAATAATCATATAGCACATAAAACATGAAAGGCTCAACATCGTAATAGAGAGTTTTCGAGTTGAGAAACAATTTTGCAAGTAAACATAGGTTTTGACAAAATATGACATTTTTCCTACCATCAATTTCGAAAACCGATATTTTTTCATCTTCATCTCTATATATTTCTCTACCTGCCGGTTGGAAATTGAATGAGCATTTCAGTAAATGTCGATTGAGAGTGAAAGAAGAATCATAATATGATAAGCAATGCGGACAGATGAACATTATTGGATTTGAGGTGTACTGTGAAGGATATGGGGATTTATACCACGTGTCGATTTCATAATCATCGAAATGTATCACTTTTAGTTTGTTTTTCGAATTCGGAGTTTCCTGTGGGGTAGATTGTAGATTGGTCGTAATCAAGTTCCTATGATTTTTCGTGTTTTTCAATAAAGATGATTTGTAAACCAATGTATTAAAGAGTTTTTTGAAATTTGGGTCAGGATATGTGTCAAAGGTATTTGCTTCTGAGAAATCAAATAATCCTCTATATGGTAGTTCAAGTAGAACAGATTCGACCTGAGGGTAGACATGACGTTTTTTGTGGGAAGAATGAGAGGAGTGACTTGGCTTGGGTGACTTCTTTTTCTTTTTCGATTCGGGAGGCTGGGCTTCGTCGATTGAAGTGTCTGATGCCAGATAAACACTACTGTTTGCCGCTCTCACCGTGTCAGAGTCGGGGTCTCTTTCTCTCGAATGGTGGTGGTTGCGGGTGTGAGTGTTGCCATTGGTGCTAGCGGAACCTTGGTTTTTGCTTCGTGACCTTGACGTTCGTTGAAGCATCACACTTGCTTAGCTCAAGAATAAACCCTGATTTTCCGAGGAATGGATGTGAGGTGAGTGATAAACACGGTTCATGCGTTTTTTTGATGTCTGAAGTCGGCCAAAGGAACGGTGACATCAGAAAAAATACAAAAAATGCGAAAATAAGAAAATGAAAGACCGAAAAAAGAAGAACTCTTCAACTGCAGACGGTGTTCCACGAAGGTGGTGTAGGTCCTTCCGGGTTTTCAGGCTCCTGACACAAGCGACACGTCAGAGAGGGATGCAGCTGAAGAAGGAAATGAAAATGGGTTTCAAGTACTCGATAAGGCGATCACGGCCTGCTGAGATCTACAGATACTCACTTTTTGGCAACTCTTTGCGCTTCGACTACACGGGGTTCAAGCCTTACCGGCTAAATGAGGCGTTGAGGCCGGGGCCAAACTATTCGGTGGGCGAACCCATATCACTCAAAACGGGCGTGAAGAACTACCACCGGAAGATTTTCGGGAAGGAGGAGTCCCGGGTGAGGAACCTGCTATTGACGATTGTTGCGTACGAGTCGGCGAGCGGGATCAGGCCGGATGCCGCAGTGCCGGGCGGCGAGGTCGAAATATACTGCCACAACGGGCTCCACAGCGACTTGGTGCTGGGCACCTCCGACGTCTACCACGTGATCCTCCACAAGAACAAGCTGATTTTCGCCAACACGGACGACCGCTCCGGCAACGACCCGCTCTTTGCGTACATCGGGATCAAGTTCGAGACGATTCTGTGCAACGAGCCGAGCCCCGTCGACGGGTCGCACAACAAGTTGCTTCTGCAGGGCCGGTACGGGCGCTGGGGGTTCAAGTCCGTCGTCGAGATCGACTCGTACCGGGCGTCGGCGGCCAAGACCCTCGCGCAGATGGGCCCCGCCGAGCGCTACCGCAACTACTGCGAGATCAAGCTCTGCTTCTCCCCCTCGAGACGGCTCGGGGAGCTGTTGCTCAAGACCAAAAGCAAGCGCCGCTTTCTTCTGGTGCTGAAGGGCGCCGTGAGGAACTTTGCGCCCCGCGCGGAGAAGTGGCTTTTTCAGTCGTACTTCGGCCGCCAGGACAAGCTGGTGATCGGCGTCCGCAACTCCAAGTTCGAGCTCATCTGCAACGAGGAGATCGACGTCGTGCACGACTTCCTTCCTTTTGTGAAGGACGTGTACCCGGACATCCACGACAGGTTTCTGCACTCCATCGACGTCTTGGACGAGGCCTACGCCCACATCCTGCACCAGGTGAGGGCTTTGCAGCAGAGCGACACCGACGTTTTCGAGCTGCGCTGCGACACACGCGCCGTCCGCGTGCTTGCCGACGCCCCCGACCACCACATCTTCCGCAAAATCCTCGTGCCCGAGTACCTTGCGTGGGTGGACCGCGGCGAGGACACGCTTGCCCACAGCGACTGGGTCGCCCCGGAGGCGTATGCGGCGCACAAGGACCCGCCCGGCCACGACCTCCATGAGCAGCTGGCGTCCAAGCTCCACATCGTATAGCCACGCAACCGTAGCCCGCTAACCAATGGGTGTTCTTCACCCTCTGCACCCTCCCACACGACGCTGGACACATCGGTGTTCTGTACACGGCTATCCTGGACTCGGGCGGGCCAGCGCATCCGCCGGCCCCGCGGAGTTTACCCCCCAATCCGGGGGTCGCCGCCGACGCCTCGCGCTGCTTACGTCATTGCCCACAGGCCTCCTCCTGGCCCCCGCCCCCCCACGGGGAAAGAGGGGCAGCGGGGACCCGGCTGGCGAATGGGCAAGCGTGCAGTTGCAACCGGCCGGCGGGCGTCGGCTAGGCCGGGCGTTTGTGCGGGCGGCCCGGCCGCTGCCCGTGCTCCGTCCGGACAACGACACGGTGCAGCGGCGCCGCTGGCCCCGTTATGGTCAAATTGCCTGTGCCGGCTGCGCTGGGTTATATCCGTGCTGGAGGCGGCCGGCGGCCGGCGGCCGGAGAGGCCATCGTGCCGGCGTGTTAGCATTATTCCACATGGTAATTTTTTTTTGCCAGGATTACCAGCTAACGGGCTCAACGCCTACGTATTACAAATACCGTTGGTGGTGGGCGTTCCCGTTGTGCAGCCTCCGTTCTCTGTACACAGACAAACCGATTGGTGGCCTCCGCTTCACAAGCTACGCTCTGGAACGCTACGGCACCCCCCCACTACTGTGCGCTATTATACAACGCTCTCTCCCTGAAGATCCGGTCTGGTCGTCTCCTCACACACTTGGATAGACTACACCGCTGGCGTTGCATCGAGCCTAGTCCCGCGTGTCTGCCTCCGCCGATAAAAGCCGCCGTCACAGGCCCCGTTCCCCGACTGCACAGCGTCGTCGCCAGAGGCCCCTCCCCGCAGCAGCAACAGCCCGCTACCGCTAGACAGCAATGGCGCCTGCACGCAAGGACACCGACGAAGAGCAAAACCTGGACACCCTGCTGTCGACAGAAAGCTCGGGGGACTTCACCGACGCCCTCAACTCGAACTTCCTCGACCCCGGCGTCTCCAACGGCGACGTGGACTGGTTGTTCCGGGGCAGAGAAGTCAAGAAGCTCACCAAACGCTCCAACACCATCAACAACGAGGTCCAGTCGCAGTTGCTGCACGCCCAGCAGAAGGCCCTCGTCCAGTCGAAACATGGCCGGGACTCTCCAACAAGCTCCAGCTCCACCAGTCTCCAGAACCTCGCCAACTCGCCCGCCACCGTCGACCAGCAGTCCGCCTCGACCAGCAGCCCCGGCGCCGCTGGCGCCGTTGCAGGCCCAGCAGGCAGTGCCGGCTTCAGCAGCAGCCACTATTCGGCAGCACAACCAAATTCCGCCCCTGTCGCAATCCCTATACCCAGCACGAGGAAGTCCGTGAACAGCTCCAACGTCAACTTGAACTCGGCAGTCTCCGCAAACTCCCTTTCCGACTTGCCCATCAAGTCCTCCCTCAAGTCTGCCTCCCCGGCAAACATCGGCAATGGCTTGAAAATAGATACCTCCATGATACACTCTTCTTCCCCCCACTCCTCTACCTCCCCCTCGAATAACGATACATCCGTGCCGCTGGCCTTTTCAGCCAGCTCGTCCTCCCACAGATCGATTTCTTCGCCAATGGATCCTGCCCCACCGGCTTCTGCATTGGTCTCAAGTCCTGCATCGGCCTTAAACTCCAATCCAAACTCAACCTCAACCCCGACCACTCCAACAAACAGATCGAGATCGTCTTCGCTACTATTCGGAAGATCTAAATCTCCCTCCAATGCCAGTGAACACAAACCGGCAAAGAAGTCTTTACTATCTTCCTTGTCCTCAAAGTTGAAACCAGGTTCCCATTCTACTTCCACAGCACCCGCAACTAGCACTTCTCCTTCGCCAGCTGCAGCACCAAAGGCTTCTGCACCTTCTTCTCCTTCGGTATCGAGACATCCAACACCGGTAGCCCCCCATCCGGTGAAGATTTCTCCACCTATTCACAACAACAGCTCTGATAACTCTTTGACTAAGCTAGCACATGTACACAATTTTGAAAACACCCATCCAACCACTTCTCTGAGTGCGTCTGACAAACTTTTGGATTCAGTTTCGTTTAGCCGGGTTTCTTTTGCATTAGATGGCTTAGTCGAAGATCCACAGCAACAGATCCCTTCTCGTCGTCCGAAAAGAGGTAACGTCCTAATCCCCGAAGATATGCTGGCACCTCCTCCGAAACTTTCAATAGGTATCACGAACAGTTTCAATGAACAGACAAAAGCTGAAAGACCAAAAGTCGACCCAAAGTTATATGAGCAAGCGCTTGCTAGACAAAACTTTTTTACTGCCGAATCTAAAAAACATTCAGAAGAGGCCCACATTGCTGCTCTGAGAATGGCAAAAGAGGTTTCCTCATTCAAGAAAAGAAGGGGTTCTTTCCTTAAATCTGATGATGATGATGACGATGAAGAAGAGGATATCACCGATTCCCGATTCGTTGGTGGAGATGACAAGCTGGATATAGACACGCCGTTACATGAACACATCGATTATTTCGGACATGAGGAAAATAATTCGAGCTCGAGCTCAACGAACGAAGAAACTGATCGTGATATCTCTCTTGAAACTTTGTATACCCGCTGCTGCCATCTAAGGGAGATCTTACCTATACCTGCGACATTGAAGCAATTGAAAGGTAGATCGAAACCTCTACATGTTTTGAAAATGCTGAACCCTAAACCAACCTTGATTGACATTTTGTCATTTTCAGATTTCTTAGCCATTGCTCCAGTTATTTCTGTTATCCTCGATAACGTTACCATTGATACTGAAATGTTAAGAATCATACTTATCAGCTTAAAAAACTCCAAAATGTTGGACAAATTGTCTTTGAGAAATGTCCCTATAGATGCAGAAGGATGGAAGTATTTATGCAAATTCTTGAGACTTAATACTAGCATTCAAAAACTCGACATCTCGCAACAGCGTGTCAAAAAGAGCTCAGACCATTCCAAAACGGTACGTTCCGATTTGGACTGGGATCTGTTCACAGATACCTTGATCTTGCGTGGTGGGATGGAAGAGTTGGTGATACACGGATGCTGCTTGAGTACTGATCAACTGAACAATTTGGTAAGTAAAGCTTTAGTTTTGAAAACCAAGAGACTTGGATTTGCATCCGCTCAACTCGATGTCGAAAAGATGTCGATTTTGGCCAAATGGATCTCCACTCCGAACACAACATGTAATGGAATCGATTTTGCTTTCAACGATTTGTCACAAGGTCAATTGATGCCAATAAATAACATGCTGAAACAGAGAAGCTCAGACATCAAACTTCAGTTCTTTTCTCTAAACTCGACGAACGTCCGATTGAAAGAATGCTCCGAATTAATTCAAAACTTATCAGCCTTACCCTCTCTTAGATTCTTGGATTTGAGTAATAATGCACATCTCTTCCCGGATATTATCCCCGTCTTGAGAGATTATTTACCTAAGTATCCGGATTTGAGAAGATTACATTTTGATTTTGACAATTTGACAGAATTTGCTATCGTTCAATTGTGTGTGATTTTCCAGCAGTGTCCTAGACTAGTGCATGTTTCATTTTTGGGTAACAACAAGATTACATCAAAATCTGCTTCGGCATTGTATTCTGCGGTTAAACATTCTCATATATACAACATTGATATGGATTATGATGGGTTAGATGAAGAATTAGTGTCAAGAATTGCCTTCTATTTGATGAGAAACATGGAAAATCTTCTGAACTTCAGTGTGAATCCTAAATGTTCCGACATAAAGACATCTAGTACGAAGTCCGTGGTGGATTCAGAATCTATTATTACCTCGGGTGTGATAGCTAAAGATGAAGATCTTATCTTCGATGGTTCCTTATTGACAAAGGCAGCTGAACATTTGTTAGAGAATGGTTCTCATATATCAGGCGAAGAGCGCATGGTCATTTACCGTGCCTTGGTTGAAAAAACCGTCAAACTACGTACAGAAATCCACGACTCAATGAATAAATTATTCGAGGCTCGTGAAAAAGGAAGATTATCGATTGAAGGTAAGGAGAATTTGTTAAGATTCTGCTTATTAGATGATTCTTTGGAAAACATTTTAGATATTTTCTCTGATGAAGTTTCAGCAGAAAAGGGCAGCTCAGGTGGCCAGAGCAACTCTTCTGACAATAACGGCGATCACGTTTCTTCAAGACCTGGTATGATCAGAAGATTATCATCCCAACTTACTAGACATCATTCATCTGAGGATGTTATACAAACTGGTCCGATTGTAAGTGGAGAATTCTACCAGCATAATGATGAAATAATACCCACAGTTGCAACCGAAGCACCACATATTGTCGTCGCTGATGCAGATAGTGTTCCTGTCGATAGCACAACTGGTAAACGTGTTTTGATGAGAAAGTTCTCTCAAACCAGTGTTCATTCTAAGAAGTTGGAGGAAGAAGAAGGTGAATTACATAGATGGGGTTTCTTCGTCCAGCAACAAAATGATATCATGCCTGATGACTCACAGAATGTAGCAAAGCTGAAAGAAGAAGAGAAAGAAAGAGAAAGACTAAGAATAGAGGCTGAAAAGGCCGAAAAGGAAAGGCTCAAGAGTGAGGCAGAAAAAAAGAAGTTGAAGATTAACACTATACCTTCAGGCTCAGAGTTGAGGGAAACAATTATGAAAGCCAAGGGTATTGAAAGTATCACTGATCTTATTAAAAAAGTCAATAAAGATTTTACAACAGTGGAGACCATCTATAAACACGCAGATGCTAAGAGGGCGGCATCCAGGAATCAAGATACTAGCTCCTCTGGAGGTTCTCCTATTTCTCCAAGCGGTAAGTCTGGGATTGGAAGTGGTAACGTTCAGTCTACCAAGTCTTCCGACATCTCGAAGATTTCTGCAGCAGATACTGATATCAGTGCAGCTGAATCCAAAACAGTATTCGGTGAGGACCGAGTTTCCAATAGGGCATCTAGTCCAGATATAGATGCCTCTGCAATTGACAATACGTTGTCTCCAACAGTCAGTATTAGTTCCATAAACGAGGGTGACATAAAGGACCAGGCTGATGAAGTTTACGAAAGAATTTTGAATAACGTTATTCGTGTTCGCTCGAACAAATAAAAAGTTAATCATCACTTTCGACACATTTTTACAATTGCTTTTTTATTATTATTCTTTCAAAACCTTGTGATGCATGACGACGTTCCATTCAGCTATGAAATGCAAGCTAAAAAGAAAAAGCAAATACACATATTTTTATAAACATACACTAGGGCTTATAATGCTATTATCCACATACTACTTACACATAACGTAATCTTGTATATTCTTTTTTAACCATTTGCAGTTCTTTATATAAAAAACGTTTATAGAACAACTGTTTTAAACTGATTTTTGGGTCGTCGGATAGATGTATACGATTAGATCGATAGCCGCGCACAGCAGAGAGAGACCCATTGATCTGTCGTAAAAATGAAGAAGACTGGAATTCGACACATTTCACCATTGTCTTCGACCTAAGAAAAAAACGTTTAGAAAGCCTCGGCGACCAGTTGTGTCCAACCTACCATCAATGCCAATAGAAAACAATGCGTATGTAGCGATTGCTATTATCCCAATTGCGCTCGTATTGGTTGATGATTTTAAGTTTCACAGCATATCAATTCCCAAATCATTATCATTTACGGTTATTTTCATTGTTGCATCGCTCGTATGTCAAAATATATATACAAACCAAATGACTCAGTTGCAACGAAAAACAATGAATCATATAAAGAAGAGACGAACAGAACCTACCAAAAACAAGAAGAAGAGAAAATCTTTAATACATCTTGTCGATAACAGAAAGTCATTCGATCTGACGAAATGGAAGAGCAAAAATCATCCCTTTGCTAATCGATACAGCAGTTACTCTGAAAAAAATTCACCCCTGTCAAAACCTTATAAGAGGGTTAATTCTTGGCATGGAGAGCTCCTAAATTCGGACAACCCTTTATTTCCACGTGAAAGGATTGCATTAATGATACCCTCACCCCCTTCCTCAAGCCAAGGTGAAACTTTCGAAAACAACCTATATTCAGGCGATTTTCGCTCTTCCGTACTCTCTACAAGTAGTACAATCTTTGAAAATGATAATTCTAGAATCACAATCGACTCAGATAGCAATATAGTAGACATGTCCATTGACCTCAACATAAACTGCGATGGTCAAGATAGTAGTTTCTTTCAGCCTGCCTCTCAAAGTAAGACAAGATATATAGCCACTTATCTTTATGACAGGTTCAGAAAAAGTAAGGCAGAAAATTCCAGCTACAATAAAAATTGTGCCTTGGATCCATCACACTTGAAACCTTTCAATCTCACAAATCGAGATATTCATGACCGTAGTAAGTATTAGCATTTCCAATTTTATATAAAGGCATTTGGCAAAAACTAATTAATAATCAACTTATTATTCAAACATCACCAACAGTTGATGTCTTCTATTCTTAGTTCTCTTTTCACGCATAAAAACAATGAGCGTTGCATTTCAGTAAATTGTTTTTCAAGTTTATTGTTTCCAAAATTGGAAAGTTGTGATAATGTTAAATTTATATCTCTATCTGTGATTGGCAACATATCAAGTCTCTCATTCTCTCCTTTTATATGTGGAGATAATTTTCCACCTTTAATTTGCATTGTTGGACAGCAGGGCCCTCGAACTTGATCCATTGGCTTGTTCTTGTACTCCATGGCTATCATAAAACCATATATATCCGCGTCGAAGTAGCCAAATACAGGCGTATTGTAAAATGTTTGACAGATCAAAGAAACAAACTGTTTGGTTTGTCGATCAGGGAATCCCCTTCCTGTAACCAAAATCGACTCGGCGAATTGCTTCGAAGTTGACTCTTTTTCTTTGTTAACCAAAGCTGATAAGATAGCATCCTTTTCCAAAATGATTATTGACCTGGGAGTTTCACCGATCTTGTTATTAAAAAGTACCTTGATATCGTTTTTTTGTGCGGATGTTTTGACGTAAGGAATTAGTGAACAACCAGATTCTCGTGATGCCTTGAATGAATCAAAGGCTAAATTTGCATAAACCAAACCTTTTTGAGATGCGTGAACATTCAAATGTTCAATAGATACCCCAATACTGTTTGCGAGGTTATCGATGCATTGATCTACAACTGATTGTTTTTTGAAAAGAGATACATCCATGTAATATATTTGTCTTTTAGAAACCGATTCATTCAAACTGATCTGATTGTGAATCAGTCTCAATACTCTGAAATAAACTGCAAACTTGTGGTTTACTTCTGGCTTCAATGAAGGGAATGAAAATTTTGACGTTGTTGAAGTAAACTTTTTTGTAACTGAATGTATTTGAAGCGTAATTCTATCACCATTTTTCAAACCATTTTCAATGAGAGATAATACAGTAGAAAGATATTGTTTGATTTTGCCACTGTCCGGCTTCAATCTATAGGATCATAGTTGTTAGTATGGGTGGCTCATGAAGTTTCAGATTTTCTAAATTTATTTTTTGCACCTACGAACAGTTATTATCGCCGTTCAACACAATGACTCTCTCCGACATTAGTTAAAGAGTATAATAAGGTGTATTGGAGAAATAAACAAAACTATACCGGATTAAAAAAGCAAAAAAAAAGGTGACAAATGATTGGATTTCCAGATTTTGAGGCTTGAATGTGAAAAACGAGCCTCAAAATCAAAAAATTTAAGCAGAAGCCTTGAATTCCAAAATCTTTGCTTCGACTCTGGCCTTTCTCTCGTCTCTGGTGAGCTTCTTTTGTTGGAACTTCTTGGAAGCAGCAGCGTATTCAGCCTTCTTGTCAGCAGATTTCTTTGGAGATGGGTCCTCTCTGATTTGTTCGTGAGCGTTCAAGTAGATGTCTTCAACGGCATCAGCGTCAATGTCATCAGCAATGTAAGACTTGAACAAAAGAGAGTATCTTTCTTCATCGTCATCCATCAATTCTTCCATGTATTCAGCGACGTGACCACCGAAGATGTACTTTCTCAAAAGTTCAGCATCTAATTCTTCGCCCTCGATATCCCAACCTGGGAATCTGGATGGGGAGTGTGGAACGTACAAACCACCGTCGGAAGCACCCTTCAAAGCACCGAAAACCTTGGCACCAGTGGTGGTTCTTTGTAAACCAACATCAAGGAAAACCTTGAATGGTCTTGGACCGTCTTCGACAGCTTCGGTTAATTCGAATTCACCTTCAACTTCCTCGACACCGGTGTAGGTTTCGTCCAGACCCAACTTCTTCAAAGCTCTTCTGGCAACCAACAAACCGGTAGCGTAAGCTGCAGCCCAGTTGGTCAAACCGTGGGTGATACCGTAATTCTTTAATTCATGGGAGTATGCAGCAGTCAAAACAATGTCACCAGTTAAGGTGGAAGAGACGATTTGACAGATGATGTCCTTGTTGGTGAATCTGACGACCAATCTGTACTTTGGAGAAGCGTACTTGTTCTTGGCTTGAGTGATTAATCTCTTTCTGGCATAGTAGTCAGTCTTACCTTCAGCTCTTCTTCTGAAAGGAGTTTGGTATCTGGAGAGGTATGCAGAACTTCTGGTGAATTTGAAACCCATGTTGTCTATTTATTTGCCGAGTAGTCGATAACAGTTAGAAACTTCTTCTGTTCAGACACACGTCAAACACTACCCAAGAGAACTATTAGAGGAGAAAAAAAAGTTGGTGAAAAATATCCACCACATACCGTCACCACCTCCACCCTCTCTGGGAGAGCGCACTCGTGAGGTAGCGAGGAAAGCCTGAAAAAAATGGATGTGGAAAAAAACTGCGTCCAGTTTACCGGCGTAAGGGTTACCCGGCGTACTTTGCGGTAACGCCCATTTCCAAATACGGCAAGTCATCGTCGCACCCCGGACACCACCTTCCAGCGAAGATGCAGTGGACAGTCATGGAAGGACCGTAGTACAAGTCCGTGAGAAGCTTGGGGGTGATAAGGAAGTATTGGGAGGCCTTAACCTGCTCGCTGGTGGCCTTCTTGACAATCAACTCATGGGCCTTTCTCTCGTTCCTGGCGTCCATACCCTGATTGATCTCGTCTACGACCCGGAACGGGGTGTTTGTCAACCCCTGCAATGAATTGAGAAAGACTGCTGTAGTCGTGGACTTCTCTCCTCCGGAATGCTGGGCCCCGTTGAAATTGCTCAACTCTTCGTTATCTCGGAAACTGACCTGGATGATGAGCTTCCATTTCGAGTAGTCGCTGTCACTCTTGTCCAACTTTACATCGCCGGCGCTGGCGATTTGGTTCATGTTGTCGCCAAAATCGCTGGATATAATCGAGACAATCTTGTTCAACTGACTCTCCCAGCTCTTTGTCATTTCACCGAGCTCCTCCTTGTGCCTAGTGATTGACTGCTCCATTTCAGGAATACTGGAGTCTAAACTTTTGATTCTCTCCTCATTTTCCTCAAGCTGTTTCAACGAGACTTCACCACCGCTTCTGTTGTTCAACTGCATCTCAGATTTGATCTTATCGATTCTTGTATTGAGCCCATCCTCATTCAAAATTTCCTTCTCGGCCATCTCCTCGATAATCTGCTTCATGTCTTCTTTGTCCTCAATAGAATACTCACTCACCTTGTTCTTGTAGCGCTCTAGGGACTCTTGGTAATGCTTCTTGGCCTTTCGATACAACGCCTTCAAACTCTCCAGCTTTTGTAGCCTCTCTTCCTTCTCCTCCTTGATTGACATGTGTAGCTCTTTGATGGACTCCACTTTGTTGGATTCTTCTATACGCTTGATTTTCATCACGATCAAATTAGTATCGTTAGCCATCTTCTTGATCAGAAGCTCCCGTTTATCAACCCTTTGAAGACTCATCTTTTCATTTAAATTGCTGCCTATTTTGTCGTATATTTTTTCCCTATTAGCCCCACTGTTGCTGTGCTTCAACGACTTAATAGCCTTCTTTTTCACAACCATTCTCTCCTCAGCCATTTGCAGTCTCTGCTTGAGTTTTGTTTCTTCTCTGCGGATATGTCCAGCCCTTCTTACATTTTCCTCGTACTTGGTGAATTCGAGTCGTTTATCTTTATAACTTTCTTGTCTGTCAGAAATATCTCTTTTTAACTCTTTGACGGTACCCTCTACGTTAGCATACTCTTGATTAAGTTCCCGAAGTTTATCACTAATTATTTGCTTCTGTTCTTCTGACAAACCATTCTGAAAAATAAATGACCTCAACTTGAACGATTTGATGTTGGTCGTAACCTGTCTTCTACCATAACTTGATCTATTCATTGTGTAGATCTCATCATGACTAACGTATTTAACCAATCCTAAACCTTGCTCTATTTCCCTGCTAATTGCATCTTTCTGGGAAGCACTTAAACCTTTGATTGAAACTGGAATTCTATGTAAATAAACGTTCTCGCATAGCATCTGGATAACTTCTTCGGGGCCAGTCAAAAAATCAGATATGTAGCCATCAAAACCTAACCTTTTAATGGTTTCACTAGGTATTTGATCACGTTTCAAATCAAACTTCTCACCTAAAGTTCTCATAGAGACCATGAGCTTCCTCTCATCATATAAGAATTTCGACAATCCATTGTAATCATTTTTTGTAGGCACAACAATAGCATTCAAATGTGGAAATGGAATTAAAGCTTCAACAATTGGGGCTATTGCAGCATTCTTCACATTCAAAGTAACAAGTGCAGGCTCCGAAAAATTGTAAGGAAATTCTGTTTTACTTTGTTTAAGTTTTCGAAGTGCTTGGACAGCTTGAATGGAGACCTTGTATCTGTTGTAGTCAATCGTATTCAATCTATCTTTTGAGTTCAGTCTTTGTTGTTGCAAGATGATCTCACCTTTGATAGAGTCAAGCTTTCTTTCACTTGCATTTGCTTTACTCTTGATGCCGGTTATGATATCATCAAACTCCAAAAACTCATTCTTCAAAGCTAGCCTCTTATCCTTCCACTGCTGTACATCATTCTCATCCACCAAATCTAATTTCTTTAAGTCATCTCCGATTTTATGAAAATCATCTCTCAGCTTGAAGTACTCTTCCTTCGCTCTCAAGAGTTTACTGTCATATTCTTTCATAGTTGACAGATACTCTTTAGTTTTACTATCGATTTTCTCGATTTTGCCTTCAACAGACTTCATATCTTTAGAGATCTTGAAATTCGATGAATCTAAATCCTTTATACTTTCATTAACTGCATTCAGAGCTTCATCACTGCTTTTCAAAGTATCTTCTATTGGTTTGACTTTTTCTTGGAATTGGGTGAAGGTATCTCTTTCAACTTCAAATGATTGTTTTAAGGTAACCATTTCGTTCTTTTTATCCTGTAACTTGACATACGGACGTATCATCTCAGTTTTTTCTAGATCCTTTTTAAGCTTCAAATAGTGGCGGTGCTTCTCAACCTTCTCCTTCAATGCATCGTTTTTGACTTTAAGTTCCAGCAAACTTTCTCTTGATTCGTTGAATGTTTTTTCTTCCTGATTGATTGTTGATTGAAGTTTGATTATCGAGTTGTGCTCCCCAAGTAACTCACCATTCTTATAGGATCGTTCAATTTCTTTCAAAAGATCTTCAGATTTCAATTCTGCAAATTTTGAAACTCGGTCTTGTGGTAAAAACTGACATAAATTATCTAATTGAATGTTGAAAGATTTTAATAATTTCTTGATGTCATTTTCACTCGCAGGCTGATGATTGATTTCCCATAGTGTTTTTCGCTTTCTCAGTAATTTTGTAGCAATTATCACAGAGTTTTGTCCCAAGTCATTCTCAAAAGCTTTTATTTCCAATTCAATGCGTGCTTCGTTCTTATTGTCTTTTATAAAACCATCGGTGATCATTGACTCTTTTCCTAAATTTGACAACTTCCCACCAAGACCAATACAGACAGCACAAACAAATGTAGATTTACCACTGCCATTGGGCCCTATAATCAAGTTCATCCGAGGACCGAAATGAAATTCGGTCAAAGTATAAGACATAAAATTGGATAGCTTGCATCTTATGATGGATCCAGGCTGAAACGCGTTGTAGTCTGGTGTATAATGCGACTTTAGTCTTTTGGGTATAGGCAAACCTTCAGCCAGTGAACATATCTGTGTCATAATGCTCCTCTCACTATCGTCTCCTGTATGCTCTTTACGATCTATTGATAACTGTAGATAATAGGATGACTCTCATGTTGATATTGATCATGATGTCCGAAATTGGCGAACGCGTTTCAAGGAGGTTCGTTTTTGAATTTTAAGCGACTCAGACTTGACTTCCTGAATTTCGCCCTTTCATGTAAAGAACTATATAGGATGGGTAAGTAAGCATATCAAACCAGGCTTAAGATTAAGATAGTAGTGGAGAGGAATCTAAGACAATGGACAAGCAGCAGTCACCCAGTCCTGGAGTGTCCTCCCCAAGTGCACCTAATAAGACTGCATCTATTTTGATGATCCAACCATTGGAAAATGTGAACAAGGAACTTCTTTATCACCAAAGGATGAACAGACCCTTTAAAGTCATCCAGAACCTTCCAGTGTCGAAATCTGCATCAGAATTACCTGACTATACAACTATGAAACATCCATTAAGCGTTAAGGATAGTGCAGTACTTTACAATTCATTGATTGTCTCTAGGTTCAACTGGATTCATCATATCTTCAAAACGTACTGGACCAGAAGAGAACAAGTTATACGTGGAGTTGACATGAACAAAAAGGACAAAATGGTAAGATTCTGCAACCCTGTTCTCTCATGTAGTGTACACACTTTCAAAGTTAAACTTTTTTTTTTGAAGGAAGACGAGAGAGAGAAAGCGTTTCGAGTTGAAATCGAAAAGCGAAAAGAAGAAAGGTTGAAAAGAAGAAGAGAAAAACTTGAGGAAATGCAGAGGAGAAGAGAGGAAAAAGAACGTGAGGAGAAGGAAAAAGAGCTGGAAAGAGAAAAGTCAAAAGAAACGTATTTGACAAAGATGCAAGAAGATAAGGAATCGCTAAAGAAGGAGGAGGAGTATCAATCACTCCAGTCTAAGCAACAGGCACCACAACCATCGCAATCGCAGTCACAGTTACTACCACATGAGGTTGATCAACATAAGTTACTATCAACGCACCAGCAACAACGACCTCAGGAATCAGAATTGATGTTGCAACCGCAAATAAAAAATCAACCTCCACAGCAATCGCAACCAACCGAAAAAAAAGAAATGGATTTAGGCGTAAACTCAGAGCAAATTCAAGTACAAAATCTAAAGAATATTGCACCATCTGGAGACACTCAGAATCGAGAAGAGACTTCAGAAGTTGCTTCCAATACAGAAAAGGTAAGCAAGCCGACAATAAAATTTAATCAAGACCAACCAGGCAAGAAAGAAAGCGAAAGTAAATCTGATGAGACAGAACGGATTCAAAGCTTGCCAAAGGCTACTCACAGTGATTCGACTAACTTTGCAAAAACTGATAGTGATAGAGGTTCTCCTTCCAGTAGCACAGCTTCCAACACTAAAAATAAATCGAAACCTGATACTAAAGACATCATGTCAAATCCGGAGAGTGCAATCATGATTCAGAATTTGAACGTTTTAGCAAAGCAAGACCCCCACCTCAATGTTTTAATGAAAAAGGTGGCAAGTGGCTCAGCTAGCACAGAACAAATTTTGGAGTTTCAGAAGTATATACAAAAAGCTAAAGAAATGGGTGATGTAACGGGTTATATGGCTAAACTGAAACAAAAGCAGAAAGAGGCTAAAGCTAACGCCAAGAGTTTGAAGAAAGCAGGTGACACCCGTTCCAAAGAAGAGATAGAAGCGGAGAAACAGAGAAAAAAGAAAGAGAAACTCGCCAAACTCCAATCAGCTCCCATTATCAAACCAGTAAAGCTTACTCCAGAAGAAGCAAAAAAAAGAGAAGAAGACCTCCTGAAACGGGCAATGGAAATGAAACAGGAGCAAGAAAGACTAAGATTGGAAAAACAGAGGTTAAGAGAAGAAAGAGAACGCGAGAAGATACGATTGAAACAAGAAAGAATCGAACAAAAAGCTAGAGAGAAAGAAGAAAAAGAAAGATTGAAACAACTTGCAAAAAAAGAAAGAGAACAAGAAAAAGAACAAAAGAGACAAGAAAAACTTGCTGAGAAGGAGAGAGCTCGGCGTGAACGTGAAGAAAGACAAAAAGAAAAACAGCTTCAAAGAGAGAAAGAGAAAGTCGAGCAAAAATCAAAAAGTAAAAGCGATTTTTCGGGGAAAAATAATGATGATGATGATGATGACGAAAATGATGAGTACGATGATAGAATGGCAAAGTTAAACAACGGAGATGATGATGAAGACGATGATCTTTGGAATGACAAATTATCACCATTGCAAGAACGCTATAACACAGGTGCAAGTTTGGTATTCGAGTTTATAGAAAATCCAGCTTCGAGGTTTACAATTCCCAGGGACACTATATATGAGCTTATAGACAATGACGAAGAAGAAAATGAAAATGAAGATTTAGATGGAAACATTAGTGGTACAGATGTTGATGCTACTGGTAAGATAAAGAATGAGAACGAGGCTTCTGCTTCTCATCCTAAATCGCCATACATCACTGTTTTAGCATCATTTCTCTTAGTCCACAATCAAAAAGAAATAGATGGGTGGGAACGTCGTCAAGCTGAAGTTAAGGCTGCAAAAGAAGAGAAGGAGAAGAAGAGATTGGAAGCTTTGAAAGCTGAAGAAGAAGAGGCCAGTAAGAACACAATAGCTGAAAATGCACGTAAAAGACGCAGAAAGAGATCCACTTGGAGTAGCTCTAACAAAAGAGCCACTCGTGCTTCAAAACAGGCTAAAGAAATAGAGCAGTTTCGCCGTGAAGAGGGAAATTTCCATGAAGAAGATGACGAGTTACGCAATGCCAGCGCAGCCGAAGATTTGAGGCCAATTCCTGTCTATTCTTGCGTTACCATGAAACTTTCCAAAATTCCGTTCAGATTTACTAGTTTTGTGTTAGAAAGTGGAAATAATGCCGAAGAAAGAAGAAAAAACATGGAAGAGACTATAAAAATAGGAACTCGTCTTCCCCTATCTCAGCTATGGTACCAGATAGATGGTATCAAGGATGAACTATTGGGTGAAACATTACGGTATAATCTGAACAGACTTGACTATTTAGCATGTGGTGGCAAAAAAAGTAAGGCTCTGTTTTTGAAGAAGTTTGGTAAAGGTGGCAGAGGCTAGGCCATAGTGCACGGGCAATTTTGGTCCTTCTATGTACTTATATACTAGCTGATACGCTGAATACAGAGTTGCAGACTCGTTATAGCTTTATGCACTAAATTATGTTCAATCTATTATCCCTCAATTGTGTAAGATCTTGTGATAATGCGCTAGAACTAATTTTGATTCGTCTTTATTAATTTATAAATAGTAGATGGCGTAATACTGACAAGTAGATCATTTGATCTAGCAAAAGGAAGAGATTAAATAATATACAAATGATGGTATGCAAATGGAAGGCAATGTAATTGCTCTTGTGTAAATCAAATAACACTAATTTTCAGGCCAGAACTGAAATCTTCACCGGATAATTTTGAGTCCTCATTAGCTGCATGAGTCAACTCGTTCTCTTTATTTTCGCTGCTATCCTTACCTTTGTTAATGGCAAAATAATCGGGCCTTAATGATTCATTATTGATGTTCCTAGATTCTGCCGGATTTGTAACAGATGTTATTGTCATTGTGGTTGTGGTTGCTTGGGTGATAACAGGTAGCGCAGGAGATGCAAGAGATAGTCTTGCAATAGGATTGTTATCAACATTGGCAGTTGCGGTGCTACTGGTGACAATCGAGCTAGTGGCAGAAAAATCATTAGATGCTCTTTGAGAATGAGGTACAGAACGGTTTATAGGTGCATTGAGATCGGACATCCCGTTACCGTTACTGATTGCTATACTGGCCAGGTCATTGGAATTGCCATTGGAGTTCGTGTTAGAGTTTAGAAAGCTTACTGTCACAGGATTTCTAATTGACAACATCGAAGGTGAAGGAGAAATCTGACAGCTCTCACCAGGTGCTATAGTCGGAGGAGCAAATGAGCCAGCTGAAATAGTTGTGGCATTATCTGATACTGGCTGGGTATTTGCATCCTCAGTTTCAATAGCTGCACTGTTCCTCAACAAACTACTGATTTGGTCTTTCTCGTGATTTTTGGATAAACCATTGGGATTCTTTATGGATGATACGGAAGTTCTATTAAATGATCGGCTGTTACCATCAGGCTGCACCGTAATAGACGTGGTCATTTGATCAAGAACGGGGGTATTTATTTCGTGACTATCATTCTTTTTAAGATCCGATTTTGAGCTGAAAGAATTTTCTCTCAAAGTCTTAGAGTGAGGTGTATTTGAAGCAATGCCTTTAGAGTTGGAAAATGGTAATTGAGTTTTCGTGCTGTGATTAATTATATTACTTAGGTTCATGTTTGAGACACTAGCTGTCATTTTGCTTATGATGCTTTCATCCATGTAATTCTTGAACCTCATTTTTGACGTTTTCTCGTCTAATAGCATTCTGCTTTCAAATATTCCTGGCCTAGAGCCGTCAATTCTCACAGTATTTGAATAGTCAACGCCATTAAACAAATTGAATAACTCAACACGGTAACCCCTGCTCTTAGCTATTGGATTTCCTAGTAACTGCACAGAAGATAATAAAACTTTATCTTTATTTAATAATAAAAGAGGCTTCAAATTACTCACCTTATGAAGTTTATTTTGCCGTAAATCAATTTTTTGGAGAAGTGAAAGATTTTCAATTGAATCAAGATCAGAAATTTTGTTACCCCTCAGATTCAACACTGTTAACTTTTTAAGCGACTTTGGGAACTTCTCCAAGGTCAAAAGTTTATTAAATGACAAATTGAGAGTTTTTAAGTTGACTAATTTTGAAAAAGGCTCACCTGGAATGGTTGTTAGATTATTATAAGAAAGATCAAGCAAAGTTAAATTACTTAAATGGTCAAAAGAGTTTAATGAAATCTTTTCAATTTTGTTATCTGTCAATGAGAGATGTTTGAGAAGCTTCCAAGATTTGCTTGATGTGTCAAAATTTTGAGATTCTGGAAAATTTTTATCATCTGTTCCATTCCTTAAAACCCCTTTTTTGATAGAAGTATTCAGTTCCTCATTTCTATTCGAAGAGTCAGCTTTAACTTGAAGCTCTGTGGGTCCAGTATCACCAACTAATTTCAAGCTGTTGCTTGTTAAACTTTGAGAAATCGTGGTGGCAATCGGTGTCATTCCATTATTGGCGTTTACTATCATTGATGATGAGCCCCTTGAGCGGCGTGACTTTTTCTGTGGCTTGTAATAATAAGATCTTCTACTGGAGTGTACAGAAGACGACAGGGTAGACTGCTGAGAATTTGCCGTCAATATGTCCTCAGCATATAATCTGCTTGGATGATAATTTGAAGAGTAGGAGGTTGCCGTCGGCGATGTAGAAAAGGATGCGAGACTCTCGGATGACAACGGATTGTGATGATAATGATGGTAGTGTCCATGATTATAGTTATGACCATGAGAGTAAGAATTGGTATGAGAATTAATGGTTGCATGAGGAGGCAAGTGATATGAATTAAGAGCATGTTGAGATGAAGAAAAATTTTGAGGTTGATATAGAGTAGGGGAAGTGTGATTTTTAGTTGTAGATAATGACGAAACCAAACTAAGTGAAGAATGAGAAAGAGGAATACTAGAAGATATCGCTGAGTTCCTATGCGATAACTTTTCGTAAGGTTCGTTTAAGTCACTACCATTTGAGGTTGTTTTAGTAAGCTTGTTGTCATCGACAAAAAGGTCATCATAATGTTCGTTATCACTTTTCAATATAGGTTGATTGCTTTCCGTTTTGAAATTAAAGGTATCATCATTTTCAGTGTAATCATCGTCTTCGTTTCGAACAGACAAATCTGCTTCAACAAGAGTTACCAATATTTCAAAAGGATCTAGCAGGTTTGCTTTTTTGATCACCAAATATCTCAACCTATTGGCCAATATGTTCCAACCATAAATTTCCTTTGGATCCAAATCAGATATTTCCAAAACAAGAAGATTTTTGAAGATTACTATAGGTGTCGCAGTTTCAAAGGGATACTCTTCATGGCCTTCAATTAACTTTGCGTTTGGTTCATTTGCTAACCTTAAACAAGGTAACTTAGAAAATGCTGAATAAAGGTATTTGAGGTCCGACATCGTATTATCGATTTTGGAAGAAGAGCTAAATGTATTCCAAAGAGCAGAAACAGATGACATCACTGACTTGACCGATGAAATTGAGTGTATAGATTGAGAGTCTGAATCAATTTTCTTGTTTCTTTGGAACTCACTCAGGAAAGAAACATAGTTGGTATTGTTTTCTGAATCCATATTGTCTAACCTCAAACTCATCGGACCAACCGCTATACCTAATTCTTGGAGTTTCCCTAAAATGAAATAAAGATGGTGTAGGGATAAGGATAATCTAACAGGTTTTGAGATTTCTTTGGTTAAGTTATCTTCCTCATCTATCCTTGAGTCAGCCGTACCTTCTGTGCCGGTGTTGCTCTTAATATTGGAGCTATCGTTATTGCTTACATTATCAGTGTTATAGGTGTCTGCCTGTCCACCAGTTGTTTTATCTGTGTTACTGGTTTTCTTTTCATTGGACTTTGAATCAGTATCTCTTGAACCGCTCAAACCATCGTGAATTGCTTTGTTATTGTGCGAGCCATCCTGAGAACCAGATGTAATTTTGGCTTGGTCTTTTGAGTTTAACTTTTTATAGGCCACTAGTGCGTTTGCTAGCTGTCGCTCATGAGATTTGATGAAAGAAGATAAATTGCGAATGTAAACTTCACCGTCGCAAGTATTTTTAGCCATTTTGTTTCCAGGTCTTTCGATCGAAAAAAGGAAGCAAAATATGAGGGTGTAAAGCAAAGAAGTAAGTTGTCAAGAGATGTACTAGGTACTGTGGCGCAAAGGAAAGGAAGGAATATAGTGTAAGTACAGATGTATGTGTGCTTATGCTGATAAATAAGGTAAACCTAACTGAATTTGGGGTACAGGACAGCTGAGAAGGAGATAAGCTTTAGCGCTGATGCCTTTCTTCAGAGTAGTATGACTGAAAGTATGAAATATCCAGATTTGGTAAACGATTTCAAGCTTTCTTTCTGATACTAGTATACAACTTTCACAGCAGAAAACGTTGAAAGAGGTCCTTTGAAACTGGAGAGGGTTGGAAAGGATGGGAGGATATATCGGGCGGCGCTTTTCCCCGACAGAGTGAGGATTCTGTGTGGTTTGGATTGCCAGCTATAGCAAGGGTTCTGGAGACGGATGGTCTGGTGGAGACTGTGTGGCTAATGGACCAGCGTCAGGGGAGCACTGTAAGTCCAAGCCGGGGAGAAGTGAGAGAAAGAGAGAGGAGAGATAAACAAAATAGGCAAACCGGAGAGACGTGAAGAGTAAACAAAGAGCGAACATTGACTTTTTCGCTGCAATTGCTTGTTTCCTATATTACCTGTATATTTTTATTACCTTATATATTATGCTTTATAGAAAATCGAAGAGAGAAGGAAGAGTAGACGTCAGATGGAGGGGCGCAAGGGGCGGAACACTAGACGTTGTACACATGGCGGGAGGAGCTTGCCAAGGTCATGACAGAGGCTGCGGTGGCGACGTTGGTATTGGTGGTGTTGTTAGTCATGGTGGTGGCTGTGGTTGTTGAGGAGTTGATGGTGGTAAGCATGGGTGACGTCAGGATAGACATCGAGGTGACGGCGGCGGATTTAGTGGAGCTCGGGTATTTGCTTTTGACGTCGAAGGACGACTGGTCGGAGTCGTCATGGCGTTTGTAGTGTTCCTTCGATTCGTCGTTTAGCTGTATGTAGCGATCGATATTACTTGCCCGGTGGGTCCTGTCCGTGTCGTCGTCGTCGACATGGTCGCCGCCACCACCACCCTTATCATCACCATTTGTGCCGGTGGTCGTGATGCTTTCAGCAAGAAACTCTTCGGAGTTGTTTGCATCGCTGTTCTTCCAGGTGCGTGTGTTCCTGTCATCGTCGGCTATCTGCACGTGGTGGCCGGAAGCATGTTTCGGTTTGTGTGCGTGGAAATCGTCGCTGTAGTCGAGCTGGCTACCGTCATTGTCGCAGTCCTCCTCCTCGTCGGAAGAAAAGGAAACCAATGGCTTTGTGCTGACGTTGTCTTCAGCCACAGACCCGCTGAATGCGCTTGCAGAGTCTAGATAGTTGTTGTAGCTTGTGCCGTTGTTTTGATGCAACAGAGGAGTGCTATGGTTGTGGGTATTTGGGTTGGGGTTGGTGTTCAGATGGTTGTAGTTGTGGCCATGACTGTGCGCCACCGGGTGCATATGGTTGATGTGTGACAACTGGGCTGGCGCAAATGAGGATCTGTTGCTGCTGCTGTTGTTGTTGTTGGTCCCGGATGTGTTGGTGCTGACAGCGCCAGTCGAGTAGATAGAGGGCGCCGGGTTTACGGAGAAAATCGACTTCACAGAAGCAATTGTATTGGCGTCGTACCCGTCCTGTCTCATATAGAACTGTCTGTCGTAGGAGTCCTGCAACTTCAAGGATGCGTTTGACGAGACGTAGCTGACCATCTCGTCGTTCTCGATGCTCGTGACGTCGTTGAACTGGAATATCTTTCCGGCGTTGTGCTCGTAGACTGCTGGTTTGCGCAGAACAGTATTGTCCCGGTCGGCATCCTTGTCTGCCGCAGGCTTCGGTTTCAGCTTCGAAGTCTCAGCAGCATCCTTGCGGCCCTTTTTCTGTGCACGAGGACGGGTCTGGCGGTAAGGCTGTTCCTGCCCGTCGTTCTGGCGGTGCTGGCGGTTACCCCTGGTGTGGGCTAGCGGGGTCGGCTCGGCAGCAATGACATTGTTGTTGTTCATGAGCCGCTTCACCCAGGAGAACTTCTTGCCTCTGTTAGTGCTCTGCGCCGCCGGGCTACTGGGGTACGAGTTCGAGCTGGCCGTGGAATGGGCCACCGCGGTGGCCCCCGTGCTTGCATTCAGGTTCATTCCGGAGTTCAGTGTCGTGCTGGCGCTCGTGCTAGTGTTGGACGTTGAGGCCGAGTTCATGTTCGGGTTGGGATTCGGGTTTGCTGCCGAGCCAAAGCCGGAGCTGGCGTTCATGTTTGCGGGGCTGTTGCCGTCGACCGATGGCACACTGTGGATCTTCGTCTTAACAGTAGTGCCGTGTTCCATTATGCGTATATGTCTGCTTGTGTCGGGGGAGGTTTGGAAGTCCTTGGGTTACTCAGACGCCGCCAACCGGAGCTCTAGCCCGGCCACGTAAACATATGAGACACCTGACAGAGCAGCTGTCTCTCCCGAAAGCACCCATCGGGAGATACCCCAGAAAAGGCGCCTCAGCCCCCTCGGTCCGGAGCAGGCGCTCGCACGGGGTTTGCCGCCGTCGCCCTCCTGCTATCTCAGCTCGAGCCTTCTTCATTGCCGGTCACGACAGAGTCTGCTGAGGTAGGCATGCCTCTGCCGGACAGCACCACACATCAGACACCACCCAAGACTGCACGCCACTACACCATGACACCGCAGCAGAACAGAAGGGCCCCAAAGGTCATCCTCTTTTTGAGCACCTTCATCTTCCCGCCCCTCCCGATCTTTCTTCTTGAGGGGGCCACAAAGGCTCTACTTGTCTCCCTTTTGCTCACCTTGTTTGGCTTGCACTTTCTCGGGGTCATCTACACACTCTTCTACTTGTGGCCTTACTTTGCCGACAAGGCCCCGGGTGCCGGCCAAACCACCGTAGGCGAGAACCGAGGCGTCCCTGCCACCGAAGACGTGCTGGAACGTGGTGAGACTGCCACCACACAGCAACCGCAGCCAGGACCGGCTGGCAGCCACTACGAAGATAACGAGCCTGCCAAAGAGCCCCAAGTCAAGCCTGAGCCGGGACACCCTAAGTATGAAGACCAGCGTGAGCCAGTGCAGGGCCAGAGTGAAGAGCCTCCGTCCTATCTTGACGCCACCGCCGACGCGTCGAGCACAACATCACTTATTGTCGCGGCCGCGGCCAAAAACGACCACAAAATCCAGAGATGAAACTTTTCGTTTTGGGTAACTAAAAAATTTTATCAGACCTTTTCTTCTTTTCATCTTTCCAGGCCCCGTCGTGCCTGTTTAATATCGCTTTTTTCGTCCCTTCTTTTGTATAGCCAATGGCCCCAGCACAGAGACAATGAAAATCAAAACTATATCCCGTTCTGCGGACGCGTACGTGCCTGTCTCTAATGCGAGAGAGTCGGCCTTGCCAAGAAACCTGAACCCGGAACTGCACCCGTTCGAACGTGCAAGAGAGTACACACGGGCTCTTAATGCCACCAAGTTGGAGCGTGTGTTTGCGCAGCCATTTGTGGGCACGCTGGGAGACGGCCACCGGGACGGAGTGTACGCTTTGGCGAAGAACTTCTCCTCGGTGAACAAGATTGCGACGGCGTCCGGGGATGGTGTCATCAAGTACTGGGACATCACCTCCAGAGAGGAGACCTACTCGTACAAGGCGCATTACGGAATGTGCTCCGGCTTGGTTGTGACGCCAAACCAGAAGTCCATACTTTCTTGCGGTGTCGATAAGACCATCAAGATGTGGCAAATCTCCAACGACTCCGAGTACAACCAGAACTACGATTACTCCTCTAGCTCCACAGATCCGTCCACCACTGGCTTGATGAAGACTTTTCTCGCGGATTTCTCCCTCATGTCGCTTGACCACCACAAGTCAGATGATATCTTTGTTACTGCGGGAGCCGAAGTCAACCTCTGGGACATCAACAGAAACAAGCCTTTGTCCAACTTGTCGTGGGGCGCAGACAACATTACAAGCGTCAAGTTCAACAAGGCGGAGACTTCTGTGTTTGCGAGTGCCGGATCAGACAACTCTTTGATTTTGTACGACATCAGAACCAACTCCCCGACCCAGAAAATCAGAACTTCGATGAGAACCAATGCGATATCCTGGAATCCGATGGAGGCGTACATTTTTGCGACTGCCAACGAAGATCAGAACTCCTACCTGTGGGACATGAGATACATGGAAAAATCGTTGAACGTGTTCAAGGGACATGTCAACGCCGTCATGGATGTAGACTTTTCCCCAACCGGTAAGGAACTTGTGACAGGTTCTTACGACAAAACTCTAAGGCTCTTTTCAACGGATAAAGGCCACTCACGAGACGTCTACCATACAAAGAGAATGCAACGTATATTTATCACCAAGTTTTCGATGGACTCCAAGTACATTTTCTCAGGTTCCGACGACGGCAATATCAGAATATGGAGATCAAAGGCAAACGAGAGATCTGGTCCAAAGTCAGCACGTAAACGTGCCAAGGAAGAGTACGACGAAAAACTTAAGGAAAGATACGCAGACATGCCTGAAGTTAGAAGAATTGCCAGACACAGACATCTGCCTGGCTATATCAAACATGCCTCCGAAATCAAGGCCGAAGAAATCCAGAGTATCAAATACCGTGAAGAAAACCGCCGTAACCATAGCAAAGCCGGTGCGGTCCCTTATGTTCCGGAAAGATCCAAACCTGTTGTTGGCCGTGTCCATAAACAATAGCACTCTTTACGGCCTGTTTGTAAGCATTCTCTTTTTCCCCCGTTCTTCCTCTATCTTTTCTATTCAAATATGTAAATTCCCTATGCAGTAACTAAGTCTATTTTGCCGAGATTCCTGATTGTGATTACGTAATTTGACAAATCGCTCTGCTGATAACCAGATCGCAATCTCACCCACAGAAGGAGGCAGAAGACAACCTTCCTCAACTTCCTTCTTCCTTGGTGTACGACGTTGTCCCGATTCGATCCCGTTTCAGTAAGTTGGTACACAACTAGATTTACCCACGGATGACGGGTATTACTATTTCAATCGATGTAAGTTTCTTTTTCAAAAGCGTGTTCCATCATAGCAATCAAATGACTAACCATTTGGCAAAAATATTCCTTACAATAGAGAGGCGGTACATTTACAGACTGTATTGGCAACAGTGGGTCAGGTGATCCTAAAGATGACTTTGTAATGAAGCTTCTATCTGTTGATCCTTCTAATTATGCTGATTCGAATCTCGAAGGTATACGTAGGTTACTCGAACATTTCACTAAACAGTCCATTCCACGTGGTATTCCGCTCGACACTTCGCCGATAAAATCGCTTAGATTGGGTACCACCGTTGCAACTAATGCATTACTAGAAAGGAAAGGGTCTCGGTGTGCCCTAGTTACTACTAAAGGTTTCAAAGATATTTTAGTTATAGGGAACCAAAGTAGGCCACACATCTTTGACTTATCTGTCTCCAGGCCCGAGAAGTTATACGAGAGTGTAATAGAAATTGACGAACGTGTGACACTAGAAGACTATGTTGAAAACCCGAAAAAAGAAACTTCAACTCCTAATGGTGTGGACCTTGTGAAAGGTATTTCTGGTGAAGTCGTGAAAGTTTTGAAACGAGTGGATGTCGAAGAAGTTAAAACTATGCTTCAGCTGTTATACAATCAAGGAATCAGATCGATTGCAATTTGCTTAATGCACTCTTACACCTATCCTGATCATGAGCTCATTGTCGGTGGAATTGCCGAGAGTATAGGTTTCTCGAATGTTTCTCTATCCAGCCAGTTAAGCCCAATGATCAAATACGTGAATCGCTCAAACTCGTGTGTTGCAGATGCTTACTTGACTCCTGAGATCAAAGAGTACTTACATGGTTTTGAGTCCGGACTAAAGTATGGCTTGAAAAAAATAGACCAAACGGATGGTGATGACAATAAGGGTGTCAGCTGTCAGTTTATGCAGAGTGATGGAGGGTTGGTTGACGCTTCGAGGTTCTCTGGTCTTAGAGCCATTTTGTCGGGCCCAGCTGGTGGAGTTGTTGGTTATTCCCGTACATGTTATAATCCTAATAACCCAATTCCACTTATTGGATTTGATATGGGCGGTACCTCTACAGATGTTTCCAGATTCGGGGACGGGAAATTTGACCATGTTTTTGAGACAACTACGGCTGGCATAACAATTCAATCGCCTCAATTGGATATCAATACCATTGCCGCAGGTGGTGGATCAATCCTATCTTTTAAAAATGGCTTGATGCAAGTTGGTCCTGAAAGTGCATCGTCTCATCCAGGGCCTGCTTGCTACAGGAAGGGCGGTCCGTTAACTGTAACCGATGCAAACTTGCTGCTTCGCCGATTAATTCCCGAATACTTCCCCAAAATTTTTGGGAAAAATGAAGACGAGTCTTTAGATTTGGAAGTTACCAAAGACAAGTTCGAGTTATTAACCCGTGAGATTAATGCCGCTCATGATCACTTAGATGATAAATCTGTGGAAGAAATTGCATATGGATTTTTGGAGGTTGCTTGTGAGAATATGGCAAGACCAATAAGACAGTTGACAGAGGCAAAAGGTCACATCATTTCTACACACAGATTGGTTTCATTTGGTGGTGCAGGTGGTCAATGCGCTGTTCAGGTTGCTTCCGTGCTAGGAATCAAAGAAATCCTTATACATAGATACTCTTCGGTCTTATCAGCTTATGGCATGGCTCTGGCCGATGTTGTTGAAGAGGTGCAAGAGCCTTGTAACATGGAATTTACTATTGATAACATTGAGATCTTGAATGATAGATTGAAATTACTAGAAACTAAAGCAACCGGGAAACTAGGAAGACAAGGATTTAAATCTGAAAACATTGAGGTTGAGGCATATTTAAATCTCAGATATCAAGGTACCGAGTCTGCAATAATGGTTCCAAGAGAAGCTCAAGGTTTTCTGAAAACATTCCAAGCTATGCATTTAAGAGAATTTGGATTTTTGTTTGATGACAAACTCGTTGTAGTCGATGATGTTCGAATCAGGGCCAGCGGTAAAGTCAAGCAAAGATCAGATGAATCTGTTGATGAGCAAATACTAAAGCTTCACAAAGCAAACGGCTTTAAGGAGGCTGATCCAAAGAGACTTAAATTTGTTAGGGATATTTATTGGAAGGTTGGGGACGACTTAAAATCTATGCCAACAGAAATTTATCGTTTAGAGGATTTGAAAAATGGAACTTTTCTTCATGGCCCAGCAATCATTGCGGATGGTACACAAACCAATGTCATTCCACCAGGTTCTGTTGTCACTGTCTTAAAAACACATTTATTTATCCAAATACTGGAAAAGGATGCTAAGGGCGATCCAAAGCAAAACTTGATGAGTAGTGTCGAGAAGAAAGTTATACCTGATGAGATCAAAATTGAGCCTGTCCTATTATCTATATTTGCTAATAGGTTTATGGACATTGCCGAGCAGATGGGCACTTCACTTCAAAAGACATCGGTTTCAGTCAATGTCAAAGAAAGGTTGGATTTTTCCTGTGCACTATTTGATTCTGTAGGAAATTTGGTAGCAAATGCTCCCCATTTACCTGTTCATTTGGGATCAATGTCTGCTTGTATAGCAACCCAGGCAAAATTATGGAAGGGAAAGTTATCGCCAGGTGATATACTAGTTTCAAACCACCCTTCAGCTGGAGGTACCCATTTACCAGATATAACTGTCGTAACCCCAGCGTTTGAAAAAGGTGAAATAATTTTTTACGTTGCTTCACGTGCACACCATGCAGATATTGGAGGTTTACTACCTGGTTCGATGCCTCCAAACTCAAAAGAGTTATGGCAAGAGGGTGCTGCCATTTTTTCGGAGCTCCTAGTTAAAAAAGGTAAGTTTCAAGAAAAGCGGATGGTCGAAAAACTCTTGATAGAGCCTTCCAAATATCCGAACTGTTCTGGTACTCGCAGACTATCTGATAATCTTTCGGATTTAAAGGCACAAATTGCTGCGAACCAAAAAGGAATACAGTTGATAAACTTACTTGTTGATGAATTCGGCCTTCAAACAATCAATGCCTATATGAACGCGATACAAGATAATGCAGCCAGCACCGTCACTCGAATGATTGATCAATTGGTGGATAATGATGAAAGTAAAAAACTCAGTTGTGTTGACTACATGGACGATGGTTCTCAAATTGCTCTTGCTGTCTACAGAGATCCTGACACAAAGAAAGTTGTATTCGATTTTGAAGGCACTTCACCTCAGACATATAATAATTTCAACGCTCCTACTGCAATTACATATTCTGCGATCATCTACTGTTTAAGATGTCTGGTTGACCAAGATATACCATTGAACCAGGGTTGCCTACGCCCAATAGAAGTGAGGATCCCTAAATCGTCTTTACTTTCACCTGCTGATGGAAGCGCAGTTGTCGGTGGTAATGTCTGTACCTCACAGAGGATCACTGATACTATTTTGAAGACATTCGATGTCATGGCTGACTCCCAAGGTTGTTGCAATAATTTCACATTTGGTAGTGGTGGTAATGGACCGGATGGTAAGTACGTGCAGGGTTTTGGGTATTATGAAACCATTGCCGGTGGACATGGGGCATCAGAAAAATGGGAGGGTGTTTCAGGTGTTCATACGAATATGACAAATACGAGAATCACAGACGCTGAAATCTTTGAGAGAAGGTATCCTATCATATTAAGAGAATTTTCAATTAGAAAGGGATCCGGTGGTGTCGGTAAGCACAATGGAGGTGATGGTGTTATAAGAGATGTGGAATTTAGAATACCTGTAACTGCCTCCATATTATCTGAGCGTAGGGTCATCGCCCCTCATGGTATGCATGGAGGTGAAGACGGTGCAAGAGGAATGAATTTGTGGATAAGACACACTATCGACGGGGATGGCAACAAAGAAGAAAGAATTCAAAATCTCGGGGGTCGTTCTACTGTTGATATTAGTGCTGGCGATAGAATTATTATCAAGACACCGGGGGGTGGTGGATGGGGTCATGCCAGTGAGAAAGGAATTGAAACAACCAGATCTCTGCCGAATAAAAGAAAACTGCTCAAAGATGGAGGCTCATTGCAAAAGCGGAAAAGACAGCAATTAGAAAGTTGAATTACTACTTTACTCACAGGTCATACGACACTCTAAATTTGCACTATCCAACTTTTTATAAAGAACTTCATTGCTATCTCGTTTCTTCAAATAATTGAAGAACACTATGTAATTTAACTAACATTTCATCCCATTCACCTTCATCGGTACTCAAAACAGTCAATGCACCTCCTGCACCACATCTGTAAGTATCAAAACCTTCACAACATTCTAGGTCATCAAAATACCGGAACAAAGAACGAATAATGACACTCCAATCAGCGTTGTCGTTGACTGACCAATATCCACATATACCAGAATAGAGCCCACGGCGCTGTTGCTCTTCAAGTTGTTGTAAAATTTCAACTGACCTTTTCTTTGGGGCTCCAGTCATGGAACCCGGAGGGAGAGAATTTCTCAGTACATCGATACCTTTAAACTGATTAGTAAACTCACCCTCTATGACAGAAACTAGTTGAAAGATAGTTTCGTATTCTTCAACAGACATCAACTTTGTGACATTTATTTTTTCCAGCAAGTAGAGCAGGTTGTCTCTGATCAAATCCACAATCATTAAATTCTCGCCGATTTCCTTTGGTATTCTCAAAAGTTGACAAGCCTTTTCGTAGTTTAATTTAGGGTGTTTTTTCAATGTTCCTTTGATTGGACGCATTTGACATGACTTTGGGGTCCAAGAAATGAATCTTTCTGGTGATGTTGATAACAACATAGATGACTCGAAGTTGATAAATGCTGAATAGGGCGATGGATTCTTCTTGACCAACGATTTATATACTTCCCAAGGCTTGATTGAGTCAGGAATTTGAACAATTGTATTGTAAGTTAAACAAAGCTCGTAAGAATCTCCAGAGTGAAGAAACGTTTGACACTTATGGAAAGTGTCAAAATATTTACTCTTATCCGGCGTTCTAATTCTCGTCTTTGCAAACAACTCTGTTAGTGGCACAGCATCTGATTTTCTTGTGTTAGACAACAGTATACGCTCAATATTTGACAGGAATTCGTCATCCTTCTTTTTTATGGAGACTATAAATATGGATTTCTTTGGTGAGATTGCAATAAATCTATCAATAAAACAGAGCTTTGTATCATCAATGTCGGACTTTGTTCTTTTTGAGAGCTTCTTAGTATCAATAAAACTTCCTTCTTCGTAGGATACATAACCTACAAGCCCCCCAACAAAGGGACAGGATTTTAGCTCAATGTTTTCCATTTTTGGATTGTAAAATTTGTTCTTCATGTAGTCTGCCAAATATTCAAACATATCGTTTGTATGAATGGTTGAGGGAAGGGAATCCGACTTCCATTTCGACAGTTTTACAACATCAGCATTCTCTGTTGAGTGTGTAATAACCTCGGATTCTCCTATAGTTGGTAATGCAATTATTGACCATTCACCAGGTGATGACGCCGAATTCAACAGCATTATATCATTCTTTTGCGCAATCAGAAGGTCACATAGATCCAAAACATCGATTTGACCGTTGCTGAAAGCATCCAGTGTAAGAGTCTTATAGCTGATGTTGTAATCATTTGTAGACTTAAACTCACTAATTAAAGGACTCGAAGTTACTAGATGTTTATCATGGGATAGTACTGGCAGAATATCATTAGAAGGTGTAGCCTCTACCAGCTTCCAGAAGTTTTGTATCAAATCTTTTCCAAAAGTTGAGCATATTGACTCGGGGTGGTATTGGACTCCAAAATGCGGATATTTGGTATGCTGAGCAGCCATCAATACTTTGCTGCTGCCAGGCTTGTGATCTGTATAATATGCCAAAGCTTTGATAGAATCAGATGGCGTGATGTCACTGACGTATATGGAATGGTATCTAACCGAATCTACTGAGCTTGGGAAATTTTGAAAGATTGACGAAGCATCCACTATGTCAATCTTGTGAACTTGACCATGAATTGGGTCCTTGAGGTAATCCACGTTGCATCCATTCACCAAGCAAAGAATTTGAAACCCCAGGCAAATTCCAAGAATAGGCTTTGACTGACATTTTTCAAAAACATAGGGTATGATCCCAATGTCAGAAGCAACACTAGGCGATCCCGGACCTGGACCGATAACAATAGCGTCTACGGATCTTAGCAGAATGTCCAATTCTGTTTTGTCTGACTCACTACTCAAGTCATACGAATCATTATGCACTGTGATGACATGTGCATTAGTTGATTGGAGAAGAAGATCTCTCAAATTGTAAGTGAATGAATCGTATGAATCAACCAAAAGAATGGACATGCAGAGAGTTGGGAGTATGAGGTTGTTGCTGGGCAAGCATCTGGGATTTTTGAGTAATGTAACATGGAGATCCACCTGTCATGTAATTATGTCACAAAAATAATGGAGATCCGCCGCTTAACGTTTTCTGCACCCCAGTGAGGAAATTTTTTTATGGTTTTCTCGCCCAATGGCTTTAGTCACTGTGGCACACTGCGACACAGTATATGTTGTTGATGTAAGACGGACTCTAGTGATGACCACCAGCCCAAAGGTCGCTCGTATGAGATTGCCTTGGACTAAAGCTTTTTTGAATAATAGCCAACTATTTCATAACACTGTGAATCGAAAGTTTGGTTTTATTTGATTTGTACATTGAGGAGAACTTTCAAAAAATTAAATATTTTTGCAAGACCAGGACAGGTTAGATCAGAATATAAAAAGAGATCATTTTTTAAACATCGTTGAGGATTAATTACTCTATCCATAAACTGTGAAACTATTTTAACTGCTTACAGAGTACTTTCTCTTGCTTTATTCCGACCTCACGCTTGATGTATTGACTTACGTAATTAGATTCTTAGACGAAGTGATTATTCCCCAATTAGGCAACTTCCGCTTATCTTTGTTATTCAAGGAGCTACTTAGCTAGCTCGCTCGGCCAACACACAGGCTTCTAATATACAAGTTATTTCGAGGTTTACAGTAGAATCCATTGCAAAATGATCCGGAAAGCTTCACTAAAGCCCGCTTTTTTTGGAAAGGAGATGGGCCAATAATCATTGCTACAAATGTCAGGCAGTAAAACAGTTTTGGTTACTGGAACCTCAGGGTTTATAGCACAGCACATAGTTGACAATCTGCTCAATAAAGGATACAGGGTAATTGGAACAACAAGATCGGAGAGCAAAAACACGTTTTTGCGGAAGGAGTATCGATGTAGGTATGAAAATTGTCAATTGGAATTTGAAGTAGTTTCTGACATATCTGTTGATAAGGCATTTGACAAAATATTCATCAACCATCCTGAAATCCAATACGTTATACACACAGCATCTCCGTTTTTCTATGGTTCAGAAAAACCGCTCGATGAAGCTTATTTGGTACCTGCCTTGAAGGGAACGTTGAACATTCTTTTAGCTATTACACAGTTTGCACCTCAGGTGACAAATGTGGTGATCACATCTTCTTTCGCAGCCATGAAACAGATGGATGAAACATATACGACTCATGTTCATAACAATGAAACATGGAATCCGATCAAATGGGAAGAAGTGAAAACTGAGAATGATGCTTATGTTGCTTCCAAGACCTATGCGGAGAAAGCTGCCCGAGAATTTCTTAGGGAAAATAATCCGAACTTCAGTCTTGCAACAGTCAATCCACCATATGTATTTGGACCCCAGTGCTTTGACAGCTCTGTGGGGCTTGTACTGAATACTTCAAATGAAATCTTGAACACAGTGACAAAACTGGATCCTTCTCTCCGATCACCACAAGTCATGTTTGGAGCATTGGCAATCGACGTCAGAGATGTTGCAGAGTTTCATGTTAAAGCCCTGGAAATTCCTGCTTTGGCGTCTGAAAGGATATTTATTGCTGCAGAACCTATCACTGCGCAGAAAGTTTTGGATGTTTTGAACAACTGCTGTCCAACATTTTCTGGGAAGATTGCCAGGGGTGATCCATCACAAACCGCAAATTTGCTTGAGAAGTACTGTCCTAAGTACGACTTGACTCATACTCTGCGTTTGATTGGAGATTACAAATTCATTTCTCTCCAGCAGTCACTGACGGATGTGTATTCACAGTATTTTAAAGTGAACACTTATCAGATAGATGACAGAATTAGAAATGACAGTCGTTTTTAACTCCACTACCAAAACATGATTGCATCAGGTTTTCGACCCCTTACCTTAAAATATAGTATTCTGATAACTAGAAAAGTTTGTGTATTCTTTATTGTTGGTTTTACGGCTAAAAAAGTCATACCGACCTACACCTTCGAGAATACGAACATTAATTTCTTACGCGCCCTTGTAACAGGAGAACCTAAACTGCTTTTGATTCAAATTTGTAGACAAGTTCAATTGGATAGGAAAAAAGTTGTTAGTTAAAAGAGATTTGCCCTTTTCCGCCCAAAGACTATCCAGTAGATGCCAGCTACTAAAGATACACAAACGCTAACTGCAAAAATCAGTCCTGTCTTTGGAGATGAGTTTGAGGTCGCTGCAACTTTACCACATAAACGGCCTAGCTTAAGGGAGAGAAATCGTATTCCGATATCATTACACCTTAGTAAAGTAGGAAATAACGCTCCTCTAGGATGCTACGTATACACAATAGTAGATAGCCGAACAGGGAAAGTTTATCAAACTTTACTCAACAACAGCGAGGAGCAATTAGTTGATATGACCAGAAAAATCGGTGGTCTTGTGAGTAAAAAGTTTTCAGTTCCCACCTACATAAGCATGTCAGGAGACTGGTCATTAGAAGACATGGTGACAACAGTAAAGGAAGTTGTAAAGTTTGTCGATGAGTCGTTTTAAAGTGTTTACCTGTACAAATATGAAATCCATCAATATAGAAAATTAAACTTGCAAATGAATAATTCACGCAATCATTTAAAGTCTTTATATGACCACTTCTCTGTGATCTTCTTCTTTCCTTTTTTACCTTTATTGATTCTTCTGGTCTCAATCATACCCTTAGATTGTAAACCCTTCATTTGGTCGTATAGGAGATTACCTTCCGGCTTCAACTTTCTTAATGAGTCGCTCAATTCATTACTAAGCTTGACCTCAATTGGGCCTTCTATAACTTCAAATCTCGAGCCAAGCTTCTTCCTACCTTTCCTGAGTTGCCTGTCATCTTTAGTCTCGGTGCTAACAGTTTTTTTACCTTCAGATTCAATCTGCTGGAGTATATCAGGTAACTTCTCAAGTTCTTTGATTCGAAGTTTGATCTCTTTGAGGTCAGTTTCAAGTTTTTGTCTTTCCTTATACCTTTTTTCTTTGTTTCTTTGTGCCTTCGTCTTAATGTTCACTTGTGTTATCGGATTGATAGAGAGTTGGAGTCCTTCAAAGGTCACCGCCTTGTTGGCATCTTCGTTTTCGTCTGCGCCATTGTCTTCAACTTCATTCTTCTTTTCATCGTCGGTATCCTCTTCATTCTCTTCAATCTCGTTGTCCTCGTAGTTGGAAATCAAAAATTGAATACGATCTCTATACTCTTCAAAAATAAGCCTTTGGTCATCCTTAGACTTCTCCTTGAAGTACTCTTGTTCAATCAAACCCTTCCAATTCTCAAAGGAGGGATTGTAGGACTTACCAGCGTGCGGTAAAATCTCTAGTTTACTGACTTGGATTGGAGCTTCTTTGAGTGTCTTCGGTACAATAGTAGCTTTGGTAAAGGATATGGAACTACTTTCTTTCAGCACCATTGGTAGTTCGTTTAGTTTTCTCTCATCTTCCAGGACTGTATTCCACACGTCATACGCTTCGGCATTTATGATACCTTCTTTGGCCATTCTTTCGTCTGTCTTGTCATATCCCTTTACCTTACCAGCCAATTTCAACAAGTGAATCATCTCCTTCTTATCAACGCCCTGAATTTTATAACCATCATTCTTTTTGCTCTTACTCACTTTGCCCAACAATGCTGGAACCTTGGACCTGTTTTCCAAAATTTCGGTAGATTTCAGCTTTTTACCGTTCTCTTTGATGAGTTTTTTCTCTACTGCCTCATCTGCATCTTCATCAATGATGAACAAATCTTCACTTTCTATTTCACTCAACGGTTTACCATGTTGGATAATTTCTTCTCTTTGCTCTTGCAATTTCTTTTCGATGTCTGAAATATCTACATTTTTTCTCCATGAACGCTTCCCTTTTCTAGAAGTTTGGGTAGACGTTTGCGGTCTTCCTACCTCACTCATTTTTGATTGGTTATGCTGTACTTTAAATTGGTTTTTGATAAGTTGAAAAATCATACAAGTTCAGATAAACCAGAAGTTAGAAGGAATCAAAAATAAAAATTTTCAGGAAAAAAAAAGTACAATTTCCCAAAATGGAAAGACAGCCATCCGTGCACCATATCCAATGATCTGAAACTGTTATCAGATGAACTATAGTTCAAGAGGTGAACAGACTGGTTTGCTGATATTGGAAGTTATCAAACAACGATAATTCAGCACAATTTAGCAAGTTTGTCTAGGTCTAGAAGTGAGATGCCTTTGTTTGACCAAATTGCGGAAGAAAAAGCCGTTTGTAAGCTTTCTTGGATTTCTTATTTTGGTGGTTTGGCGATGCGCATTGGCGATAGTATCGAGCTGAATCAGCCGATTTTGAGAAGACAAGCAGATGTAGGAAAAGTTGGTTTTGCTTCAAAATTACTCTAAACATCGTGTAAATCAAAATGCCTTCTTGTAGATACACGTAGAGACAATGATGTTTACACAGTACCCTGACTCGCATCATCACAAATGGCATGGCGTACTTGGCGTGCGTCTGGCACGCTACAGAATTCCACTCTTTTGCTTGCTTGCGTTATGCATAGTTACGTTTGCTATTTTTGGGTTGTCCAATGAAGAGATGTACTCAGAAGTGGCAAAGGGCGAAGCTAAGACGTATAAACCGAATCACATGGGTATTCTACAGCAAGAAGCAGTAGAAGTGACAGATACTTCCTCAAAAAGTGAGCCACTTATTCAAAACCTTATTATTTTACCATGCCATGCCATCTTTGCTCCTGAATTGAACAACAAAATTACAAATCATGATTATGATGACAAGTTTGCGATTGGTAAAGATGCCAGCAATTGGATTATGGAACCTTTCCAATTGGAATCGGATGACCACTTGTCATTTTTTAAGCATCTCGAATTATCGTTAGCTGAACTTGAAAACATTGCTAATTCTGTCTTAGTCATATCTGGTGGGTATACAAAATCCTTAATAGAAAAGAGTGAATCATCGAGCTATCTCGATCTAGCTGAAGCTGTTGGGCTTACAAAAAACCCTTATTTCAAAATTGGTACCAATATACTACTCGAAGAATATGCTAGAGATTCGTATGAAAATGTTCTCTATGGAATTTGTACATTTTACAAAAAGTTCAAAAGATTTCCAGCAAAGATAACAATCATAGGATTCGGGTTCAAGCGTGAAAGATTTCTGTCATCTCACCTGACAACGCTAGGTTACTACATTTTGCCAACCATTGACAATGCTGAATTAAGTATGAACAATTTACCAAACACGAGACATGTGAAGTATGTGAGTGCTGGTCCTTTCCTTCCCGCCAAAAAGGCAGGTATCACAGAAGCTGAGTACGAGGAGTATGAAGACGAATTTTGGAACTCATTGTACCAAAATGAAAGGGCTAAAGCATTGGATTTATTCAAGTCTAATCCATTTGGATCAAACAAGTCGATTTTGCATGATAAGAAAATGAAAAGAGATCCCTGGAATAAACGGGAAGAAGTCTATAGCTTTTATCAAACAGGAAATGATATTCTGGACTCTTTGGTTGCGATCGACAAGTTTGACATCAAAAATGCCTGGAATATATATCAAAAAAAGGTTCTTCCGAACTTTCCATTATTCGAGTAACTGGGAAAGCAATGTGAGAAAATCAAGAGATCAGCCTATCGCTTACCTTGGTTTAGTTTCAGAGCCTTAGAAATTGGGCTGGAAGGCTGGGCATCTTTTGTTTACTTTCTTTGTTCGTGATATAAGAAAAGAATACATACAATTAATCCGTAGCGAGCGTGACACTGCGGTAACATTAAAAGCATCATGTCTATTAAACTTTTTCTCTAAAAGTTTGAAGCTATTCATAACCTTCTAATAAATCCACCAATTCTAGCTTCCTCTTTTTCATTTCATTTATCTTACTGATTTCGTTTTGTAAATACTCAATTTCTCCATCCAAAGTTTCAAACTTGCTTAAATAGTCCTCATCGATTTTCGAAAAAATGCCATCACTATCTTCGACATCATCCTTTTCTAGTTCCAAGATATAGTCATGGTACTTTATTAAGCTCTCTCTGTTACTGATAGTGATCAATGTAAACCCACGTGTTTTTAATAAATCAAAGAGAATGTCTTCATAATCATAACTAATTGCACTGGTTGGCTCATCCAAAACAACCAACTTTTTATTATGATAAAGCACTCTTGCAAAAATAAGCTTTTGTCTTTCACCTCCGCTCAACAAACTATCCCAATCAGTTTTGCCATCAACACTACCACCCACATAGCTATCACATAAATCCACTTTCTTATCGTTGACATTGATTTCTTCGATCATCATACCATGACCATGCGGATTGTACTCTAAACCAAACCTATCCACTAAGTAATCCAAACCAACATCCTTCAATATACTTTTTATCTTTGAATCATCGTCACCTTTCTCAATACACATTTTCCAGTTCAGTGGGTAAATAACTTGATCTCTTAAAGAGCCATTCACAAAATACTGTTTCTGGCTGACATACAAAATATCCGAGTTTGCCGGTTTACTCAACAAACCGTTATTAAATAAAGGCCATAACTCACAGATAATTCTAATAATTGATGTTTTTCCACAACCGTTCTTGCCATGGATAATCAAGTTCTCCCCTTGCAAAATCTTGAAGTTCAAGTTTTTCAAAATTGGTTTGGCAAATGGACCTTTAATTGAAGGAGGGATTATGTCGATGTGCTCAAATCTTAATCCGGGGAAGTTCTTTTGAATGGTACCGTTTTCAAAACTATTTGCGCTGCCACTACCAATCATACCTCTAATCTTGGACCTGGAAGCAAAGGACGACATGTTATAGGTGGACCCAAATCCACCTGTTGGCTTGCTTTTATTAATATCAATGTACCCATACTTGAAGTTTGAGTCATGTACTTGATGTAAATTGACTAAAAGAGTGAATATACGATCTGTTAAACCATTTAACCTTGAAATGTCTTTGATGGAATACATCAAACGTGAACCAGCATCTGCCATACTAAGAATGAGCCTCTTGTTAACGGTAAATGACTTGATATTGGATGAAGCCAAAGACTCTACTGGGGAAGATAGTGAATCAAATAAGATTGGTAAACTTGCAAAGAAATACCCAAAGGCTGGCCAGATTGATTTTAAAATGTAATCTTCCAATAATTGGAATCTAAACCTTTGGTTAATCTCAAAATTCAAATGCGAGATCAACTTGTTAAAGATCTCTTCCACTTTCAACCTTTCAAAACCAATGCCTTTGTAAAAAGAGATCTCTTCACAGTTGTTGATGAGGTTGAGATTGTAATTGTAGTAGATACTCTCAAAAAAGCTTCTGACTTTCCAGATCTTACTAAAATCCGGGGAGTAGTTTTTCAATATCAATCCTGTAACAAAGTAGTTCAACAATATGCCGAAGATCCCCAAGTTGCCAATGTTATCACGCAAATAAATTGCAAAGAAGATCAAGTCCACGGTTGGTTTACCCACGTTAGTGAATAAGTTCGTCAAGGAATCACAGAATCTTTTGATGTCCTCTGTAACGTACTGATTGAATGTCTGATGGTTAAGTTTATACTCTTCTATCGAGTTGTTGTTATACTGCAGCTTATAATAGACCAACTTGGAGTCCATGTAAAGATCATGGCAGTACCTGACCAAGTTTGTTCTGAAATTCAACGATATCCTTCTAGTGAGATACTTGATGCTGGAGTTAATGTAGGAGGCGGGGACCGCAAACAAGAACCAGTATATCATGTCCCTCATAAAGTATTTGATGTTGAAGCTCATTAGGTCTTTTGTGATCTGTCCGTCCAACTTTGTCACAAGTAAGGTCAACCACGTTCTGGCAATCAAGAAGGCGATGTGCGAGGCCAACAAATATGAGTTCTTGTCAAAGACTTTTGGAATGAGAATTAAGTTCCAGATGATCGAGATTTTCTCAAAGAATTGAAACCTCATTGCTGGCTGGTACCGATGAGGGAGGGTAGGGGTGCTAGACTTAGACATGTTAAATTCATGCTCTCTCATGAACTTTTTGAAAATCAACTTGTCACGCTCGTACTTATCAGCATTGGGCGTTTTCAACTTTACATCAATGAACTTGTTCTTGTAAGGAACGTGGATCACTCTCGTGCCGGTGTTGCTGGACGTAAAGCTGCGAATATCCAGGGCGCCTTTGATGTTCAAAAAAGAGTTGGAGAGGTTCGGGTGCTTCTGGAAATAGTGCTTGTACTTTGGCTTCAGAAGAGAAAACAAACGCACAAAATGATACGAGGATACTGACCCCACAATGACCAACATTGTCAAAATAAACAGCCACACGGGTTTGGCGTGTGGGCTTATGTTCAAGTACCGAAGCACCGTTGCATACCGTCGCCGTATTCGTTCCTCCGTCTTCAACTCGTGCAGGAGGAAATGGTTGATTTGTCTGAGCCTCGCCCTGAGCAGAAGTAGGAGATCTGCTGAACTCATCTTTGGTACTGTGTCTGTGCTGTTCTTCCTGTAACAGTTGCTTCGTGTTACCTTTATAGACACTACAATGGCCCCATACGTACCAAAAACCGTTCTACGTATACATCAACTTCACACTCAACATTGTATGGCTTGCGGCAGAGAGAATGCCTGGCTTATATCCAGACCTCAGTCCTTTCTGCTGCCCCTCTCCCTGCGTTTTCTCCGAAGCCTCCTCCCTCCTTCCTCCGTGCTGCCCGTGATCCCCATCCCGTCCTTCGGCATGATCCTTTCCCTCTGTGGCAGGTGCCCCACTTCTCTCGGAGTAACCGAATGCGGCAGTTTTTGTGGGGTACACAGAGGGCCGGAGACCGCGGTCCGCGGCCACTTTCTGCCCACCGACGCAATCGACGCGTCGATCGGCAGAGCAGACTTTGCCCACGGGCAGACGTTACTCCCTCGCTCTTCCGGTCCCCCTCGTCCGACCTCGGAGCTTGCACCCGACCAATCAGCAACAGGTGTTTTTTGCTTACGCCTGCGGTGCACAGGTGCAGGGCGATAGTGCACCGTACACACACAAAAAGATCCCTGGGCCTAGTGGCTGACCGCTCTGCCGTGTCCTGCTATTGTGAATGACTGGCCTCACTATAGAGTATAAATTGGATTACGTTCCTTGCTGGCTCCATTCACTTCTTCCTGCGGCGTGTGGTATTAGGGCTCGCTGTACCTTTGATAGTACTTTGGTGAACCAACACAGTCTCTAAAAGAACAAACTAGCATACACTAAACGTATTTGCTTTGAAATACAACAGAACACTAGAGAAGAACCGGATTTATAAGAAAAAAATAGAAACAAAAATGCTCAATCGTATAACCTTTGGCAGACCAATATTAAGACACGCTCTTGCTAACTACCGTCTTCTCAACACATCGAGGGCAGTCAAGAACCCTTCGGTGGGGATGACTGCGGCCTCGCAGAACTCGACGCTGGTGTCCCACCCGGTTTCATCGTACTCCTCTGCCGCCACAGAGTCTGCCTCCCCTGCCCCAAAGAAGTGGGCCAGACACGTCATATCATCCAAGCCGCAAGCGGAGTTGAACAACACCGAGAAGCAGACGTCGGCGGAGAAGCCTAAACGCCGGAAGAGAAGAACGTTGAAGCCATTGAAGGCTCCGATCACGTTGACTCCTAACGCTAAAGCTCACCTACGTGCGCTCAGCACGGGGCCGAACCCAAAGTTGATCAGAATCTCCGTGCGTAATAGAGGATGCTCCGGATTGACGTACCATTTAGAGTACGTTGACAAGCCCGAGAAGTTTGACGAGATTGTTGAGCAGGACGGCCTTAAGGTGGTGATTGACTCCAAGGCCTTGTTCAGCATAATAGGATCCGAGATGGACTGGGTGGACAATAAGCTGAGCAGCAAATTTGTGTTCAAGAACCCAAATTCCAAGGGTACCTGTGGCTGCGGTGAGTCGTTCATGGTGTGATGACCCCTTATCTGCATTCACTTCCACTATGGCACGCCACAGCATGTTAAGACTCTGCGCTTGAATACGAACTCGACCCCGCCTTCCTTTTCCTATACTGCGTATATATTGATTATATAGGGTATATGATACGATAAAATCTTTTCTAAGTAATACATTATTACATACATCATTAATTCATAAATCAAATACGAAGATCGAAATTCGCACTATTACAAATCAGTTTTATTTCAAATGTGTACTTTGATGTGTACGTCCTTGTAGTGTATTTGTTGTGTGTTTGTGTGTGTGTGTGCTTCGGTGTGAGTGTCTGAGTAATGTGTGGTATAAATGGATATATTGTTCAAACTATATAGCAGCGGTTTCTCTTCTCAACCAAGTCCATTCCCAACTCTTTTTCTGGAACCTGTGCTCAAACAACTCCCAAATGCTGTGATGATAATTGTTTATCCAATCTTTTTCCTCGACGGTTAACATGTTCACATCAATGAGTTTTCTGCAGTATGGGACCTTTGTAGTGGTGACAAATTCCAATGATCCTTTCTTGCCTTCGACCTCCTTCAAAAAAACCATGTTTTCAATCCTGATACCGTAATGGCCAGGCTTGTAGTATCCTGGCTCGTTACTTACTAAATGACCCTCCTTCAAAGTGTTTTTGTTACAGTATGCTCTGAAACCTATCCCAACCCCGGCACTGTGGACGGGTCCAAACGAGTCAACCCCATGGCCAGTACCATGCATGTAGTCCAACCCCTTGTTCCATAAGAACTGTCTGGCTATACAATCTACCTGGAACCCGGTGACATGGTCGGCAGGTATGACCAACTTGGCCAAAGCTATATGTCCTTTCAATACCAGCGTGTAATTGTCAATTTCCTCCTTAGTAGGCTCTGAAAAATGCAAGGTACGTGTAGTGTCGGTGGTACCGTTCAAGAACTGACTACCAGAATCACACAAGTATATTTTATTTGGATTGATAATGCTAGATCCCTCAGAAGGCGGAGAATAGTGGATGATTGCGGCATTTGCCCCCGTCGAGGAAATAGTTTCAAACGACAAGCCTTTGAAGTTTTTTAGTTCAGATCGAATCTTCAACAATTCCATTGCCGCCTCATATTCACTTATAAAAGAAGACTTTTGGATCAGTTCTTTCTCCAACCAAGAAAAGTACTTGACTAGCGCATAACCGTCTTCAATTTGAGCTTGTATTTGTCCTTTCAACTCAACTTCATTTTTTATTTCTTTCATGGACTTGATTGGAGACTCAATTTCAACGAAATTCTTAGCAATTATACAATTGACCATTTTCCAAGTTGCCTCCTCTGTCAGCAACAGCTTTTTGCCCGAGTTGTTCAATTGAGTTGCCGTTTTACGGATATCGAACCAGATCTCGTCATAAGATTTTATTTCACAATTGAGCTCTTTCAAGTAGTCTTTCAACTCTTCTTTACATTTGGTATCGATATCCGAGTACAAAGTCAAATTGTCAATCCCGTTAATTATCAAATAACTGTAAAACAACGGGTTGTATTCGATGTCACTACCCCTAAGATTCAAAAGCCAAGCGATCTCATCTAATGCGTTCAAGATCAGTGTTGAACTACCGTATTTCTTAAAGTAGTTTGCGTTCAATCTGTCCAATTTACTTTTCGCCGTTTCTCCGGTGTACTTTTCATCAAGTTTATACACCTTTTTGAACTCTCTGGTCGGAATTTTCTCAAACTGAGGCCATATTTTATCCACCAAATTATCTCTGACGGCGACCAACTTGACGTTATAGTTCTGATTTTCTTTGCACTTTTCGGCAATCAAGCTGTCAATGTATTTGACTTCTTTGAACGGGATCAACTTTGGGTCGATTCCAATGTTGACCACCTTTCCGGAATCTAACGAAAGCAGAGCCGCGTGGTCTACAGCACATTGCTCCCAGCTTTTAGTGTCTGGGGCGCCGAGCTTCAATAGAGACCAGTTGAAATCCAGCTCGTTGGCGGCCTGTGTGAAATATCTGCCGTCGGTTGCCAAGAAAGCCAACCCTTCAGGCTGGTCGTTCATGCTCGAGAGCTCTCTTGTTATTATCGCCACGCCAGCGGATCCACTAAAGCCAGACACAAAGGCCCGACGCTGATCGACATTCGACGTATACTCCGACTGGTGTGCGTCTTCCGAAGGGATAATGTACACGCCTAAGTTCGCCTCGCCCATCAACTCTCTGATCTTTTCCAAGCGGAGACTCGTGTTCAGTTCCTGCACGTCAGCACAAGACTCTTCAATGGACGATGGTTCCTCGGACAAAGCTCTTGCTAGGTGCAATTTCCGTGGAGAGGCAGGGTTGCTGCCACTCGAGGAAGGGCTCTGGTGTCTTGCTCCCGACGGCGACGCAGCAGCAGCAGCAGCAGCAGCAGCAGCAGCAGCAGTGTTGGAACTCGACATCATCCGCATCAAGTACATCGACGAGCGTCTGTTCCGGGACAGCAAGCCTGGTGAACAGGTACAATTGTTGCATCGGGCCCCTGCAGCTGACGTGGACGGCGTCCGGTGCCCCTGGGCGGCATCTCTGATTGTCGTGGCGCCCGCTATGCCGTTTTGCGAAATGAGAGAGAACATGGACGGCTTTGCCATGTTCGAAGCGTGTTGCTGCCTCATCGACATCGTTATTCTTCTGTAGTACAGTATCGTCTGGTATTGTCTAGGCGGCTTGATAAGGACGCAGACAGAAGATAAACGATAGCTGTGGTGGTAACGTGGCGGTAGGCGTAGCCGTAGCAGTGGGGAGTGTGCTGTCTATTTTCGTTGTGCTACTAGAAGCTCAGACCAACCGATAATCTACCCGGCACCGGAACAGCTTCCGGCGGTGGCAAACAGGGGCTTCCGAAGTCAGAAACCAGCCAACTGCTGTCGAACAATTTGTCACGACCCTCATTCTGGCTTCCCTGTCTCCCCTTTTCGGGTCCCCGCTGCCAGCCCGCACGGCCTCTCGCGGCGGCGGCGGCGGCGGCGGCGACGGCAGCATGTTTCTGCACCGGAGGAAGAAGACATGCCCAAAGAGGCAGTTTGTTGGACAGTAGCGGCTTGGAGGAGGCTAAGAGGGCCACGTAGATGCCCATTTAAAGCCGGAGAGAGTAACTAAGGACGAAGATGCAGCTTACTATGGCTGTGACGCTCATAGAGACGCTATATGCGCCGAACCAGCGAAGTGAGACGATTCTGCATGCCCAGCAGCAATTGCAGAAGATGCAGAAACAGGACGATGCTGACAGGCTGGCACACGAGCTGCTGCAGAGCGGCGACGTCAATGTGCAGTTCTTCGGGGCGTTGACGTACACGGTATATATCACCACGCACAATGTGGGTCCGCCATTAGCAGAGCTGATGGCTGACGAAATCGTGGACGCCTACAGGCGGCAGGTGTCTGCGTTGGCGATCACAAAGCTCATCTCGAATCTGGGTAAAATCTACGCAAGGACGTTGTACTCGCCACTGGATACGTTGTTTGAGAGGTTGGCGCAGTTGGCTCTGGATGGACCGACACTGTTGCAGCTGGGGTTAGTCGCATGCCGGATCATAGCCGAAGAGTTGAACGCGTCAGAGGAACTCACGAAGGAGCAGAACAGGTTGGTCATAGACACGGTACTCGATGGCACTACGAGGAAAGCACTTGATGCGGCAATCCCACTTATTGTGCAGAGTGCAGGAGATGGGACTGTGACGGGGAACGTAAAACGGCTGTGGCTTGAATGCTTGCAGACGTGGACGGTGTATGCGAGCCGCGTGGAGTTTGACTTCGCCTTCACGGTTGACTTGAACGAATACTACGGCGTGGCTCTGCACCTTTTGGCTACGAATTCCGACGTTGAGGCCCTCGATCTCATTTCCGACATCTACGACACAAACTCGCAGCTTCTCAGTCACGATAACAAAAGCAAACTCGATGCGCTCATCTTCAGCGACTGGTGCACAGCGTTCATATCGGCAGACGACCTCGACGACGTGTCCAAGTTGAGCAGGTTTGTCACCCTATTTTTAGACGCGGACATGATCAACTTGGCATCGCGAATGATTGACGCAAACTACGACTACAAGTTCCAGTACCTACTTCACCTCACTAACCAGCCGGGAAGCCCTATCATCGACGAGTCCTTTTCTGTGGATTTGCTAGACTTCTGGATTCTGTTCACAGAGAGTTTCATCAATGATACGGAGAGCATACACGCCATTTTGAAGAATGACGTAGAGAAAATTGCAGTCTTGAACCAAAAGGCACACGACTATTTTCTTCATTTATCCCAGATTTATTGGCACAAATGCCACATGCTCGATGATATCGACGGGATTGAAGACGAGTTTTATAGTTTTCGAAGGGATATTGGCGAGTTGTTTGAGTCTCTTTTTTCGATAGCAAGAGACTCGATTTTCAGCGATCTAACCCGCTCAGTTATTGGCAATTTGAGCGACTCCGGCACCTCGATAAATAATGAAAAAGCCAAGGACGTTGAAGCATCATTCTACTTGTTAACATCAATATCTTCCATATTCGGCGAAAGCAGCGTGACTCCTCAATTCCTAGGTGGCCTAGACGCCTTGTTTCGATGCAAATTTCTAGAATCGATTTTACAACTAAGCAGCACTACTGGAGTAAGTAAAGAGATGTATCACCATTTGATTAGAATCACCATCAAGTTTTTATCAGAAATTAACTGGTTTTACGGAAACGAAGCAGGCAAACCTTACATCAATGGAGTACTTATTTTTCTTTTTCAGAATTTGAATTCCAGAGCCTATCAAGAGCCAAGCTCAAGAGCTATATTGCTTATAACAGATAGCTGTAGAGATAAACTTTCGGGACTCTTAGATGATTTTGAAGCAGCCGCCAATTCTATGATTGTCAATAAATTTGAGGTTGAAATTAATGTTAGAGCAGGGATCATCAGAAGCTACGCCAATATCCTACAGACAATCAAAAACACAGAATTACAGGCACACAAGATCTCGAATTTGTTAGACGTGATATATTACGAATCTGTAACTGCATTTCAGTCTATTGAGATGAATCTATCCAATCCAGAAGTTTTAGAAAATATCAACAGTTTTTTGGTGTCAATGATTAGCTCACTTGTTGGTCTTGCCAAAGGATTACAGATCCCGGAAGACTGGGAGGATTATTATGATCGAAATGGGAAAGTGGTCCGGGATGTTTACAATTACTGGCAATATGAAGACATCAAACATTTTCAGGTGCATGAGAAGTGTCTCAAATTAGTTTCCCTATTTTCCTTTCCAAGAGAAAATTTAACTAATTCAATGAGCCTAAAAAATCTAGATCCTCTGATGTTGGAACAAGTGTTTCTTTTTTTCAAATCTGGTTTGAGTGAGCCCTTCCCAGGGCCCTTTGTTATTGATTATAACTTGATTATCGAATATATCCTAAAGTGTTGCCGATACTGTCAAACTGTGGATTTTTCTACTTCAGTTGAACCTCCTATGATCAAGATAATTGAGTTGTACGGTTTGGTTATTGGAAGTAACCATACCTTAATCACGATTTCGAAGATAACTGATCTTAAATTAGGAACGGCTGACTTGCAGATGGACTTAGTATTGAATGAGATTTTTTTCAAACAGATTGATATAATCATCAGTGAGCCGGATATCATGCAGGCGGTTTTCAACTTACTTGCAGGAATTTTGGCCAAATATCCATCCAATTTAATTCAAAACGAGCACATGATTAGAATCATTGAGATTGGGATTCAGCAATTATACGAGAATGCACAACAACGTTTTGTTGTTATGGCGTTGAGCAAACTGTGGTCTAACTTAATATATTTGCGCAAGGGTAAACAGAAGGATGTGGAAAATATTCAAAGAATATTAATAGAGGAGAACGTCGGGGCTGTACTGGTATATGCGCTGATGAAAGGTTTCATAGTGACATCTCGATCAAATGTTGAGTTCTACAGTGATATAATCAGAGCATTGACAGCGAAATACAGCAAGTATTTGAGCGGTTGGATAATGGATTCCTTTGCAAAGATTAATAATGAAAGCGAGAAACAGGTTGCCAAAGAAAACGAGGTAAAAACGTTCACTAAGAAGTTGATAGTAACTAGAGGCAGCCGTGCTGCAAATCGTGTGGTGCAGGAATTTTGGTATACTGCTACCGGGATGGTGGACTACGGCATATGATTATATGTATATGTAAGTTTGACGTGTAAATATATATGTAGATGCGAAATACAAAAGAAGGACAACGAATACATAGAACACAAAAAGAAAATATACAAAGGACGGGAGAGAAAGCAGAAGAAATAAAGATACAGAAGTTAAGAACAAGAAACAAATGTAGTAGACTTGTTCACACTTCTAACTTGTCCAATTGCTCGATCAAAGCATCTGATTCTGTTGATGGGTTTATAGACGATAGGGAGACAGCTTGGAAACGAGCTCTATCCACACCTTGGTAGGAGTCTAGACGAGCACGGACTCTAAATGCATACTCTCTGAAGAGAACTTTTTCTGTTAGATAGTTTTTCAAAAGGTTCTCGTCGCTAGCTTCTTTCATTTCGAGAAGCTTTTTTGCATCACATCCAAGAAGTGCTTCACCTTGCTCGTTGAACAAATTTAGCCACATCTGCCCGGTTTCATCGACAACACTGATGGTCAAGATGTATCTGTGGAGGGGCTCTGGATGATTGACCGAGCAACGTTCACAGCGCCATGTTCCATCACTCTGTTCAATGACCTTTTTGGAGCAACCTTCCGTGGCACAAGCAGGATAACTGAAGTTATCCGGTTTAACAAATGAGACAGACGCTTTCATGGAGAAATAATCTGGCTTTTCATTGAACCCCAACTTGGTTTCGTTAGCCGTGGCAATTGTAATTCTTTGTAGGATGCTATCTTTCGAGTTCAAATCGGAATTGCCATTGGATGTATTACGCAAACTCTTGTAGGATTCGGAGGCTCCTTCGTTGTCGTACCAGCCTTTCAATTTGTAAGCATCGGGCAGGTCTGGATTTGCCATGACGATTGCTGAAGGGATCAAAGAAAGTTGTTTGCCGTTGAAGTCGTTGACTTTGCAGCCTTTGATGGCAATGGGGGTTCCCGGATCGAGATTGAAATCACGGGCAAGTTTGTTCCACAATCCGACATTGATGGCAAACTGGGACTGATCCACGATGGTGATATCACGACGATCGTAAGGCTTCCCTGTTGATTTAGAGGTTATTTCGCGTTTCTCCTCGACGTTCTTCACTATACCGAGGACGTCGACGATGGTGTTGTTTTCAATATTTTGGATCTGGTCTAGCTTGGTGAAGTTGAACTGCATTTGTGGCACGCCGGACTCGTCATTGGCGGGTTCGACAAGGGAATCTTTATCGAGGTTGATTTCGTTGTCGTTGGCAAGGTTGGAAAACTGCTTTTTTGCTGTCTGGATGGACGCCTTGGTGACGTAGTAGACGCCGTTTTCTTGGAAGATGTCAAAGAACTTTTCAGCAGCGGTGTTGAAAGCGGTGGCCTTGATCTCTCCGGTCTCGTCCAGCAAGTGGACGCTGAACAACTTGCCCTGGCCACGTTGGTTGGACCATGTTCTCATGTCACCCTTGTAGCTGACTCTTGCCTTGATGGCCCACGAGTTGTGGTAAGGGGACAACTGGTCGATTGTCGTGAGGCCCTTGAATTTGGCTGGCACGGCCGCCTTCCCGTTGCTACTTGCGCTCGGGGTGTTAACTCTGGGCTTTGTATCCGTGTAGGGGTTGGAGTTTGACGGAGCTGGAGACGCTGCTGCGGCTGGCTTGGTCTCGGTACCGACGGCGGTGCCAGCGGCGGGGGAGACGCCAGACGCGATGCCCGAGTCTAGGCTCTTCTGGAAAGTGTTTTCGTCTGGATGCTCCTTCAAATAGTGGTCGAGGTTGGAGAAGTTGGCGTCGACACGCTCTGGGGAGCCCACGACCTCGCACTGGTTCAAGAGAATGAAGTACTTGCCGTTGACGCCCGAGATGGAGTAGTTTGTGACGTGGATGACCGAGAACTTCTGGAAGTTCTCGAGCACCTGCTGGTGCTCCGTGGGCTTGAAGACGGCGTTGAGAAACCACTTACCGTCGTTCACCATCATACGGATGCGGTTGGCGCCCTCCGAGAGCGTTTTCGCCTGGTGCGCCTGCACGTATATGGGTGTCGACGTGTCGTTGTTCTTGAAGATGTTCAGCAAGGCGCCGGGGGTGAGCTTGTCCATTGTGGCGGGGGGATGCGGCTGCGGCGGCTTTCTGCTGTGTTCTGCTGCTGGTGCTGCTTTCTTCTTTGCTGCAGGCCTCTGAACACGCCCATAACAGCTCTTCCGTCCTCAACGCAAACGCCAAACTCTTGCGTGTCTGAGCATCTGTGTGTCTGTGTCTGTTGCCCTCCTCGCGAGCTTAGCTGAGCATTCATTTTCAACTGACGCGTCTCTCTGCGTCTTCCCCGCTCCGCCGCCGCGACGCGTCGCCTGCAACCCTCGCCACTGAATCTTACGTTACCTTTTTTTTGCCTTTTGATTTGTTGCCCCTTTTCCTCTTGCCCTGTCACGCCCTCGCCCGCGGCATTCCAGCACGAGCCTCCAGACCTCGCACGCCACGCTTTTGCCCTCCGCCAGTCCCCGCTATTGCCCTGTTTAGGCCGCTATTTAGGCGGCGACGCGTCGACTGCGCGGCTTCGCAACTCCCATTCGTTCTTCTCCGAGTGATTATCACGGGCTCGCCTGCAGAGTTGCCTGCCATATGCCGGGCCAAAGCACCTCCAGCTAAGCCTCGATATTCGGGCTAGTGGTGCCGCTGCTGGATAGGGAAATGTAATTGTGGTATTCCTGACATCGCCAGGGCACCTGCACGCAGCCAAACAAGCAGAGATACGCCCGTGGATGCGGACCTGACGATTCTGGGGTCAAGCCTTCTCTTTTCCACCTGTGTGTATCGTCTGCTCACTTACGTGCCTGCCTGCACAAGACAATTGCTTGGTTCGTCACTGTCTCTCAGGCTTCTCCGCTCTTGAAAAAGCATCATCAAGCGCAGTCTTTTGATATATCTGTTTCCCAGACATCTCGCGGTTCCCGATTCGCAGCTGTCCTAGCCCGAATCCGTTCTCTAGACCACCTTGCAAAGACATCTGCTAAGACATCTGCCAAGACATCTGCAAAGACACAGGTAATCCGCATTAGCATCGGCATTTGAACACCAGTTCCTGCATCCAACATGTCTGCAAGCAACAGAGTGTCAGATCTGGAATCCTCTGGATACCACTACAGGACGCCCGTCAGTACGCTGCAGTCCTTCTTCGACCCGAAGTCGTTGCGCAACTTCATCCAGACGTGCAGCAGCATCCACAGCTTGGCCTCCGATCTCAACACAGACCTCGACGACGGCCTCCCCACCGACAACAACGACGCACGCGAGAGGGTCGCCAGGTATGGCAAGAACCTGATTCCGCCGAAATCTCAGAAGTCGCTGTTGGCGCTCTGCTGGGAGGCTCTCCACGACAAGGTTCTCATTATCTTGTCCATCTCCGCAGTCGTGTCCCTAGCGTTGGGTCTTTACCAGACCTTCTGCCAGCCGCCGGAATACGACGACGAAGGGAACCCGCTCCCGCAGATTCAGTGGGTCGACGGTGTTGCCATTCTCTTGGCCGTCCTTATTGTCGTCGTTGTAGGCGCCTTCAACGACTATAACAAGGAGAAACAGTTTATGAAGTTGAACTCGAAAAAGGAAGACCGCAAGATCATCGTCTACCGCTCGGGCGAAAAGCACTACCTCTCCATCCACGAACTCCTTGTAGGCGATATTCTATATGTTGAAACAGGCGACGTGATACCCGCAGACTGCATTCTCGTCTCCGGCGAATGCGCCTGCGATGAGTCTTCTGTCACCGGCGAATCCAAAACAATTGACAAAAAGACTATCTTCCAGGCCATGGATTACTTCAATGACGAAATCAAGAGCTTGAACTCTGGTTCAAACACTGATTTGAACTCCTCTTCCTCATCCTTTCAATTCGACGTCGGCGACGACGGCGTCTTGGACCCTTTTCTGATCTCAGGCTCAAAGCTTTTGTCCGGCCAGGGCAAGGCTTTGGTCTTGTGCGTCGGCGAGAACTCTGTAAATGGAAAGTTAATGAGAGCTTTAACTAATGATGATGAGGCAGACGATGTTACTCCACTCCAGCATCGGTTGGACCTGTTGGCGGACGGTATCTCTAAGTATGGCTTCTTAGCCTCCATTGTTCTTTTCGTCGTGTTGTTTTCCAAGTTCGTGTTCCGACTATCGACAGACATGGACGACATGACCACCGCAGAGAAACTCGCAGATTTGATCAACATCGTTATTACTGCCATCACCGTCGTCGTTGTTGCCATCCCCGAAGGCTTGCCTTTGGCCGTCACCCTGGCGTTGGCCTTCGCCACTACCAGAATGACCAGCGACGGAAATTTGGTACGTGTTTTAAAAAGTTGCGAAACCATGGGCGGAGCAACCACCATATGTTCGGACAAAACAGGAACCCTCACCATCAATAAAATGACAATTGTGAAAGGATTGGTTGGTTCAAATAAACTATTTGATGATCTTGCCAACCCATCTTCAGATACTAATCAAAATTTGAGCTCTTCCGTCAATGTCTTGAAAAACTGCTCCGAAAAGCTCATTGGTTTTCTGCTACAAAACATTTTTTTGAACTCTTCGGCTTTTGAAAACAACCAAAACGATGATGATGATGATGATGATGATGATGATAATGATGATATTAATATGGATCAAGGCAGCCAGAATAATACATTCTGGAGTAGGCTACCTTTCATGAGAAGCCCCAAGTACAACCATTTACTACCTTTATCAGCTGAAGATGAACACGGGCACGACGATAACGAAGATCCAATGGCCACCGGATTTCACGAGCGTAAGGATGATTTTGTCGGTTCTAAAACCGAATGTGCGCTTTTGTCCCTAGTGAAAGATAAATTTTCCCAATTTGATCACTCAATTCCTACTTTGCATCAATACAGAGAGTCAAATGAACATAATGTTGTCAAGGTTATTCCTTTTGAGTCTTCTCTCAAATGGTCTGGTATTGTTTACCATGATCCAACTGATGATTCCTACACTTTCTACATAAAGGGTGCAGCTGAAATCGTCCTTGCCAGCTGTCACTACCTTACAGATCACAATGGCAAAGCAATAAAGTTAGATAAGGATGGAATGCAGAAATTGCAGAGTGTTCGTGAGGGAATGGCTTCAGAGGCTTTACGTGCTGTTTCCTTGGCTCATTACACTTTCGATAAGTCTGATCTCTTGAGCATTGATTGGGACGATGTGACCCCACAGAAATTGATATCATATCACCTCCATTTAGATTTAATGGTTGGTATTCAAGATCCTTTGCGTCCAGGAGTCAAAAATGCAATTGAGCAATGCCATAAGGCAGGGGTTGATGTAAGAATGGTTACCGGTGACAACATTCTAACAGCAAGATCGATATCCCGAAATTGTGGTATTTTGAACGAAGAAACTTTCGATGATTCTTCTTATTTCATGGAAGGGCCCCAATTCAGGAAGCTATCCCATGAAGAGCGCCTCAAAGTTGTCCCCAAATTACATATTCTGGCAAGATCAAGCCCGGAGGACAAACGGATATTGGTACAGACTTTAAAAGAATTGGGCGAGGTTGTTGCGGTCACAGGTGATGGCACCAACGACGCACCTGCGTTGAAATTGGCAGATGTTGGATTTTCAATGGGATTATCTGGTACTGAAGTTGCCAGAGAGGCAAGTGATATAGTTCTCATGTCCGATGATTTCACGTCCATCGTCAACGCAATTAAGTGGGGTCGTACTGTTGCAGCTTCAATCAGGAAATTTGTCCAATTCCAGTTGACAGTTAATTTTACTGCTGTCATTTTGACCTTTGTTACTGCGGTAGTTAGTGAGGAAAACTCTAGTGTTTTGACTGCCGTACAGTTATTGTGGGTTAATTTGATCATGGACACTCTAGCTGCGTTAGCATTGGCTACAGATAAGCCAGATGATGACGTTCTTGACTCAAGACCGGAAGGCAGAAATGATCAGATGATTTCGACCCAGATGTGGAAAATGATTATTGGAATGGCAATTTTTCAACTAATAATTACACTAGGTCTTGACTCCTACGGCAGTTATCTGTTTTACGGGAAAGGTAACGAGGATTTGAAGATGATAGAGGAAATGATGTTGAAATCAATGACCTTCAATACATTTGTTTGGTTACAGGTTTTTACATTATTCGTCTCTAGAATATTAAACGAACCACTTGAGATAAACGAACATTCTACTTTGATGCAAAGACTGTCTCATAAAAACGTAGGATTTTTCAGACATTTAAGCAGAAACTTTTGGTTTATCGGTATTGTTGCGTTGATCTCGTTTTTGCAAGTAGCAATTATGTTTTATGGTGGTGCAGCCTTTTCTGTTGTTCCACAAACTGTATCAATGTGGCTCACTGCGTTGATTAGTGGTTATCTCATGATCCCATGTGGACTTTTACTTCGTGTTCTACCAAACGAATGGCTACTCAAAGTACTTCCAATATCGTCTATCAAAATGTTTATTGATTATTTTGAGTGGTTTGTGTTTGGCTGTGGCATGAAATGTTTTAACGGGAGCGAGGACGATGATAATCACCGTATTTCAGAAGCTGACGAAGGTAGTGATGGCGACCAAATAATCTCTCCTACAACAGGAAGTGATGATAACTCGTATGACTATTTCTCTCAACATACGGCGACTGGGAACAACAAATCATCTGGAAATATCAATCACCATGATAGTCACAATCCCGATATTGTGATAAGTGGGACCCCAAGCCCTTTGTTAGATACCGAAGTTTACGGTACTACTGAAAATCATAAAATGGCCCGTCTTACTGAAATACTATCCAGTTCAAATACTAGCACATCAAGCTTAAGTAACGTACCTTCTACCAGGGCCGAAAATACCAAACCTAACCTCAAGAGTGGTGGCTTATCACAGGAGCATTTCTTTGAGGGACCTACTAGGAATACTAGTTACACAGACACTAACTCTACTGCCGTGAGACCAACCTCTGAGTGATTGAGCTTTTCGTAAATATACTTCTTGCAGCCTATATTCAAAACTCGATTTCTTTCCTTCTTTTTTTAACAAACAATTACATACTTTTATCGCTTCTTTTTAAAAATGTACAAAGGCAGCTGTTTTTTATAATTAATCAAAAAGATTCAAATAATTACTTTTTTGCTCTTTGAGAAACTCTACAAAAGCAGCGTAAGAAGACTGGAAATTGAGAAAAGATTTAAAAATTGGCTGTAAATTGATCATGTTGTCAATGATTTTCATCAGCTTTTCATTTACTTCAGCTGGATGACCATCTTTCTTTGAGTTGTTATACAGATCAATTTCTTGAGATAGTTGTTCTTGCATTAATTTGCGTAGTACTGCCAACGCATTTTTGAATTCTGCAACTGTTATTCTATCACTCTTGAACGTCGCAGCATTTTGGAAATCTTCCCTTGCGTCTTCAATTTCTGAACTGGCAACCAACGATTTTAGTAAGTTGAACGAAATTTTCACCTCCTCAACTCTTTTTTTTACCAAAACCAGCTTCTGTAGATCATCTACAGCGTTTTTGTTGGTTTTTTTAGGATCTATTATATCTAACTTCTCTCTTGTTTGTTTTAAGTCATCAAGCAATGAATACATTGACGTATTCAAAGTAGCCAAATGGTATTGAAGCCTTGTGACTATTTCTTTTGATTCTGCTGTAGTATCATCATCTGATGATTTCAAACTTAATCCTAGCTGATTTTGTCCATCATAAGAAATTATTTGTGATGATGACGAATGTAGCTTTTCATAACTCTGATCAAATCGTCTGACAAGTTCATTGGTGTACTCATTAAAGTGCAAACTCAAGGCTGAACATCGTTTGAATAGTATTTTTAAAGAAGAGGCAGAGTTTAGCTCTAAAGATTTGTTGCTTAATGCATTTGAAATGGGTGCACTGGCATTGAGAGAAGTCATGAAAAGCGCATTGATGTAATCTGAGGGATTGAAGTCCTGATCGAAGAACTGAGCTAGCACTTGTGCCTCTGACGGTAACCCCAAATCAATGGTAGATACAGGTTTTTCATTGAATGACATAATGATTTCCTGGTATTATAACCAGATCGGAAGTTTAAAAGAGCAGGGGAGATAGAGGACTGTGGCTGCAACTGATAACAGACAAAGTGATGGGTATTGTAAATAAAGGTTCGGGTCTCGCTCGCATTTTTTCTTTTAAGTATTTTAAACATGTATTTTGGTAAAAGTATGAGAAGGTAAATTACATGAAGAAAAACCTTGAAGGAAAAAAACCACATTCCTAGGAACCATGTACAATGCCCCACAAGTTGAAATACAGTCAGATGCATTGCAGATTTGCTTTGAACTTGCAAAAGAAATCTCTGACAGGAATCCCAATACTGTGTGGTTAAGGATTGGACAGAATTCTTTTAATCTCCATGTTGCCAATGGCTCAATGATTGACAAAGAGCACGATTTAAAGCTAGTGCAGGAAAAGAATAGACCCACTTGCTATAAACTATTTTACGGTCAAAACGAACCGTTCAATTTGGTATTTCCTAGCGCTCACTTTGTGCTAGGAGTCGACAAACATTTGAACCTGACACGCATTTGTGGTCTGCCAAATATGTTTGTGCTTGGAACCAGTAACGGAGATTTGATCAAATTTGGTAACCCCATTCCCTTTAATATCAGCAAGTTTGTGCTGAAGGAAAACGCCCACTACGCTGATGTGACGCATGTGCTGAGCTTTTCAAGTGGCTCGGTTCTACTCACTATTGGAATAGATATGCAAATCAAAATATGGAAAAATGATTCAAAGGACCTTGATTTTGGAAGTCCGATTAGGATACTGAAGGGAATTCATCAAGGGAGAATTACAGACTGTGTAATGATTGGGCGAGGGAGAAACATCGTTAGTTGTGGATTGGATGGACAAATCGTTTTTTGGGAATTAGGTAGCGGAGAAGCAGTTTGGAAAGGCCGTCGAATACGTGACCTACATGATGGCTGCACCTCTTTATGCATTAGCAAAATAACTAGTGAGGAGACACATGTCAATTCAGAAATGTTTTTCGAATGTGATGGGAAAGTTTTGTGGTCCGGACACGTTAGTGGAACTGTGTCAGTATGGGACTGTTCGACCAGACTAAGTTTAGGAGAATTTCCTACCAATCAAGATGGATATCAGGTCCAACAGATTGAGGCTTTGGAGACTATGAACGGTGTTATTATAGGGCTGAATAATGGTAATGTAATTTTGTTTACATATGATTTCAATCAGAGGAAAGCTATTAAAGTATGGGAGGTTAATGTGGAAAAACCTGAAAATGAGGATGGTACTATCGATATCAAAAAGATTAGGGCTCATAAAAGTCTGATTCTTGTATTAACTGATAACTATCTTGCCTGCCTTGATCTTAAAACTGGACATTTGATTAGTTCGTTTGTTGGCTATGATGACTCGGTCAATGATTTTTATGTTAGCGACATGGGAAATACAAGCAAGGTGGTTGTTGCTGGTAAAAGAGGTTTCCTGTCTATGTTCAAGCTTTAAGGAGTCCATTCTACAGAACAAAAATTTTTTTTAGTTGAAAGTAATGTTTACTAAAGAAAGTTATATATTTCTTTTACTGAATGCATATACATATATTGTACAGATATTAAGAAAAGGTGGAAATTAATTGTAACAGAAATGAGAATAAAGCATATAAAAGAAAGTATAAGGATATGAATGACCTACTTTTGATTCAAATTCAGAGGAGGTAATGATAAAGCATTAATCGAAGGTAACACAGTAGACTGGTTTTGACTTTGGTCTCGATTTTGAGCTTGTGAATGTAATTGTTGGTTAGTTGTGCCTTGATTTGAGTTTTGGCTCTGAGTGTGAGCAGGCTGCTGTGGTTGTGTTTCAATCTGCGATTTAGCAGCAACATTCATATCATAGCTGACTGGTTGATACTCAAGTGGTGTTCCAACCCTGCTTGGATGCATCTGATTTGTAAATATGGATGCGCTAGTAGTGTTTGTGCTTGAAGAGGCTGCAGTATTCGGAAAACTAGGTTGTTGTGAAACAGGGAATCCATTTGAGTTAGAAAGGACATTATTATTGAAGTTGAAATTGTAATGCTGAGCCTGCTTCTGAACTTGTTGTCCTTGCTGATCTAAACCTTGCCCCATCATTTGATTACCCGGATACCCTCCACTCATCGAAGCCATCATATATGGCTTACTATATTCTTCACTTTTAGGGTATGTGACTGATTGCTGCGACACAGAGTTAGGAGATGGTATACCCTGATGCTGGTGGGAGGACTGGTGATGTTGCATTGGGTAGAGGGATTGCAGATTAGAAGTATAAAAAGGATTGGAGGGCTGTGAAGTTGGAGTGGGGGTTCTGATCTGCTGAACCTGTTGGGATAGCTTTTGAAAGTTTGACAAGTTCATATCATTGAAAACCGGGTTTTGCATTGTTGGGTTAGCATACTGAGATGCATAGTCAATTGCTGACATTTGATGTTGCAGTTGTAGTTGCTGAGGTGGAGAGATTTGTAACTGTTGTTTTGAGTCATGTAATTGGGAAGGCGATAGTTGCTGTGGAAGTTGTTGTTTATGAGAAGCTTCTTTCTGTTGTTGCTTTTCCAACTGTTTCTGTTGCTGTTTCTGTTGCATCAACTGGTGGTGATACTGCTTTTCAAGACGTCTCTGCTCCTTTTGAGCTCTGCGTTGAGCAGCCTTTTCAGCCATTTGTGTTTTCAAATTTTGTTTATAAACGCAATAATCACACTTCTTCTTGTTGTTTCTCTTTGGGGTATACTTATAACCAGGATATTTTTCAGCATGCAACCTCTTCTCCTCTTCAGCAAGGTTATTCCAATAATCTTTTTCAGCAGGTTCTAAAGCTCTCCACCTTCTTCCCAATTCTTTGGAAACTTCTGGATTGGATTTAACCTGGTTCCCTTCTTCAATTAAAGCGAGGTGGTGCTTTTGTCTGAATAGGATAAAAGCATTTCGTGGTCTAGGGATTCTCTTTGAATCGTTTTGTTTACAAGTACATTTAGTAGGTATATTAATCTGTGGTTCTGACTGTGCTTGAAAGTTTTGCTGTAAGTTATTCTGGTGCTGCATTTGACTGATCGCTGGACTAACATGATTTGAAAGTTTTTGTTGAGGATTACGATAGTCGTAAGGTGAGCCTGTCAAGACTTTGGGCTGTTGTAGATTTTGATAAAAGTTTGGGACCATAGGAGATTGTCTTTGTTTCAAGTATTCTGCTGCTGAGTCCAAAGAATCTAATTGATAAGGAGAATTTGACGGAACGGAGAACTGTGCAGGTGAATTAACATTACTTGTGTTCGACTTCAGCTGGTTCATGGAAGGATACATTCCTGTCGAAAACTGACTATTTGAACCCTGAAACTCATTAAGCGATCTCAACATAGTAGGTTCAATCATATTGGGGTTATTGGCATGGTAGAACAAGGAAGATTGCTGTGCCTGTAACTGTGGCTGGCTGTTTTGGATGTTTTGGATGTTTTGGATGTTTTGAATGTTTTGAATGCTTTGGGCGTTCTGGACATTCTGAACATTTTGAGCACCTTGGACGCTTTGAATGTTCTGGACGTTTTGAACGTTTTGTCCATTTTGGACGTTCTGGACGTTCTGGACGCTCTGGAAGTTCTGTGGTTGTTGTTGAAGATTTAAGTTAGCAGTTGGCTGTCTTGGAGAAATCATTTTTGATAGAGGTGGAAGTGAGGTTTTTGCTTCTTTGTCATAGTTCATGATTAGCAGTTACGGATCGACTATTATAATGATGCTTCACCTGAGTAGTTTACTCCCAACAAAAGTCAAAAGAAGGAGAAGAAGGTAAAACAAAGGTGGGAGAAGGACAGAGAGAAAAAAACAACAGCAAACAATAGTATCAAGACTGATGAATCAATGACTGGATGTGAAAAAAACAGACAAAAAAAACAAACGAGGCTAGAGCAAGTCGGTTAAGCTTTGGAAAGACTGAGAGAGGGGAATTCCTTCGACTGGTTGCAAAGAATGAGAGGAGGAGGAGAAAAAGAAAAGAAAGAAGGAGACGATAGGAGAGTTCCACACTTTCTAAAACAAGGAAGATGAGGTAAGAGGAAGGAACAGGAAGATAAAAAGCAAGCAAGCTAAGAGAAAAAACAGTATCATAAACAAAGGAAGGAAACAATACCAAAGTCAAAATGCCAAAATACGCACAATATTGAGAAAAAATTCAGCCAACCCAACTGTAGGAGTCACAAACCCGATACACGCTTGGAAACCAAAAAAAAAGAAAAGAGCTCTAGAATTGAATCTAAACCATCTGTACTAGCCACACCATCACGACGAGGGTGGGAAAAGTTGGTTAAGGTATTAATAAAGAATAATGCTAAACTCTCACAGGCGAACAATTGCAAAAGTGAAAACGGGGGGTTTTGTGGGAATGGCCGAATACTCGTACATTTTAGGCTCCTGCTTAATAATTATTCATGGGTGCGCAGCAACGTTTGCTGCACTAACTTTGGGAATTTCCAAACGCAACGTTGGAAAAAAAAAACCAGCCTTGACGCTCGCTAATTGGAGGGTCGAGCCTATGAACAATCCTAGTTTCCGTCGGACCCTGCAGCCCCTCCTCTTTTTTTCCTCTGCTTCTCGCCTGCGAGCGTCAAAACGGAAGGGGAAAAAAAAGAAACGAGTTTTCGAGGGGCAGCGGGGGACAGCAGGGAGTAGTGGTGGGTATCAAACAAGACTAATTGTGCATATGCAACAAAGGAACCACGCACACCTGCAAATCTGTTTCCCGTACGTGCATATACGAGGCTGGAGAAGGTGGAACGGGTAACTGACCCGACAACGCCACAATAGGCATCTGTACACCACTAGGAGCTTTCGCTGGTGGGCGAAAACTGAGTTCTATTGTGGGGACCAGATGCACATGGTGCGATTTGCAGACGTGGCCGGCCTTTGCGTATGTGCAGGCGTGGCCGGCCTTTGCGTACGTGACGTGCAAACATGCGTCCCTGTTTCCAATAACATTTACGAAAGACACAAGATTATTGACATTGAGGCTTGACGTGGAAGTGGACAATAAAATGGACATCGGCCTAGCCCTAGCCATGTCCATCGGCCCGGCGTCGGGAACTGGCTCGGCGTCAGCGCTCCGTGTTGTTGTGGCCGGCAAGCCACCCGCCTGTTGCCGAGTGGGATTCACGCAAATGCCGGGGAACAGTCCCATTGTGCCGGCGGCAGCGAAAAAGCACCCGACTTACACGTCTTTGGAGGAGCAAACAAAGGCTATTCCAGGGTCCACAATTAGTTGTTAATCCAGCCTTTCGAATAGTCAAGGGGTGGGGTTTCAGGTCGGGATGTGCGTGGGTGGGGGAATGTATAGAGAGTGTGTGCATGTGCGGCGTAGATGCCATCCCTATTTTTTCTTCCTCCTTCCCTTTTCCCTCCAGCTGCCCCTTTGATCGTCCCGCACATTGCCCTCTGGTCCACAAGGGGATCGCATCACTGCTCTGTCTTCCAACCGCCCCTGCAAACTTGCTCTGGCAGAAAAACATAGCCAGATGGGGAGAACAATAGTAGTGTAAGTTGCTAGAGCAGACTACATTCTTTCCCTCGTATGCACATCGTCTTTACACGGAAGCCGGTGCCTGCTAAATGCTGCGATTGTTCTGTCCGCTGAAGAGAGTATTGTCTTTTTTCGCATACGTCACAGGATACTCTTGCCATCGGCGTGTGCATCTGCAAATGCACGAGACTGGAAATGGAATCAGAAGCGCAGCCGCGGAAACACCTGCAGCGGATACACAACCACCCTTGATCTCTAACCACCCGTGCACCGGGAGTCGGTAGTCTTTGTTTACTGCTCCGCAATAATGTGTCCTTGGCACGGCGTGCACTTTTGAGCAACGGTTCTCGCAAGAGCGAGCCATCACACCGAGGCAGCCAATCAGCGTGGAGAACGTTTTCCCGATTAGGCCGCTCCACCCCTCCACTTGAGGTTGCCATGGCACAACTGGGCTAGCGCCGCACATTTTGTTTACCTCCCGCTTTGACAGATCAGAGTTGGAGGTCTCCGTCTATCCGTTTTGGGAAACAAACCAAATACTTTCACAAGTTTTCACTTTTTCAGCAATATCGCCGTCTATTAGCCTAGTGGTGTTAAGTTTTGGATGGCAGCTTCGACGGGGTGTGGGTACAAGATAAACCAAGTTTCGCTCAAGCGTCCTTGGAAGATTATAACGAAGCTAATATGGCATGCCGTTCCAGTAACCTGTAGGGAAAAAAGGGCCACAAAAGAGCCGCAAAAGAGCCGGAAAAATCAAAACAACAATAAATTAAGATTAGGAAAACGGTTTCCCAGTTTGGAAATATGCTCTTCGGGCTCGGCGAATCACAACAAACTTTCGGCTTTGCATAATAAACTGAATGTCACAGCTGCTAAGATTCTACCCTGTCTTTGTTTACAACTGACGAAAGCTTGTTCGCCTTTCGGCTTTCGTCTCTCTGACGAGGGATCTTCCGACGTATCTCTTCTTTTCTTCTTTGATCTGTTCTTGGCTTGTTTTGATTGAATCCTTTTCAGTTTTGAGTCCGCCTGACTACTTCTGTTTGTAACTCTTCCATCCTTTCAACACCTAACAGCAATAAAAACAATCTGCCTTTTGTCAACTGGAAGCTAGCAATCACTCATTTAGTGCTTCTTTCAAGGCCAATATCGAGTTAACAACATAGTAAATCATCAATCTGATTTTCTCATCCGTACCATTTTAGTTCTTCTGAAACAGCAAACTCACCTTAGTCATTCCTTTACACCCTAACTTTGCTGCTTTCATTTCAAGAACTATCTACCTATAACTTATAGAACTCACTGATACAATCTTTTGTCGAAATCGCTTAAAAAATATATTAATTCCATTAGTCTTATTTTATTTCTACCCTTAAACTACAAGATGTTATTGAAAAACTTGCTACTATCAGCATTATTCTCCAGTGCAGTCTCAGCTGAGTTGACAACAACTTCTCAGGTCACAATCACACTCACAGAAACTCTGCTGACACCTTCCCAATCCGCTGAAAGGAAGGCAATAGATGATGCTTCCATTGCTTCAGCTGCATCGGCTTCTTCAGCTGCATCAGCTTCATCCGCTTACGAAGCGTATGTTGCTTCGGAATCCGCTGCTGCTGCATCAATGAACATGGAACTATCCTCTTTGTCATTTGCTTCGATCGCTTCAGTTGCTAAGCAAGCCTCCTTTGCCTCCGTTGCTTCAATGTCTGCTTACGAAGCTTCTGTTGCCTCTGCTGCATCGAAATCATCTTACGATGCAATGATAACATCTTCCGCTTCAGCAGCTTCCTACCAATCGTACGAGTCTGCTTTAGCTTCCTCTTCATACCGTTCAAGACTTTCAGTTTCTTCCGTTTCCGCTTCCCGTGCTTCTTCCGCTTCCCGTGCTTCATCAGCATTATCCGTTTCTTCCGTTTCTGCTGCATCGTCTCATTCCAGAGTAATTGCTTCCGAATCAAATGCCTCTCGTGCTTCATACTTGTCCTGGAATTCTCAACAATCTGATATTTCAAAATCAAAGGCTTCAGCTTCCTCAAAATTCATGTATGCTAAAACCCATACTATTTCGTCTGTTTTGAAGGTTAGCTCTTTGTCAAAAGCTGATGGACATCGTGCCGTCGCTTCAAACACTTCGACTTTGAATACTGTATCTGTGTCCACGACTAAATCAGTTTCCAAGATTTCTTCCACTTCTCATGCAGCGGGCAATGCTTTGACTCCAGTTACTGGGTCATTGTTTGGTATTGTCGGTGTTCTTGCTGCTATGCTGATCTGATAAGTAATACACATCAGGAATTTTTTTTTTCAACTCCGTTCACTTGAATATTTCCACTAGTGACATTTTTTTTTCTTTGCTCCTTTTTATTATTACTCTTATTACTCTTATTACTTTTTTCCTTCCCTTTCAATGTATATTTTAGGTGTACTTATGCTATCTGAGCACATATTTACCTCTTGCTTCCACATTTCTGAGCAAATGTGAAGATGAATGTATTTTTTCTGATAAGCATATACTCAGTGCACCAGTTTTAAATGATTTATTTATTTTACCTAATCGTTAATAGTAGATGTATTTTATTTCAACTGTTTAAATGTATTATACATGCTTTACTTTTTCAAATTGAATATACAGGTAAACAGCACATTTCTGGAGCCAGGTAGAGACTTGATAAATCTGCTGAACTTATGTTCCTTTGAAAGAGTGACATATATTCTTAGCTGCTCGTTTTCAGTGTCTTCATGGCATGCAATTTTGGTTACCACACCATTCACTTCAATACTTTCTAAAAGTTCAAAGCCCCTCAAGTACTCGTCAAGTTTCCAGATCTTCAAGCTTCCGTCCCATGAACCACTAATAAAGATATCGGAATACGGAATAGCATATATGCTCGTTATCCAGAACGGCTGAGGTTCTGGAATTTGTGCCTCTGCAAGTGGTTGATCTACTTCAGCACTTGCATGATCGGCTTTGGATGCAGGTTGAATGCCATGACTTATTCTCTTAGTGAATAATGGTTTCTTCTTGTTCAAAGACCACAATGCTATGTTACCATTGTCAGAACCGGTCACAAAATGAGAATCATCAATCATTGACACACAATCAATGCTTCCTTCAAAATATATCTTTTCTTCTGGTTCGGTGCCACTACTTTTGGAGTTCTCCTCATTTCCGTTATGCTTTTTCTTCTTGCCATATTTCTCATGAGAATCACCACCTCTGAAAGTTAACCTTGTCTCATCTGCAATCTTCCAGAGCATAGCTGTACGATCCCTTCTACCAACTGTGACACATCTTTCGAGTCCAAGAGCAGAAATATCGACAACAAGGTCTTGGTGTCCGTACAAAGTCTCTAGTTGTGCTAATTGGTTGATACTGTAAGTACGGATCTTTAGATCAGCACACGCCACGTACAATTGATCTGAGTTTCTTCGGAATGTTAAACTTAAAACTTCACCTTTCCTATTTTTAGTTTCTAAGACTCTAATGCAAGATAAACTGTTAACTGACCAAACAATGATTCGACCATCCTTACCACCAGTCACCAAATACTTACCATCCGGACTCACAGCACTGGTGTATATTTCATCATAGTGCCCATTTTCTGCGTGCTCTTTTTTGAGTTCTTCGAATTCTTGCCCTCCTTTCACAGTCTTTAAAATCTTTGGATTCTTGGTAGGGTCTCTGATATCCCACTTACTGATTTCAATATCTTTGGATGTGGTAAATAAGTACGGGTAGCTGACACTGACCGATGTCAAGCATTTGTTTGGCACTCGAGTAAGTTTCTTTTTAAGAAGTTCGTCGATTTCTTTGGAATAAAATTTGTAGACCCACCCTTTCTGTTCTGCAACATCTTTGCGCAATCTTGAACTGATGATTTCGTCATCCAAATCCTTTGCGTTGAAATCATAGTTACCACTGCCACCGTTCTCGCCTCCTTCTTCTGCACCCAACGAAGCTTTCAAGTCTTTTAGATACTTCTTGGCCAATCGACGTCTTTTGTCAGCCTCACTTTCATTCTTGAACTCCTCTTCTTCGTCAGACTGAATGTTTTCGTCTATGTCTTCGACCTCATCGTCGCCTACATCGGCAAAAACATCACTATCAACTTCTTCCTCGTCTACATCGTCGACACTTTCAGTTTCGCTTTCCACATCTTCTGTGCTTCTGTGCTTGTTTCCTGAGGCATGTTTCGAATGTTGCGCTCTACTATTGTTTGCAGGTGTTTTCTGTCTTTTTTGATTAGATCTGACTGTTGATGTGTTTCGGTTATCCTTATTTCTCCGCTTCTTTTTCGAAGGGTCCACAAAAAAGGAGTCCACCATGATGTATATAGCTTAAAGTTTTCTTGTTTGGACTTTAGGAGTACCTCACTACACCCACTTACTTGTAACGCTTGATCCTTTACTCATAATTCAACTACTGATATAAAACTTTCAGGGAGGTAATGAAAAATTTAGATACAAAAAAAAAATAACTTCAAGAGATAAAATCTTTGAAAATTGCGGCGATCGGCGCTCCACGAAAGTTTCACGTTTCATACGAGACACGAAACGTTCAACATGGGAGAATCTGTTTGCTTATCTCAAGAGTCCTCATCCTAAGGCTAGCATCAGTCAGCTAGAAACAAAACACAGGACAACACTAAAGTGGCATTGGAAAAAAGACATGCATTTGGACGATAAGCTTACTCCTGCTTACTTTCAGGAAACTGCTGTGCAGGTTGCTTCTACCTCAAATACTCTCTTCACAGCATCGAATCTGTCAATCAAGGTTTTCAACTTGAAAAATTCGTCCAGTGAGCCTGAAATTGTGAATACACTTGATCAATTGAAAGGAATTGATATCAAGGTGTTTAATAGCAAGACAAGTGCGCTAGTCGCCGGCGGATTTGACTGTGCCTGGCACGATTTGTCAGATTTCATTGTTAAAGATAATGGTGATAATGCCCACGAAACCTTTGGGATCTCTGAAATGAAAAAACTGTGGAAGAGCAGTTCCCGGATTACTCAAGCGATTTTTACACACGGAGGTCAACGTGCATGTGTTGGCGACCTAGCCGCTAATATGGTTATCCTTGACGTATCCAACCCTAAAGACGAAACTACTTTTGGGAGAGTTGTTGAGAAAGTCAAAGTGTCAGGTGAGATCACCGGGCTGGCCTACAGCTATTCCGTAGACTTACTTGCGGTGACTGTTGCTGATGGGGGCCTTACGATATATTCGTTGAGCTCGAATACGCCCGAAAAGAAAGCAACTATTGGTACTATACTGGCCGATAAAAGAATCGCATTAACTCATGAAATGGGCTTGGTGGATGACGACTCCGATATGTCAGATTTTTCGGATGAGGATGACGATTCAATGGTAACCGAAAGCACCCTTGGGGGAGGCAAAAAGCAGAGAGATAGCAAAAACAATTTGCTCAAGTTTGCTGCATCCAAAACAGTGTGGAACCCGGTAGGTGATATCTTAGCTGTTCCAAACAAAAATTTCAAAATAGACTTTTACAACGTTGTTAACTGGTCTGCTCCCACATTCTGCTTATCAGCAGGGCCTCTACATCACAAAGATTACGTGAGTGCTTTGGGTTTTTCTCCAGACGGAAAGTACTTTGCTAGTGTCAGTTTAGACAAACTGCTACTGATATGGGATCTGGCAACTAAAAAAGTAATCGGCAGAACCAACATACCAATCATTGGTTGCGATATCACATGGCCTGATGATTCAAGTATTATTGTTGGTTCTAGCAAGGGTCAAATCTTGACCATTGATAAAGATACATTCAAGACGTTAGTTGGCCAGCGCCCAATAAGAGAAACAAATGATGAGATTGAGGAAAAGGTGAATGGTAAGATAACAGCTGAAGACTCAGATGATATGGGTGATGATGTGTTGCAATCTAATGACGAAGAAAATGAGGAGGATGTAAACTTAGATCGGCCAACGTCGCAGGATCTTGACGGGTTTGTTATCGATGATGATGACAATCAACGTTATTACGGGGAAGAGGACAGCAATAGAAGAAACCATGAAACCATGTCTGAATCAACAGAGTTGACCGACTTCAACAAGCGTGCAAGAAAAGAAAAGGCAGGCGACAGTCATTTGTACAGATTGAGTGTCAAATCAGGATGGGGCAGATCATTGACAAAACCATTTTCCGTCGGTTCCACCCCATGGGCAGGTTCAGATAGAAGGTATTTGGCTATAACATCTGTTGGATGTGCATACACAGTAAAAACCCAGGATTTCTTTAAGATTACTGTTTTATTCTTTGATGAAGAGAATCATAGAAAGTATTTTTTTGACGATTTAGTTGGATACGATATTTGTTCCATCAATGACCAGGGTTCGGTGTTTGCAACGAGTGGTTTTAAGAAGAGTAAAGGCTTCACCGCCAGGATTGAATACAAAGATCATAGTAATGGCAGAGGTGGAGAAACACAATGGATTAGGGAAGTGACCATGAGACCTTATGAATTCATCACTAGTCTTAGCGTATATGGAAACTTTGTTTTCGTCTGTACCAACAAAGGTTTTGTGAGAAAATTCAATCTTTATGGACGGCTGCTCAATATGTCGATGATGGATTGTGTGGTGGGAATAATGAACAACAATTATTATGTTTTTACAATTATCAAGCGAAGTATAGAAAGTGGATATGTTTTCAATATTCAGAATCTTGATGGTGATTATATTCAGCAAGAGGTTGGTATCCCGTTGATAACTGAGAACGATTTGAATGATGATGCAGCTGATGTCCCTATCAAAAGCATGTTTTTTTCTGCTGAAGGTGAACCATGTGTCATAAGGAATGACAACTTATTACTTGTTTTGACAAAATGGCGAGATCCATCCAATGGACCTATTTGGAAACCATTATTGGACATCCAGGAAGGTGTTTCAAGGGCAGGTAGAGGTAGAGAATTGAAGGCATGGCCATTAGGTTTGTATGGCGACAGTTTCACCTTTGTTCCCTTCAGAGGTAGTAAGAACTACCCTATATTTCCACTCTTGACACCAATGAATGTGGATATACGGATCCCACTATCATATGAGGATCCTGATAAGAAGCCAAGACAAAGAAGGGAAGAAGAGGAAGATGCTGGACTTTTTGGCGACGAAAATGAAAATGAAGGCCCAACTACGAATGGAGATACTGAAAAGCCAGAAAATCCAGAAGAAAAGTTTCTACGTACCCTTGTTCTTGCTGAAATGCTTAACGACGCAATCTCAAACAACGACGCAACTGATTCTGATACTATTGAGAAGCTACAGTTGTTGAGTCTTGAGTACGACAAAACATTGTTGATACAAATAGACGACGCATGCAGTAGTGGTGATTCGGATGACGCTTTTGAGTTGTGTAAAATGATTAGAGATTTCCGGGCCCTGAACGCTGCACAAAGGTTGGCCGAAGTGAAAGGTATGGCCGGATTAGCTAGAAGAGTTAGAGATTTACGTGAAGCCAGGATGGCAGAGGAAGAGGAGGAAGCGGTAGAGGAAGTCAACTCAGATGCTGATCTTTAGCCGTAAGTGCATCCTCCAAACACAAACACACATGTACTTTTAATTTATATGCCTAGAGATTCGTAAAATCGAAATGTTACAAACTTACTTACGCTTACGGCGAGTCTGTGGTCCTTGTATCTTGGCAATATCATTGGCAGATAGCACCAAACCATTTGGGGTGCTACGTCCAACAGATTGTATTTTCAAGCCTCTATCTTTAGACTTGCCTTTGTGTGAGTGGCCCCTACCAATCAACTTATCCTTTGAAATAAACGCCCTATCGTTATCAATTTTTCGGAACTGTCCCTTTTTGTTGATGCTCATAACTATGCCGTTCTCCTTTGCTTCTTGTTCGTGCTTCAAGATTCTCGCTTTCTGAGCTTTGATCATCCCTTGCCTTATTTTCATTGGCATTTTCTCAAGCTGGGTCAATTTCTTCTTGTCGCCGTTGATACTGGAAAGTTGGTTCATTCTTGCGTCAAGAGTTCTTACTCTTGCCTTTCCAATGAGAGGGTCGTCCAAGGTTCTCAATGTGAGCTCTGCGCCAGAAGCTGTATTTCGACGTTCATCTGCAAGATTCTTCAAAATGTGCGATTCGTTAAGGAGCCTCTGCAAATCAATGTCTTCTTTCAGTTCTTCAGCAGATGTCCCCTCCTTTCCCTTGCCAGCTGTCCCCTGTTGTGCTTCATTTTTCTTCTTTTTCAACTCTGCTAATGTGAGCGGTTTGCCCGATTTTCTAAGCTTTTTCTCTGTAGCGGTTGGCTTTGCCACTGTTGCGGCAGAGTACTTGTCTTCAAACTTCACAACTACTGGTGCCATGTTCCGCTCCGTGTTTTCTTTTCCTGGTCAAAGGTTCATTCCGAGGAATACGACGGAGTTGACAAAGGTATTAAAGATCTGAAAAATAAATCATGTAAAGAAAACAGACAAAAAAAAAATGAAAAAAAAGTATGGGCACCAGCCACCTCCGGTACACCAGCCACAAATGTCTGGAATGGACCTGAAAAAGTTGGCAGGTAGGGATTCCACCGTGAGTCAGAATTGGACAAGGGTGATGGAGGGATCGAGAAACCATCCAGTAAGCCAAAGAACCATGACCAGATACGTTGGATGTATAGATCTTCATGCTGGAAAGGTGAAGCAGATTGTCGGCTCCACTCTAACGACGAACGATAAGTTACTAGCTACAAACTATGTCTCTCCACATACCCCAGCATACTACGCCGAGCTCTACAAACAAAACAACGTTTTAGGAACACACGTCATCCAGCTTGGAAGCAATAGTGAAAACAACTGTGCAGCAGAAGAAGCGCTCAGAGCTTGGCCAAACAAGCTGCAAGTTGGTGGTGGAGTCAATTTGGAAAACTGCAAAGAATGGATTGCCAAGGGTGCTGACAAGGTGATCATTACCAGTTGGTTGTTCCCTGATGGGGAACTGAGCTGGGAGAGATTGAAGCAAGTCAGTGAAGCTGTTGGAAAAGAGCATTTGGTGGTGGATGTGAGCTGCAAGCGTGTGCCGAATGCCGAGACAGGCGAGATCACATGGGTGGTAGCGATGAACAAGTGGCAGACGCTTACCCATACGACGTTGGGGAAGGAGCTTTTCGAGCAGCTGAAGAACTACACCACCGAACTTCTAGTGCATGCTGCTGATGTGGAAGGTCTTTGCAAAGGAATCGACGAGGAATTGGTGAGCAAGCTTGGAGAATGGTGTGAAGACTGGCCCGAGGCCAAGATTGTGTATGCCGGCGGAGCCAAGAGCCTAGAGGACCTGAACCTTGTCGACAGGCTCAGCGGCGGGAGGGTCGACTTGACATACGGGAGCTCGTTGGACATTTTCGGCGGGTCCGTCAAGTACACCGATTTGGTAGCGTGGAACGCCCGGTTCGGCAACTGAGCCAGTCCGCCTGTTCAGGCCTCTGGCTTTTTATAACTAGAAAATATGGATACAAAGGTTTTATACGCATGTACTCACTCGGACGGATTAAGGAAAAATATCGTTCTCCCGGTCGATCTGATGAAGGACACCAGCGAAACGCCAAGCGTGTGGCCCTTCCTCGCAGACACGGTGACCAGCGGCCGTATGTAAAAAAGCAGCGACGAAAGCAAAAAGCTCTGGATGAACGGCATCACTATCTGGTCCACAAACAACGTCTTGAGAATAAGCCCTGTGGAAATGTGCTTGTCAATTTCTCCATCTTTGGTGGTATGCTTTGCCTGGTTTTCCTCGATTGCGTTTTTGATAAGCTTTGCCTTGAACGTCTCCTCAAAGCGCAAGTCCGGTATTGTCACCGGGAGTGACATTGTTTCGTGGCTGCTGATCTATTGAGACTCTTTTCTCCCCGACTCTGTTATTTGGCCACTCTTTCTGCCCTGTCTACCTATGAGATAGCCGTCATTTGACCCGTCTCCACCCAATCCGGCTTGCCAGGTGAGAAAAAAGGCATTTTCCGCCGATCGGCCTACCATATTTTTTTCCCGAAGCAGAGGAAAAAATGGAAATGGAGATGGAAAAGCTGAAAGAGGCGAAAGGACAAGACAAGACGGAAGTCTGTTGTTCCTTTGTCGGGCCGGAAGAGTTGTAGGAGCGCAGGAGTAGCAGACGTACCGGGTGTATCTAGTCTAGCGAAAGAGACAAAGAGATGTCGAAAGAGCCACAAATTACCATCAGGAAAGCCGGACGGGACGAGGTGGATTTCATATTGTCCGATGTGGACTTGGCGCTAGCCAACTCATTGAGAAGAGTGATGATTGCCGAGATCCCCACGCTTGCTATCGACCTTGTGGAGGTGCAGGTAAACACGTCTGTGCTTGCGGACGAGTTCATTACACACAGACTCGGGCTGATTCCGCTCGAGAGTGAGGACATCGAGCAGTTAAAATACACGAGAGACTGCACGTGCGAAGACCACTGTGACAAGTGTTCGGTGACTCTGGAGCTCAGGGCGAACTGCGAGACGGACGAGACGATGAACGTCTACTCGAGCCACTTCATCATAGTGTCTGGGAACTCGGGCTTGAACCTCGGGAACCCGGTGATCAGAGACCCAATGAAGAAGGGAATTCTTATCTGCAAGTTAAAGAAACACCAGCAGTTGCACGTGAAATGCATTGCCAAGAAGGGGATCTCCAAGGAGCATGCGAAATGGTCTCCGTGCTCCGCCATCGGATTCGAGTACGACCCTTATAACAAGCTCAAACACACAGACTACTGGTACGAGGAGAGCGTCGAGAAGGAGTGGCCTATGAGCGCCAACGCCGAGTGGGAAGAGCCTCCGATTTCGGGAGAAAAATTCGACTACATGGCCAAGCCAGAGAAGTTCTACATCAACCTCGAGACCACTGGGGTTTTGAAGCCAAACGAGGTTTTCAGCAAGGGTTGCACGGAGTTGCAGAAGAAAATAGCCAACATTGTTTTCGAACTTGGGAAGTTGGACCAGCAGTCGCAGAATACCGAGGGAAATCTGGAAATGACCAACGGCTACTACGGCACCAATGCCACTGCTGCCAACCCGAACGCTGCCAACAACTACGGTGGATACGATGGATACAACGCTCGTGGTCCCAATGGACAGGAGGGCCAGCGCACGACGTACGGCGGGGAGACAAGCTACGGCGGGACGCAGTACGGTGGCAACACTCAGTATTACAACGACGGCTCCACTGGTAGATGGTAGATGGCCTTGGAGCTTTGTAAACCTTGTCATAATATGTATAATTCAAAAACTCGTTCACTATAATGTATCTTTGTATAGTTAGTAATGTCTACTGCACCCATCCACCCAGCCAATGTTACGTAAGCTGCTGGCAAATTCGCTGAAAGAGCGTCATGATAGTCAATTGTTCTAAGTTGGACGGGGGTACCATCACCAGAGAAGAAAAGGGCAGTCTTCCCATATATTAGGACGTGCCACTTCTCAGCAGGTGATCATCATAGCAGTGATTGCCACGAGGTAAAGAGAGAATAGCACAGAACCTACCTATAGACATGGATGGAATTAGTGGGAAGACAATTTCGATTGTCATGAGCAACGACATCAGGTTTGTTGGTGTGATTGAAAAAGTCGACGCTGAAACAAAGATCATCAGCATTCTCAACGCCAGGTCTTTTGGCACCGAAGTCAGAGTGCCAGACCCAAGTAAGTGGATTTTGCCAAGTCCTGAGATACATCCTCGTATTGAGTTGAACGGTGATGTGGTGAAAACGTTGAACCTCCTTGAGAGTAACGTCGAAGACCTGAAGCCAGAACTCTTGCCTGGAATGTACCAATACAGCATGCCTGGGTTTAATGGTATGCCACTACAGGGGATGGGTGCTCCCTCTGGGTTTGATCCATCTGGTAATGCACAGTACCAATCGTATTATCCTCCACAGCCTGTGCAACAACAACCGTCGACACAATATTCAGCCGAACAACCAGCACAGCAGTCTCAGTCTACACAAGCTGCAACAACGGAAACATCACCTGCTAATACCGAACCACCTGCTGCAGCCAGTGAAGCTGTCGCTAGCGTAAGTACAGAGACACAATCTCAATTGACTACTCAAAATGACGAGAAGCCTGCCAACCCTGCATCGGATGGCAAGATGGGGGCTGACTTCGATTTTTCTGAGAATAACGCCAAGTTTGAAAGAGATGCAGCCAAACCGACTTTAGACGCTGGCACCTCCTACAACAAGAGTTCCTCCTTTTTTGATGATCTATCTTCATCTATCACTGACAGAACAGTAGATCGTATGACATGGAACCAGGAAAAAACACTGAATGAAGACACCTTTGGCCAGGCAAGCTTGAGAGGGCGTGGCAGAGGTAGAGGACGTGGAAGAGGCAGAGGTAGAGGCAGAGGCAGAGGTAGGGGACGTGGAAATTCCAACGGAAGAGGAAGAGGTGGATTCAATAACAATCAAAACGGCAGCACCTATAACACCCAACCGGAATGGGCATTCTGATTGTATGTGAAAGTTTTGTGTATTCTGGTACATTAATTAATACGATTTTGTAGATATATCTTGTTTTTTCTTATACTAATATTTGTCCCTGTCTAGCTCTAATGTCGATGTTGAAAAAGATGTAAAAAAATATGTCAAGCGAGTGATCTATTATTGTATGTTCAACAGTGTCTTTTTTTTTCCTTTTTCTATTCATTGTCGATCATATGATGTGAATCATCCCCCAGTCAAATAGGAGGCCGTTATTTTCCAGCTAAAATGAAGAGTATTCCCAAGGGCTTGTTACATTCACGCCAACAGCTTATACATGAATATCAAGAGTTGCAAAAAATTGATCGTAGTATCTACAGCAGGGAGAAGAAGAGCTTAAATCATAGGGCTGAGAACAGATACAGAGATGTGATCCCCTACGAGTCCACCAGAGTGAAAATGCAGTATCCTACAAAGTACACGGTTGATGGATACATCAATGCATCTTTTGTATCTCCGGATGGAAGTGATGTGCATCGATACATTGCATCACAAGGGCCTTTAGAGAATACAGTTGGCGCATTTTGGCAATGTGTTCTAGAGGAGATTTTTTTACATGATAAAATAGTGGTCAATGTGATTATGCTAACTGAATTGAAAGAAGGGAACCATGAAAAATGCTTTGATTATATTAAAAATATTGAAAGAGATGTCCCGCAGGCAATGCATGATGTTTTCAACGTCGACTTTGACCAAGTCAAATTTAGCGGACTACAGACGTTGAATGAGGGTGGAATCGAGCTTCGTGAGTTTGTTGTAACAACCACGGGTGGACAGGAGAAGATAGCTCGACATGTTTGGGTCAGAAGGTGGCCCGATTTTGGAGTTCCGAGCAGGTTAAGTGACAACAATGAATACGTTATCAAGTATTTGAGCGATGCGGATAGCAAAGCTGGCGTGAGTAGGAATGAAGTTAGCAGTGTTGTACATTGTTCTGCAGGGGTGGGGAGGTCTGGGACATATATTGCTATGGATTGGTACTACAACGAAGTGTTTCAAAAGCAAGATAAAGAGATGGAGAGTCGAGATGATGTTGTTTTCAGTTGTGTGGCAAATTTGAGGAAGAGCCGTGTGATGATGGTGCAAAGATTTGAACAGTATGAGTACTTGTACCATGCGTTAAGGGATTTCTACGGTTCGGATGAAGGTTTATAGCTGAATTGCGTACAGTCAATGTATACAGATCTAAATGAAAGCACAAAAAAACGTAGAGAAAGAGAACAAGAAAAACAAGAAGAACAAGAACAAGAACAAGAAGTACAAAAGAAGAGTAAGGTAAGCATGAAGTAGCGGTAAGAATGTAAAAAACGATTGTGATAATGATAACGGTTTTGATTGTGATTGTGATAGAATAGAGTGGATGTGTTATTTTGGTTTGACGTCTCTTAGTACCTGTATTTTCCTACGCCTGGCGTTGATAAACCAGTTTGAGAGCTGCTGTGCGCTAAGACCAGTCTTGCGCATCAAGTCTATCTTTTCCTTGCTGTTTGGGTAGGGGTGATCGAGGTTGTTGTTCAACCAGCTCAGTAGGATCGAAGTGGATTGCTTCGGGAGGTTAGAACGCTTCTTTTTCGACTTACCGCTCAGCGATATAGAAGAAGAAGAAGGAGATGAGGAGGACAACGAAGAGGAGGGTGAGTCCGAGCCCCTATTAATCAGGCTTTCGCTTGAAGAGGTGGCTGGAGCCGAGGTTGAAAGAGAGGAGGGAGAGGGGGGAGATGAGTGGATTGTGTATTTTCCCTCGGCTTCGCTGTCCTCGGACGTCTGGGAGTAGGAAAGGGAGTATTTGTGATGCTGCTGATATTTGGGTATGGAGTAGTCCGGGTAGTTTGTGTGGTTGGAGATGTACTGCGAGTTGGAGAAGGAGTTTTTAGGCATCTGGAAGGAGGAGTTGCCGAACGACTGCTGTGCGACGCTGGTCAAGGTTTCCAGGGAGGTTGAGGACGGGTTTGCGGTGGACGTTGCGTTTGTGATGGTGTTGAGGCTGCTGCTGGAGAGCGGCGGGTTGTAGAGCAGGGAGTTTGACCTGGAGTAGGAGGAGTCCAGGGAGGAGAAGGACTCGGACCTGCTGTTGTTGGAGAAGGAGGGGTTGTGGCGCAGCACGGGCGGGGAGACCAGGAAGGGGCTCTTGGAGGCCAGGCTGGTTGGCGAGGTGCTGACGCTCATGGACGGGGAGGAGGAGCCGGACCCGTTGGACGATGCGGACAGGAGGGTGGAGATCGACGGGAGCTTGATGGTGTGGGCGGCGGATGGTGCCGCGGCGGCAGCGGGGGCCGGGGGGTTTGCAGTGGTGGGGTAGGAGTAGGAGTATTTGAGGAGGTCGTTGGAGAGCGCCGAGGACGACGAGAGCAGGGACGGCGGGTTGTAGAAGGACGCCGGGTGTGGTGTCTGCGGGGACGCGGCGGCGGAGGCGGGCGATCCCGAGAAGGGCGGGCGGTTGAGGTGGTTGCGGTTGAGGCCGAGGTTGGTGGTGCTGAGGTGGTGCTGGTGGTGCTGGTGGCTGTGGAGACGGCGCCCGAGGTGCGGAGGGGGGGCGGCGGCCGCCTCCGCGGCGGCCGCTGTGGCGGGCTGGGCGGCCATGGCGGGGGGTGCAGGCGGGGGGATGCTGATGCCGATGTTCAGGGTGTCGTTGTTGACTTGCGACTGCTGGAGCATGGTGGGGACGTGGGCGAGGGTCTGTGCTGCGTGAGCGTGCAGGGCCGGGATGCGGAGGGAGGGGAGGACCAGCGAAGCGGTGCAGACGTAGGCAAGAGAAGAAGAAGAAGGAGAAGACGACACACGCTACACAGAACAAAGAACAAGCACGTTGAAAAGAACGGTGGCAGCGGAATCCCGGCGCCTGGTGGAGGAAGGAAGGACGCAGGACACAGACGCCGGCCGCAGGAGGAGATAGGCCCTAACGCCAGCCGGCCTCGGCGGTGGCAGCACCGCAGCTGCGCTGCCAGATAGCGAGATAGCAGATAGGCCGCGATACCAGATAGCGGGCCCGGGGCATGGCCGGTGTTGCTCGCGACAGCCAACGGGCGGCGGCGGGCGCAACGGGCGGCGGCGCTGTCAGTGTCACCGACTTTGACAGCGGGCGCGGTGCGGTTGGCCCGCTGACAGGCGGTGTGGCAGCGGCGCGGTGCAGATAACGGCGGGCATTGGGCTGCACGGGAGATAAGCGCGGCAGCCAATCAGCGGGCGCGGGCGCGGCGCGGCGGGCGGGCGCTATCACAGGTTGCTGGTGACGGTGACGGTCTTAGCGTTGAGCAGCAGCGTGGCCGGGAGACGCTCGGTCCAGAGCTCGAGGTCGACGACGTAGTCGACGCTCTCCACCTCGCTGCGGTGCAGGCCCACCTCGGGGGCCGGGAGCGTGCTGAAGAGCAGGTCTGTGCCTGCGGCGGACTGCGCACGCATCATCTCGTTGAGGATGAGGAACTGGCAGCGGCGCGTCATGTCTGCGAAGCGCACGGCGAAGCAGCCCTCTGCGGCGGGGCCGGCGGCGTCGGCGTCGACCTCGACCCCGTAGCCGTCGAGGCTGTCTGTGTCGGAGCGGGGGTCTGTGTCGGAGGAGCCTGGGTCGGCGTCGCTGGGGCTGGGGCTGGGGCTGGCGGAACCGGGCTGGGCGGGGCGGACGTCGCCATCGGCATCGGCAGTGCCATCGCGGGGCTGTGGGGCGGGGCCTGTGGGGCCTGTGGGGCCCGTGGGGCCCGTGGGGCCCGTGCTGTCTGCAGCGGCCACGGCGCCGCCGCCAGCAGTGCCACTGCCCCCGCCACCGCCACCGCTATTGCCCTGGGTGCGGCTGGCGCGGCCGCTCCTGCTATCTCCCGCGTCGTCCTCAAACATGATGGACGCTTCGTTCCCCTCCGCGTTCTCCTTGATGGTCGAGTTGGGCATCCGCTCCGCCGTGAACGCACTGCGCTTCATGCGGCGCAGGCTGCCGCTGCTCTTGGTGTGCGCCACCAGCGGCCTCAGGCGCTCGGCGTCGTCGTCGCTGGCGTCGCTGGCCACGCTGGCCACGCTGGCCACGCTGTGCACGCTGTCCAGGTCGCTGACGCTCACGTCGTCCGTGTCCGTGAGGTCCTCGCTGCGGCCAAACACGTTGCTCAGCTCCTTGGAGCTGAACCGGTTGGGCTGGAAACTCATGGTGCCGAAGCTGAGCCCCAGCTGGTTGATCCGGCCCATCGTCAGGTGTGCGGTGCCCCGGCGCACGCCGCTGCGCTGGACCGCCGACAGCCGTCTGCGGGCGCCCGCCCGCGGCCCGCGGCGCACAGGCACCGAGAGGCTCATCGCCCCAGGCCGGCCAAGCACCTGGTCCGGCGCCGGGTCCTGGCCACCGCCGGGCCCCGGCAGGATGTCCACGCCCCGGCGGCGTGTCCGGCACACGTCGTTCCACCACGCGTCCTCCTTCAGTAGCTCGTCCACCCGGCTCCGGGTCTCCGCACGCAGGCCCTCCGCGTCGCCCTTGGAAAAATACCGGTAGATGGCCAACTCCGACGCGCTCTCGAGACAGATCACCACGATGCGGGCCTCCTGCATGCGCAAGATCTCAAGAAGCTTCTTCAACCGCACATGCTCCTCGGCCACGTCCTTCTCCTGCTCCACAAACACCACCACACGCAACACGTGCGTGTGTTTCCAGTTCGGCACGGTGTGCAAGATGGCTCCCATCTGGAGAATCAACGTGCACGTGTCGAAGTTGGTGGTCAGCACCCCCTCGTCGGTGTCCAGCCGCTGCGCCATCTGGATCGGGTACAAGTCGATGTAGCGCTTGTCGTCGCCACGGCTCTCGCCCGTGGGAATGTCCAGCCGCGGGAAGCCCTTGGCAACGGCAACGTTGGAATTGAGCAAGCTCAAGTCCTCCAACACCTGGATCCACTCCGTCAACTTGATCTTGGGCGCAAACTTCGCGCGCCTGTCTGTCGGAAGATCGTTGATCTCGATCTTCACCTGCTTCTGGAACTGGTTCGTCAACGACTCGAACCGCAAGCCCTTGGGCACGCTGCATGCCCCGCGGTACCGGGCCAAGTCGTAGAACGCAATGATCGTGATGTTCGGCTTCATCCCGCCCAAGCCGCTTCCGAGAAAGATGTTCCGCACCCCCCACGTAAACGAGGGCGCTATCGAGATCTGCACAAACGCCTTCACCTTCGTAATGTCCCGGATCTTCGCCCAGTTCTCCTTCGACCGACTCAACTCAGTCGCGTTGTCCTGGAAGTTGTTTGTGATGAGCACGTGGCCCAACACATAGAGCCCTCCCTTCTTCAAGTTGTTGCAGAACGAAATCAACTTCCAGCTCGTCCTCGGATTGTCCACTAGCAACAAGATCTGCGGCCTCCAGTATTTGACATTGTCCTGTCGTAACTTGAGCAAGTACTTCCGCACCTGGTGGTAGATCAATGACTGCGACACGTCCCCCCACGATTTCGGCGGCGACAAGAAGTGGATCACCAAGATCAACAACACCAGCGTGGCCATCACAATCGACGCAGAGAACCCATCAACAACAAACATAGCAATGAAACAGCTGAACGTCCCAGCAAGCGCAGTCTTGGTCGAAAAATACTTGAAACTGGGTCTGAAATTGGGAGCAGAACCGATTTTCAATAGTGCACACGACATGTTCGTCACAATGAACGTCATCAAGAAAGCCATTGTGATGAGCGTCGCGATCTGATTCAAGTCGGCAAACAGAAACAACTGACAGATGATCCACGTGAGAATGATCGCCTCCTTCGGATCGTCCGTCTCCTTGTCTCCATTTCCGAAAATCTTCAAACCAGGCAAAATCTCATCCCTCGCAATCGCCTGCAACAATTTGGCGGCACCAACAATACCAACTATGATCGAGAAAATCGAGGTTGACATCTCCCCGGCCAATATGATGAATGGAGAAATGTTGATCGTCTGTAAAATCTGGGTGTCTCTGTATAATAATGCCCTCGGTATCGAAGCACCCATAGAAATGATGACTATGAGGTATGAACTGAAAGTAATGAGCAACCCGTTCAACGTACCGTTAGGTATAGACTTTGACGGATTTGCTAAGTCCCCCGACATGGATGCACCAGCTAAAATACCGGCCGTTGCAGGGAAAAAAATACCAAATAGGTCGTTAAAAGTCTCAACACCTTTCATTTGCGATCCGGCTGCTCCCTTAGTGAAGTGGGGGAACAAATTATTCTTTAAAGTCTCCCATGAAAGCCCCGAATACTCACCATAGTCAGAGTCAAAAGGTCTCACACACAGCGCTGAAAAGGGGATCGACAGTGTTGACAGGATCAATATGATGCATAAGTATGTGCCAGCCTTCGACACAGCACTAGAACCAATCAAGGCAACAATAATGCACAGTAGTAGAAACACTGAACAATATGCAAACTGCCACCAGTATGAAGTCGGCAAAATTTGCATCAAAACTCCATTGTCCTCAGAAAAATTGTACAAAATGGGCTCTATAACACCCGCAACATTCATTGAACTATTCAAAATTTGCCCAATGTAGAAGATAACACCAATGGCACCGCCGAATTCCACTCCTAAACTCCTACTGAGCATGTAGTACGCTCCCCCACCTTTGACTGTTCCATTTGTTGCAATTGCAGAAATACTCAGCGTCGTCAAGAGATCGATTCCGTAGGATGTAAGAAGTAAAAAAATCGTTCCCAAAATCCCCATCTGTCCAATAATGAACCCAAAACGTAAGAACATAAGAATTGACAACACATTGAGAATAGTTGGCAGTGTGACACCATTCATTGTGCCGAGTTTACTCGACGTTTTCGAGCTTCCAGAAACTACCTTCTCATTGTTTCTCAAGTCTTTTCGTACTTGACTTGTCGTTCTATGGCCCTGTCTCTTGTGTGTTGTGGTTGGGTTGCCACCAGAAGGCGGTTGCGGAAGATATGCGGAGGTCCTCACCCCTTGGTTTTGTTTTGGCGTCGAATATAAGTTGGGATTTCGTTGGATCGAACTGTAGTTCCTTAGCGAAGACGCAGAACTCGTGTTGTTGTTTCTGCGGAGAAGCGGTGAAGATGACATCAATTAGCTGGCACTGCAGAATGCATGCAAAGACTTGGTGTTCCAGAGAGGTTAGATGCCCGTCCCTTCAGATCACCACTCCAGGAAAGTAAAACAGAAAAGGTTTTTATTTTTCTTAGCGATGGCTGTTTCCGATAAGCGGGGGGGGGGGGGGGGGGGGGCATTTTGTCGTACTCAACATCTATGAATTTTTTTTGATTTCTGAATTTTGTCATGTATCCTACTGTCTTTTGCATCCTGGCGAAACAGCAACTAAAAGCTAAATTTGACTGTATACTTCTATTCACTGACATATAGCATTACCCATGAGTGGAAACTATAATAGACGTGGCCCCGCCAGAGGTGCACCAAGAGGTCCCTACTCGCAAAGACCGTCTAACGGATTCCGTGGCGGTAGGGGCAGATATCAAGGGAACTATGCAAATGACAAGCCATACAATATGCCAAACAGAAACCAGTATAACAATCAGTATAGTGGGAACTTCAATGAGCAATATAACTATCATCGTTCCAACCAAAATTCACCTCAATACTCTTACCAACGTGGCGCTCGTGGACAACAACCGCCATATTCAAGAAATAATATTAGTACAGGCCAATACACACAGACATATAATCCCCAGGGACCAAATAATACTAACGGACACAATGTATCGTATGATAGTCATCAGCACTTACCACCTCAGATCTACCAGAACCAAACCCGCGTAAGTAATGTGCAGTCGAGAGACAGCAGCAATGAACCTTTGCCTCCTTCAGTGGGACCTAACAGAAAGTTTCCGGAAAAAGATTCTTTTTCACCCGTTGTTCATAGTTTCAATAATGGTACTACTTCACTGGATAGAAAGCAAGCCAATTCTCGACAACCACAACTACCATATCCTCCAAAAGCCAGCAATACAGTAAATGAGCCAAAAAATGTTCCTGACGCAAAATTGATGAAGGAAGGAGAACAAGAGGAAGAGATCACTTCACGTAATATAGAATTAAGTCAGCGACAAAGTAAAATCCTTCAATGGAAAACTCAAAAGGAATCATCTGCTAGCAATGGATCTGTGAAAAAGAAATCTCTCATGAAATTCAAGAAGAAGGGAATTAAAAAGATGACTGATTTGCTAGCTAACAAAAAGGTCAGTGCCAACATATTGGAAAATGATGTAAATCTGGACATTGACGATGAAATGCCTGATCCAACAAGCGTAAAGAAGGAGAGTACAGAATTTATCGCACAAAATGATACTGTAAATGATTTCGCCGAGCCTAATGCCAAAGAATCCAACCCTGCAAATGGAGATGAAACTGGAGAAGAAACGGAAGATTTGGATGAGTTTTTGTCAACATTACAGAATAAAGAAACTAACAATATTAAAATGAATGTTATTGATGATGATGCAGATACTCCTGAACAGATCATAGATGAACCTGAAATCACTGTTGATGACGAAGCCGCTAAGTTATTGAAGTTGTTAGGCGGCAAGAACAAAAAAGAGGTTCCGGAACATGAATTTTCTACTGAACCGTTTAACAAAAAGTTTTATAAAGAATCTGATTTCATCAGTGCGTTGACTAAGGATGAAGTCCGTTCTTTGAGGGAAACAGACTCTGTACATGTCAAGGGTAAGAATATGTTGAAGCCTATTTTAGAGTGGTCACAATTAGGGCTTCCCGCATCAATTTTTTCCGTATTACAAAGCTTAAAGTATGACTCGCCTACGCCGATCCAATGTGAAGCATTACCACATGTTATGAACGGAAATGATTTCATAGGTATTGCGCAAACCGGTTCGGGTAAAACAATTGCTTTTTTGCTTCCGCTGTTCAGACAGCTTTTGAGTAATGCTCAGACTCAGGACCGGAACTCTCCCGGTGCATCTCCAAGAGCTGTATTAATCACCCCTACTAGAGAACTAGCCTTACAGATTGCGAAAACTGCCAAGCCTTTTGCAGACAAGTTGAACATGAACATTTGCAAGTGTTACGGCGGCCAGAGTATCAGCAAACAGATAGCAGACTTGAAGAAGCGAGCAGACATTGTTGTAGGTACTCCGGGTAGGATTATCGACTTGCTTTGCACCAACGGAGGTAGGATCTTGAATTTCAGCAATGTGACATATCTTGTTATGGATGAAGCGGATCGGATGTTTGACATGGGGTTTGAGCCCCAGATCTTGAAGATCTTGAAGGTCATCAGGCCAGATAGACAGACGGTTCTTTTTTCGGCAACGTTCCCGCCAAAGATCCAGGTGCTAGCGAGAAAGATTTTGAAGGACCCAACGGAAGTCTTGATTGGTTCCAAGAACTTAGTAAACGAGAACATCGAGCAGCATTTCGAGGTTGTGCCGGACGTGGACGCCAAGCTAAACAAGTTGCTCCAGATCCTCGGTGCGAAGTACAATGAAAATAACGGCAAGGTGTTGATTTTCATGGAGAGACAGGACGCCTGCGACAAGATGGTGAGGAAGCTCTTGACAAGAGGGTATGCTGTGATGCCACTACACGGCGGGAAGGACCAGACGGAGCGAGGCGGCACGATCCGAGACTTCAAGAACGGCATCATCGACATCCTCGTTGCAACGTCTGTGGCCTCACGCGGGTTGGACGTCGACAACTTGAACTTAGTGATCAACTACGACGCCCCCTCACACGTTGAGGACTATGTGCACCGTGTTGGGAGGACAGGGCGGGGTGGAAAGACCGGAGAGGCGTACACAATCCTCACACCGGACGAAGAGAAGTGTGCCTCGGACCTTGTGCGTGTATTGCGGGCGTCGAAGCTGGAACCGCCTGCCGAGCTCGCCGCGATGGCCGAATCGTTCGAGAGTAAGCTCAAGGAAGGCGACGTCAAGTTCGGCTCCGGATTTGGCGGCAAGGGTCTTGAGAAGCTCCAAGCGATCCGGGACAAGCACGAGAAGCTGGAGAAGCAGGTGTACCTGAAGAGCGAGGAGAAGGGTTCTGGCGAGGACGGCAAGCCTGACGCCGCCAAGACCGACCCCGCTGCCGCTGCCGCTGCCACTGCTGCCGGCTTTGATCTCGACGTGTTGAAAAACTTCAAGGTCGAGTACTCTAGCAAGGCCCGAGGCCTCGAGGCCACCTGTTTCTACGCCAAGTTGAACATCAACGACCTCCCGCCCACCACCCGTTGGTACGTCACAACCCACGAGAACTACCTTCGGGTTATCGAGTTAACAGGCACCTCGATCACCACCAGGGGCCGCTACTACCCGCCTGGCCAGGACCCCGGTCCTCGGGACGACGCCAAGTTGCATGTCCTTGTTGAAGGCCCCAACGAGGTCAGTGTCAGCAGGGCCGTCGGTCTTTTCCGCGAAAACGTCCTGCGCGGGCTCGAACGCGAGACTTCCGCGGCCGGCGACGACGGCAGCGCTTCCGGAGGTGGCGGCGGGCGGTATGCGATCGTCTAGTGTTGCAACGGCTAGTGTCGCATTCTGGCCTGGCGGAGTGAGCCCTGGCTGATAGGAGGGCGGGCGCCCCGTATATAAGAGGGAGGGCATGTACTCCCTGTTGCCTCCATGGAAAAATACACAGCTGAGCCTTAGATACTGGAGCTGTTGCCACTGGAGCTGCTGCCAGCGCAGACAATGTCGTTGGAGAAACCGCTAACATGGTCACAAATCACACATCTGGTGAAGACGTATCAGTTGGAGAGGCTCGGGCGGTCGCAGTCGCAGTTGAAGTCGTACCATGATTTCAAGGAGCAGATGGCGCAGCAGGGGATATGCCTGACAACGAACCTCCTGGTGAATACGATGCACTGGCTGCCAGCGGACACAGACATCCGGCTGCCGGCGGAGGAGGCTGTGCAGCGGGTGACGTACAAAGACGCCCGGTTGTTTGCCGCGGCGGAGGACGTATACATCTCGATCAACGAGTTCCCCTACTACATCCAGGAGCGGACCCTCCACTTGTTGGTGTGGGTGCGGTCGCCGATGCCGCCGGACCCAGCGTCCGATATTGGCGATATCGACAGCACGACAAAAGAGACGATCGAGCGATACGTCATGGCGACATTCGTGCGCAAGGCGGGCGTGCCCAGGGACCACCTCGTGTGGTGGAAGAACTACACCAAGATTCAGAGCATAAAGGCGATCCCGCACGTGCATGTGTTGATCAACTTGGCAGACGACGTCGACGGGGAGCTCGAGCGGAAGGCACGGGCCATGATAGGAACGGCCGGCGTCGTGCTCAGCTACGGCGAGTCGCAGGAGGCGAAGTTGTAAGCTGTGAAAAGTACATATATGATTCGCCGACTCTTCGGCTGTATAGTAAACAAAAGATAAAAATGTTAGATACACTTTAGTGCCGTTGGAACTGCACGTTTGCCGAGCCGGCACTTTTGCGTCTATAGTGAGAGTTCACACAGTGCCGAAAGTACTCGAGCTGGAAACTATTTGCGTCCAGGGGTCCTCCAGAGATGCTGTTGACTCGCTGGCACTCCATGCACACAAATTTGGCCTCGAAGTCCTTCTGCACAAACACGGGCGGGCTCAGCTCCTCGCCAGACCCGTAGACGCCGTGTTTGCGGGCAAGATGTGCCTCGTACGAGCAGCTCCGCAGGTTGAAGAAAAGACTATCGTACCCATTGAGGCGGTCCTCGTGTTGCATGGGGCAGTACGGACAGAGTCCCTCAAACCCGAGCCGGCGGCCGCTCGAGTCCGTTCTGTAGCGGAGTACAAGCGGCTCGAGGAAGTTTGCCTGCTCCCCCAGCCACCGCAGTGGAAGCATTTCCATTTTCTGTGCCGGGTTGGTGCTGTAACTCCACCCATAACGCCCATGGAATTCCAAAAAGTGGCGAAGAGTGAGGTTGTTCGGAATGATGGCACCAATGCAACCCATCAAGCACGCCATGCTCCGCATGGAATGGCATTCATTTAGTCGGTATATCATCCTCGACTTGCGTTTGTTTTCCCTGAAGTATGGACTCAGAACAATTTTCCACCAACACTGCTGCTCTCTTTCGGAAACCACCTCTCGGCAGACCCCCCTTCCTTGGTTCGAGTTTGTGTTGTCTACCCGGGCCAACTTCTTCCTGTACCGGGCAACTCTATTGTACTTCCCCTCGCTGATGGCCACCTGCCTCTGGGCGAGGTTGTCAAACCCATGAATCTTGAGTCTGAGTTTTGTCTCTACTAGGCGGTTCAACCGTATCATCGATGGCTGCTTTGCCAAAAACTCGCTTTCCGGGAAGTAAACCTTGGTAGGTGCCTTAGGCATAGCATCGAACTCCGTCAGCAGCTCTTTACTTTCTTGCTGCACCTTTTTCTCTTCTAATTCTCCATTACTGAGCGGGCAGTTGAAGCTCATAAACAACGGTTGAAACGTCGCAGAAGCTTCCTCCGCCTGCTTAAGAAGTTTAGATGGGGATATACAATCACCGTTAGGTTCAAGCATCGTATAATAGCCGCGTTGAATATTCTACGCGAAGTCTTATAGTCATACCTCTGATAATCTATTTGCGAAATAATGTTTATTCTGGTTGTATCTTATACATTTTCACGTATACAGAACACATGGAATCTGGAAACGCAACTCAAAATCTGTAATCAAATGAGTTGCCCAAAAGGGAAATTCTGTTTGCATTCATGTCATCAATTTTCGCGTGGGCTTTTCCACAGTTCTCATTGCAGTTAAATCGTTACACATAAAGCTGAGGAGTGACGAGCGGTCATGCTAAAACCTGTTCGGCAAAGTGACACATATTGTTGGAGCTGCTACATTTGCGAAAGCTTCCAAAAAGTAATCTGTCTTCAAACGTCATCTTCCTTTTTTCGTCCTCTGGTGTCATATAGAGCGGCTCCGCTGGCTTGAAAGCGTTGTAGTGAACAGCCTCCAAGTCGTACTTGACATAGTGATACTTCGGATACTTCTCCAAAAACTCGGGGCTGGGCCTGCCTATGATTTGCGGCATCAAACTCGGACCAGTATCCTCAACAGGATAAACGGGTCTTGCATCAGGATGCCCGAGAATAACATACTGTGTATGGACTGTATTTCCACACACTAATATATCGCATTTTTTTGCCAGTTCGTTCAAAACCGCCTCATTGATGCATTCTAGACATCTGTATACCTCGTTGTACTTCCATCGGAAAGTCTGTGTTGGCACTCGCCAAACGATAGGCTTTCGCCAGATTGGGTATTGACCTTCCTTCATCAACTCATGTCTATCGATGTAGTCATCGACAATGGAATCAGCATACTTCCTGCCTCTAAACCACTCCCAAAATTTTAGATCGTAATCATCAGCAATCTCTTTCCTAATTTGTTCCCAGTACAATTGGCGATTCGTTTGTTTCCTGGTACCGCTCAAATCACATATCTCCAAGAACTTTTCCAAGTTCTCACGACTGAGTGTATTTGTCAAACTACTCCGGATCACCTCCGGATAAATTGGTTTTTCAAAAATTAATGGATGTGTGTTTATGCAGCATGCAACTTTATCCCAGTCTCTTATTTTGTACAGCATAGTTGATATATCTGTTTGTCAACCCTGTTTCTAGCGTAAAGTAGGAAAGACATCCGAATTGGCATAAGCATAAACATTTTTTGAGTGGATAAACGTCTTCTATTTATATCAATGATCTATCTAAAAAAAGGTCTAGACTTGTCGTCTGCGTTTAATGAATAGCTCTCTTTATGAAAACTCTATCATTTGCAAGCAACAAAAAAAAATCACCAAAAATGTAAAATTTCCCATTCGGGCAAAATTATCTGATTCATGTCGCGAATGTATGGATGCTTACCCTTTTTAGATATCCTGTTGGATTATTTTTTTTCTTGGAAATGATCAAGTATCATGTTATTCTGTTCTGTTTGTGACGTGCAAAGAGATCACAAAACGAAACTATACCATAGGTTTTCTAATAAAAAGTCAGTGGGTCTTGTTATGGGATTTATAACACCCGGTGTCAACTATGTGTTCAATAAGAAACGAATAGGGAAGAATAACAAGGCGACTAACAACTCAATCCACCCAAATGAAAACCGAGATTTCAACAAACGATATCCTCATTATTTACATATGAGAGACATCAGTGATGTTCATATGTTGTACCAAAAAATACTTTCTATTTTGACTAATAAGGACGCAAAATTCAAAGATAACCTTAGTTTATTGCGATCTAACATTGAGAGATATGTTATTTTGGTACATGAATTGGAGATAACTGTGAAGATCAAAAATGTTTTTCCACTTCCGAAAGAAGAGGCCATGAATTTGTTGAAAACTATCATCAAAATCCAAGGAAGGCAACTACTTCATGGAGTACAGAAAAACATGAGCTCATATGAAACCCCCCCTTTAGAGGCAACGTTTAACAAACAGTTAAACTTGATAGATGGTGGCTGTATTCTTTTCAACAAATATCTTAACAAGCAATTGACCATTGAATTGAAAAACCCTGATTACTACAAGAATATTTATGACAGTGACTACACAAGACCTGAATTTTTTAAAACTGAAGAAGATGTTCAAAATAGCATATTAAGCGACATGTTGAATTCTGAGAGGATAAAATTGGTTGATCTACCCGGAGAAATATTAGTGAAGATACTATCAGCTTCAAACAATATTGACAATATAGCTTTAACATGTAAATTTTTTCAGAGGTTTGTTTTGACACACAAGCAGTTTATTTCTTATGAATTCATTGTAAACAAATATGTTCACAGATACAAGTTAGGTTTGGACTCAAACTCAGGATACACTTTGCCAATCTCAGATGAACATCATCACTCCAATTCACACAGACTTAAAGTCTCCGAAATCGAAAGCCTGAAAGTACAGAACGATAATTATCTGGGTAGTTCAGACTTTCGTGAAGATGTTAATGGGAACTATTCCTTGACGAGGTATAGAGATCCCGACACATTAACGGTGCTATCGTCACACGCATTCGAGACGCCATATTTGACGTACCAGATATATAAGTCACTAGGCGTTGATCATGTTATTCCACCTTCTGCATGGCCTGACCTACAGGAGAAATATAACGATGAACTTGCTAAACTGAGTGACGATACCTGTGGAGATGCTTCGAGAAAGGTGGAAAAAAAAGAGTTCATCAAGCTGTGGAACGAGTTGCCAATTGATTGCCCCTACTTGGACGTAAACAATCCGGAAGATATAGAATATTTGAAAAGCGAAGCTTATGTGGATAAGTTGCGTGTAATAGTGGACTTGATGATATCGAAGACCAGGTTCAAAAACAACATTGAGGACTTGTTCCATCTCATAGTTTCCCTCGTGGTGAAAATTGAGGAGAATGTGGTTAATGGCGTGGAACATTCCATCATACCACCCCAATTACTAAAGAACTACGCAGCATATTATATGTTGGAACAGCTGATTGAAAGTGATCCTAGCACTATGGAGGATGGGGATGAGGTGAGCAACGAAAATTTATGGGGTCGGCTACATTTCAAGAGCCCGTCATTTTACATCCTTTTGAAAAGCAGTGCCAATGAAGAGCTTGAGGATTTGCTATGTCCGTTGTTCTTTGGCGATCATCTCAAAGAGGACACAAATTTTTGGATGGGATTGAAAGTTAGAAACGAGATAGAGTTAATCGAAGAGTTGATAAACGATCAGGGCACCAGTCCCTCGACCTATATTTTGAACATGCTTGCGTTTTAGTCCAGATGACAATGTAACTGAGGTAAACTACTAAAAATTGCTTCATTCTGTACACGCGTCTGTACTTACATAAGTATACATATTTATTCCCGACGAAAACGACCTGATAGATTCGTTTGATTATCAGTAGTTATATCCCTGCTGCGCCATGATATTATTGTTGCTGCTGGTATTGCTCTGGTTTGTTAAATCAACGTGCTGCTGTATGTGCGATGGCTCGCCATATATTTTCTGAGGGTTGTTGTACTCGTCGAACCAAGGATGATGAAGTGCTTGTCTTGCACTTAATCGCGTATCTGGTCTCATTTGCAATAGTCCCTGCAGAAGATCTAGAGCTTCGTTATCGATGTTTGGAATTAGAACACGCAAATCCTGCGGTATGAACAAGGCAAAATTTGACTTGTAGTTAGGATAGCCCGAAACCCCGGGCCATGTCCGCTCGTTTGGCGTACCCATTATCCTAAAGATCTTCAACAGTTGGTCGTCGTTGGACGAGCCCGAAAAAAGCGGTTTCCCCGTGAACATCTCGGCCAATATGCATCCTGCTGACCACATATCAATGGAGGTCGAGTAGTTTCTCGATCCCAAAAGCACGTCCGGTGCTCTGTACCACAAAGTGACAACCTCGTTGGAAAAGGTATTCACAGGTATGCCAAAAGCCCTGGCAAGACCGAAATCGCCCAATTTCAAGACACCCTTGCTGTTTATCAAAAGGTTCTGTGGTTTCAAGTCTCTATGGAGTACTCTGTTGTCGTGGCAGAACAAGATTCCTCTCAGCAACTGGTACATGAATGACTTGACTGTGCGTGGGTCTAAAGCACCACTTGAATTGTACCCGTGTATATCCATATATCTTTTCAGATCATTATCCATGTACTCGAAAACAAGCGTAAGCTTGTTTTCCGTGTGGATAACATCGTATAGTGTCACGATGTTCTCATGCTTGAGCTCCTTCATGAGGGAAATTTCCCTAATTGCGGTGGACGGAGTGCCTTCCTCGCTGTCCAAGTTGATCTCCTTCAGTGCCACATATGTTCCAAGAGTCCTGTTTTTACCTTTGTAAACGGTCGCATACGTACCTTCTCCCAATTTCTCCAGTTGCTGGAATTGAGACGACATTCCTGACATGTTACACGTTGCTTTTATATTTCGTGTCAATTATGAGCCAGCTCAACTTGTTTTTCTGCTCCTGTTCCTGTTTCTCGTTTCCTTGGCCCCGTCTTTGCGAGTAGTCCCTTACGTATCCTGGCAAGTCACAATAACACTAAAATAGATGGCACAGACTTTGTCCTCCCCCCTTGAAATGGTGGTTACTCCACTATCTGCTTCCTTCTCTTTTCCACGGAGCAACCTCCCGCCCCTTTACACTGAAACACATGAAAGTTCGGCGCGCCCGTCCGTTTTTTACGTCGATCGGGCCTTTGGCGGGGGATTGCCTACAACATGTATTTGGCGTTTCGGAGTGAAGAGAAGAACTCCCAAGAGATAAAAGATAGCATAGAAGGGCCTCTGGGAACGGAAAAAGAGTGCAGGTATGGCAGAAGAGAACGACCGGGAGGCTGGTGAGTTCAAAGAGGTGGAAATCAGATGCACAGATGCGCAAAGAGAGGTGATCACCGCCGAATCGATGCCAAACTCGTTGATTAACGTGATCTCGGGACCCGGAACAGGAAAAACAACAACACTATGCAACAGAATTGCCTATCTGCTTGGCACAGGAGTGAGGCCGTCGGAGATTATTGTGTTCAGCTTGACAAACCAGTCGGTTAATGACGTGAAAAATACGTTGGCAGGCATTCTCGGAGACACGTTGGCGGCGGGCGTGCAAATAACTACCATCCACTCATGCGCAAACAAGCTTGTGTCGCTCAACTCTGCGTACTGGCAGGTCACCCGTGACAAGAGCAGCTTGGATCCGAAGATACTGGACTCTTTGCTTCGGTCGTTGACGGTTCCGGACCTCAGGAAAGAGCGCAACGGCTCTCTTGTTGGGAAAGACAACTCTCTTGCTGCCAAATTGAGCAGCCAGGAAATCAGAAAAATCAAGATGACGAATCCAACTCTGTATAAGAAGCTGTTGGGCTATGAAAACCCTGGAATTTCTACTTTGGTGAAGTCTGATAACGTCTTGTACGATAAAATTGTGTATGAAGCCACAAAAATGTTGCACAGAAACCATACCAGCATGCAAGCCTCTACGACCGACGTTGCAAGCACCAATGTAAATATACCCGCTAGCATCACGAATGTCAAAGAAGTGATTGTGGATGAGTTTCAAGACATTTCCTCTGTGTTGCTAGACTTCATTTTAGAGATCTCCAGGGGTAGACAGCTAACAGTGGCCGGCGACATCGACCAATCTCTCTACACCTTTAATGGTGCCACTCCAGACGAAAACATCAAGGCTATATTACCAATATACAAGCAAGATGGATACAATTTGAAAGAAATCATACTTGACGAAACGTTTCGTTTTTCAAAAAGCATACACAAGCTTTCTCTCAACTTATTGGGAACGGAGTATTCCCTAATCAAAAACACTGTAGAGGAGGAACCAATAAACATAATCCGAGAAGAGTTTTTTAGTACAGCTGATGAGTTCGAATTTGTATATAAAGAAATCAACGATTTAATCGATGCTTCCAAAGGCTTTCTTTCCCCAAAAAATTTTGCAGTGCTATCCAACAAAAACTTCATTTTAGACAGATTCAAAGAGTATTCTGACAACAAAAACTCCAATCTCAAAGTCAAACGTATATTTGGCTCCCAAAAATGGCTAGATACAAAGGCGTCTTCAATAGTATCATTTCTGCAACTTCTTGATAACCCTCACAGCGACCCATCCATGCTTGTCGCTATCAGTTTCTTGGATGGAATTGGCCCCAAGATGACAATGCAAATAAAAAAAGAAGCAGAAGATCATGGAAACTCTATTTATGACTACCTTATTAGCTCCGAGAAGTATGCTAAGAAAATTGATCGGAACTTGTTCAGTCGTTTGGAAAAGTTGACAGGCGACGTAGACAGAACAGACCCCAGCTCTATTGTTGTCTGTCTGATAGAAATAGGTAATCTTTTCAACTTTCCTAAACTCCTAGGCACAGAGGTTGCACATGCTCAGTATAACAAAATCCTTAAAGAGCTCTTCGAAAACCTTAAAGTACTAAAAGTGATCCATCCGTCTGATGTAGACTTACTGTCATACTTTCTGAGCAACTACCAAGAAGAGTTTTTAAAAGAAAGTGATTTGGAGACGCTGGATACAGATAGCGTCGATGATTTTGTCACTGTTTCCACCATTCACGGTGCAAAAGGGCTTCAGTGGGACATTGTTTTCGTTCTGTCAAACTTAGATTTTTCTAACCTTGCATCGTTCCCACTAAATTCTAGGACAAACTATGTTGCTGCAACGAGAGCTAGACAGTTACTGTATTTGAATAAGGCTGTCACTGAGAAAATGCTTTACGTGGATACATATAAACGGGATGAGGCAGATCAGAGTACAGTGAAAGTAAACTATAGGAAAACTATGGTCGACTATATTCCCGAGCTAAAGTTGAAAGCTCTTCCGAATAATCTCAAAGAGTTGCCGGAGTATGAGATGCCCATTGGAAGAACTAAAAATATGGAACTCTTGGGGAGGCTTTTGGGAAACATGGCAAAACGTAATGTATTACCTGTGCCGTCGTCTATGATGGGAGTAATGACGCATCTTAAAAAATCATGTAGAAAGTTGTAAAAGCTCAATGGTGTATCATACATATAGACTTACAATAAAGTGTGGGCGCACACAGTAATATGACATGTCTCAAACAGCTGCGAACATCAACTTCTTCCCTGTGTGCACACCAGCAAGTTTTGAGTGGGGTCTATAGTATTCAATAATATTATAAAAGGTGATGAAGCTGCCCACTGCTTTTCGGATGATAAACCCGGTTGTTTATTGTGATATATTAAGTTCAATGTCAAAGTCCAGCAAATTTCACGAAAAAACACAGTAATGGCCAAATCAGCCAACAATAGTGGTCCATCTCAGGATCAACTGGACGCTGTATTAGAAGAGTTTTATCCGGGTACACTGCTGAAAATAAAGGCAAAACAGGAGTTAGCTGGAATAAAAACTCTTTGCGACAGAATTTACTATGTGGTCCAATTAGCCAAAGAAAAGGTGTCCACTGAAGAAATTTTGATATTGAGTACATCCAAAGAATCACTGGCTAGCATTGACTTCCACCTTGGAGAAAAATGTTCCAAGACTCAGAAAATTAAAAAAATTACTTTTACTGGACTAATTGCAGAAAGTTTGTCTCAACATTTTAAAAACTGGACAATTCTCAAAGAGGAGAAAATTAAAGAGATAGTAAGAATCTTGGGTGGTAAAGTTGAAATTCCATATTCTAAACTAAAAGGCTCAATACAGCAATTGAGTGCCGTTACAACCAAATCTTTGATGCATATGAATGAGCATGAAGTGATGGTAAGATTCGGCTTGGACAGAGAAGCAGCTCTTCAAGTTAAAAAAATTGTTGACAATGTTTTCTACGTTCCGTATTCTCAAGTTATCAAAGAATCGACAAAGATTCCATTATTTTTCACAGACTTGAGCAAGTACAAAGTTATATGTGTGGCCAACTTTCATCACTTGAGAGAAGAAGAGGCAAACTTTCTTATCAATCTAGGAAATGGTAAACACATCACGATTTTGGCAAATGATTCAACAAAGGCAAAACCTAAATTGTTTGAACAAAATTGGAAACTAATGTCAACCGCTTATAAAGACGGTAAAATTAAAGAGGTTCATGTAAATGGTGATTATGCACCTGAAGATTCTACCAATGATAATAATTACGATCAGAAAGATAATAGTCTGATCGACCAAATTCTGAAAAATAAAATATCTTTGTTAAATTTCGAAGAGCTTATTGAAGTTATGCTGAAAGTTTTGAACAACAAAAAAAAGAACCTTCCCTTTTTACAAATGCTTTCTTTGATACCCGGCTTTGACAATGCATTCCTAAAAAAGTTTTGCAAGCTCGTTTCAAGTGAAAAAAGTAGCGTTTTTGATTTCCTTATCAAATACCAAGACTCCCTTAGTAACAAAACTAAAGCCAAGATACTACCTATTTTGAAATACCTTAGCAAGATAGAGAGTAAATTGGACACATCAAATGCTAATTCGATAATGATACATATGTTAAACCTTTGCAGAGCATTAGGTGTTGACACTCAAGCTACTGAAGATATGAAAAAGCAATTTGTTGATTTGCATCTTTGGTTGAAGTTCCTGCAAAATAATGAACAGCTTCGGATCTCTGATAATTTGATTGAATGCTATATTGCAAACGGTACATTCAAATCAAAACCAGCTAATAATTCCTTATCGCAATTTAAAGAGGGTAAACCGATGGAGGCGACATTAGACATCAAATTTCCCGTTTCAATAGCAATGAAAGGCCGTATTGAGACCAGAGAAGGGGATTCTGCAGAAGTCAAAATCGAAGATATGCCATTAAGACGATCTAATTCCAGTAGATACAAGGCAAGACCTTTAAGTTGGCATGCAGGTGCAATTGCTAGTGCTGCCAGAAAGCTCAAATAATTTATTCAAGTCACATCATAGAAGTTAGCTTGAACTTTGCTTGACTTTATTTTTTGTTGTTTAGTTGATTTAGTTAATCTTGTTGTTTGTCTGGCTTTCTCGTTCTGCCGACTATTGGTATTTCGGTAAGTACGAATTTCACGTTCATATTTAGTTGCTGCCGTTCAATATTATCCAAAAACCCAACGCTGACGTCGTCTACACTGGAGTTGACCACTGAAGATATAAAAGCATCTTTTTCAATGAATCTTCTTCTAAGTGCCATAAACTGAAGCTCATTCTTCTTACCTACTGCAGAAGAGAGCCTTTTTGACGAACCTTTAGGAAGGGTAACCAATTTAACCTTTGCTAAGGCACATAATGTCGGCAAATGCAAACAAAGTAGTCGACACGAAACATCTGACTTACAAACAAAAAGCATTGTAATATCGTTACTCTCGTTCTCAATTTTTTTCTTTAGCTTCGATTGAACTTGTGCTTCTAAGGCCTTCATAATCGAGTTGAAACCAGTAAGAACATCAGATTCATAATTGTTCGACTCTGAAAAAACTTTTTTCTCTTCTTGCGTTAACTGGTTGTACTGCTTTACTGGCGGTAGAATAGTTGTTTCTAATGCCTGCAGTAGATCTGTTTGTAACTTAAGGTCAATTTTAGGCCATGCATTTTTCCTGGTGTATGGATTGGTCAAAAGAGGTTTGAATACACTTTTTTTCTGAACCTCTTGAGCTTTAAGAGAGCTGTTGACTTTTTTCTGTTTCGTGTCTATATTCAAAGACATGAGTTTGCAACCAGAAAAACAGTAATTTTATTTTCCTGTGCTACAAATCAAGAGGCTATACACACACACAGGGGGGGAGTGTCAAATGGTGGGTGACATGAAAAAATTATCAGATCTGATGAATCTGCCAGCGCTTACGTCAGCGCTTTACTGTATTTTGGTGGCTGCTGAGGTAGTGGTGGAGCAGAATCTGTTTCTGTATCGGTATCGGTATCAGCATCAGTATCCGTTTCCTGTTTGTACTCCACGTAGTCAAGTACAGGCGTAATATGTGGCTGTATGTTCGTAATTGGGACAGCAGGTGCGTACTCCGGTGGCTGTGACGTTGGAGGTGTATCTCGCTGGTATGTCAGCAGCGGTTTTTGAAGTGCCACCAAGTTTCCGTTTGGGTCGTAAAATCCAAAATCGTTGGATGGATCTGCACTTGCTGTGTACACGGGAACTGGATTTAGCTGCTCTACGTCAGAATCGTGATTTTGGAATATGCTGAAAGCTGAGCTATGCGGGTAATAATGATGGTGCTGGCCACTCTGGTCCTGTTTCCTTACCCATTTTACTATCATGGCAATCACCATTGTGGCCACAGCCAAGGCAAACATTATACCAACTATGGACGGAGAGTGCACATGCTTGTGCTGGCAAACTATGGCGCCATTTGTGTATATGGCGCCATACTGGCACATTGACTTAGTGCCAGGGTGTGCGTCGAGCTCTTCTTTTGAGAGTGTAATTGCCATTTTTGAAGGAGTGTTTGGATATTAAAAAAACATTGCTTCTCTTTTTACTGGTCGTTTTTGTAGGCACAGTGTGGATCCTGCAGTAAGTTACATGGGCTTCGTAGCTATATCAGTAATCTACGCAGTAAGCAGAACATGATAACGATAGAGGACTTTCCGCTTTCGGCAGAACACAATGCGCGGAGATAGAAAATATTTTTTTTTCAGGATCATGATAGAATATTTCGCTAGTAGAGCATTGTCGGAGCAGAAACAAGACGTTGACAGGTACATAGCAGAGTATATAGACATTAAGGTCGTAATAGAAAGTGATAAAAAAAGTGAATTATAAACATTAGAATGTAGTGTACGATGGAATGAAAGGAGGCAAAAAGGTGGAAGAAAAGAGGAGAGTACAATAAAGTCACAGAATGTTCACGTTGATAGTGGCGCATTTGGGTAATTTCATGATTTGTAGTGGGTTGGAGAAGGAGCCTCTGGAGCTTCGTATGGAGGCAAGTCATTGTCGGCAACCTTGTTGGAGGACCCAACGGCAGGGGCTTCGGGAGAGTTGTACACCTGAGAGGGAGGCGGTCCGCTTGGACGCTTGTAACTCATTTCCGAGACGTTCTGAGGGTCGTTTATGCCCGGCTCCTGTGTGTGCGCCGTTGGCAGGGCGTCGGTGGCGGGCACGGCGCCACCAAAGGGGTTGGAGTTGTTGTAAGTGTTTGGATTTGTGTTTGGGTTGGAGGTGTCCAGCAGCTCGATGCTGCCGTTTTCGGGGTGCGCTAGGTTCGAGCCGTTGGACGCGTCTGCTGTGGTTTCTGCAGTGGTGACGTTGGTCGGGATGAAGTTGCCGTTCTTGTCGTAGTAGCCGACGTCCTGCTGGGCGTTGGGGGCCGGGGTGTATGTGGGCAAGTTGGTGGCAGCCGTTTCGCCGCCGTAGGCGGCCTGGGACTGGTGGTAGGACGGCGGGGACAAGTACGACGAGATGACCGGCGCCCTGCCGCTCTTCAGCCGGCGGGCGTTGACCGTGCAGATCATCACGATGAAAATGATGAAGGCGGCGGCGAAGAAGGCGAAGAAGGCGTAGCGCCCCGGGTTCGAGTTGCCGTAGAAGCCGTCGTAGTCTCTGCGCTCGAGCTCGTGGTTGAGTCCTGCAAGCAGTTTCTGGAGCTGACTGCCGGCGTCGCCGTCGGCGCCGGTGTGTGGGGGGGGTATCGCTGGCATTGGGGACAAGGTGGATGGGTCGATCGTGGACGCTTCCTTGGTTCTGGGCTACTGCTAGGTTGGTGTGTTGAGTGTTACTCCGACAAGTCAATCTGCTTGCCAAATCGTGTCCTGTTTTGTGCTTCGCTGCTTCGCTGCCTTGTTTCTTCCTGTCCGTGAATGTAGACTGTGTCTTAGCATCGTCTTTCCTTTTCAATCTGATCTGGCTGAGCCGGCCGATATAGCCGTCTCAAGACAAAGGGGCTGGTGGCGAAACAGTCAGGCGGGGCGTCGGCGGCAAGGCGCTGCCGCCGGGTTGAGCCCACCCCTTTTCTGGCCAGCCCACGACACCGCCAACTGTCGCGCCCGCTTGCCCCGCGTCGATCGGCCTTGCGTCGATCGACCCAAAAAACCCAGGCGCAGCCGGGGCTCGGACTCCACCGGACTCGAGGGTTCCCCGCCCGCGGCCGGAAGAACCCCGCGGCGCAGCCGGACGCAAACTGCTGGGCTAAAACGGCGAGGCCGGCGGCATGCGCGGTGTCTGCCAGTGCCAACGGCGGCGGGGCTGTTGGCCTGGGCCTCGCAAGTGGCGGAGCGGGGCCCGCCGAAGGTGCTGCTCCGCCCAGGTCACAGCAGAGTTTTTCCGGACGGCGTGCCCTCGGAGTGGTCTGGGACAGAGGCCTCCTGATCTGGGCCTTCTTTACTTGAAAGTAGTGGTCCTTCTTCTGGTGTTGGGGACTCACGGGTGTGGTGGGGGCGGTTTTGAAGGGATCAGGCAAACACGCAGCAATGCCGATCCACAGAATCAACCTCCCGCTCACTCCGACGCAGTCCTTCTGCGGGGAGCAGGGCAGCAGCAGCAGCCAGGGCCCTGTGTCAGATAAGGCGCCTGCGTCAGAGGCGTGCGTGGCCCGCAATCCGAGCTCGAAACAGCTCTTCTCGACGTGTCTCTACAACAACACGGTGGCGGACGAAGGCATGCCACGAAGACCGGCACTCAGCAGCGGTGTCGGGGGCGGCAGCAGCAGCAGCAACCACATCAACTACAACGGGCTCTCGGCGAGGTCCGCAGCACAGTCGTCGACGTCGCTTCTCTCGATGCTCTCGAACCAGACGGCGACGACCGAGTACTCGCCGAACTTGATCGATAAGGAGTGCGGCGACCTCCTCAAGATCATCGACTTGGACATCTCGGACACGGGCAACAGCAACGACAACGACAACGACACCGGCAACGACATCGGCGCCAGCGACCAGAGCAAGAGCAGCAGCAACGGCAACGACGCCACCGTCTCGGGCCTCCCGCCGAGCCCAGGTCGGCGGCGGACGCACCGCCGCCTGCGTGAGAAGGTGAGCTTCGACCTGGCCCCTGCGAGCTCCGAAACAGACACGGAATCGGACACAGACTCGGAGGAGCACGACGCCAGCGCCAGCACCACACACAAGGTGGCGCCCACCATGGAGAGAGAAAACACCTCTGTGGACCTCTGTGGGTGCCGCAACAGGAATTCCGTGGAGGCCTCCGACGCCCCGCTTGATTACAACAACCCGGCCCGTTGGGACTACAAAGAGAAGTGGATTTTCGTGCTCATCGGTCTGCCCGCGTGCGGCAAGTCCACCATGATCAACGACTTCCAAGACTACGTGCTCAGCCAGGCATCCGATAGGGTCAGAGTCAAGTCGTACAACGCCGGCGACGTGAGAAGAAAGTATGAGGCACAGTGCCACAACAAGTTTGATTTCAGCGACTTGCACAATTCAAGAAACCTGAGAAACACCTATGCCTTGGAAGCCCTGGACAACTTGGCGAACGACCTTGTCCACGACAAGATTGACATTGGAATCATGGACGCTACCAACACCACCAGGGACAGGCGCAAGTCTGTTTTCGATTACATCCGCAACGTCTCCAAGACGTCCAACGTTGTCATCAACCCGCTACTTTTTGAAATTAAGTGTTCCAACAGAGCCTTGAGGCGATTTAACATTGAGCAGAAGTCGAAAAACAAGGATTACGTCCACATGAACCGGGACAAGGCCATTGGCGACTTCCTCGAGCGTATCAGAAACTACGAGCTGTCCTACGAAAAAGTTACCGTCGAAGAAATCAAGCTCTTAAACGTCAAATACTTTGGCATCGACAACGTTGGAGACACCATCTACTATGACTGCGGACTAAAACACCACAACAACAGCCGCCATGAAAACCTTTTGTTCAAAAGCATCGCCTTGAACCTGCTCTACGAATTCCTAATTCACTACAGAACCAACTACGCCGCCCAGTACCTCACGGACGTCGACGAATTCTATACCGGCCGTCATTACCGGCCCATAAAAACAGTCTTCTCTAGACCAGTCTCTCTTGAGGAGGTCAAGAAGGTGCGCAAGGCCTCGATACAGGAAACAAACCCGAAAACAAGGCAACAACAACAAAATACCCAGGACACTCTCGCACTGCCCAAGGTTTTATCATCGTCTCGAATCAACGTTTGATGAACCTTGGGCTCATCTGTCTCTCGCAAATCATATCTTCTCTTCTAATTTTCACAACTATACATTAGGTATTAAATATATATAAGTATCTAAAGAAAGGCTTTTCTTTTTCTTCTCTATCTCATTTGTACACTATAATATCAACGCTAACTGAACCCCGGAATACTGAACCCTGGAAGGACAGACCCTTCTGTAGCGTCGCCAAGATCTGCCCTGCTCTCAGTTCCGCTGACCTCTCTCGCATCATCGACCTTGGCAACGTTTGCTGCAGCGGCTCCCAAATGTGCAGCATCGTTAAACCCAGCTTCGTCGCCAGGCCGTGCCCGGCACCAGAACCTCATGGACTTATCTGCACCTGCCGTGCATAGCATGTGGCCCAACGGATGGTATTCCATCGTGTATATCGCTCTATCGTGTGCATATGGGATCGAATGCCATGCGTCAGAGACAATCGGGGCACCCCGATTCACATAGGTATTCAAAAGATAGTCCGGCACATTGCCACCACCCGATTTCGATACTGACCCCGATGTCTTGTCGCTGTTAAGCTCGGACTTTGGAGCAGTTCTGCTGAATGCCTCAATATCGGCCGTCTTGGAAACGTCATAATGTGACAGCGACCCGTCATAGCCTCCTATGGAGAGCATTGTCGAGTGTATTGGATGCCACGCAAGCGAAGTCAAATCCGTCTCCTTGTCACTTTTAATCACACTAACCGCTCTCAACATACGCAAGTCAAATATTCGTGTAGAGTGGTCTCTTGAACATGCTGCCAAAAGTCGCTCGTTACCACCTTTTTGGAAAACAGTCTTACTCACCGTGTGTTTGAAGTCATGTAGAGTCGTAATGCACGTTCCGTCCCGAGGATCCCAAAGCTTCACTAAATTATCCTTTGATCCAGACACGACCAAACCAAGTGACGAATGCCAATCGCAACCCTTAACATCCCAATGATGACCCTTCAGCGTACACTCCTCGGTGGCAGTACTAAAATCCCACACCTTCAGCGTCTGGTCATCTGAACAACTTAAGAACTTCGAGTCATTTGGCGAGAAGGCTAATTCGCCGACTGTATTCTCGTGTGCCTTGGAGAGAATGTTGACGTTGTTGAAATTTGGTTGCCAAAACTTGATACAGCCTGACATATCTCCACTAAGCAGCCATTTACCACTGTGAGAATATTCCAATGAAAAGATGGGCACATCATGAGCTTGCATAATAGACTCAAAATTAAACGTTAACCCATTCCAAAGCGTGAATTCCCCACTATAAGACGACACGAGAACTCTTCTTGCATCGGGCGTCCATTTCACTGCATGGATGGCGTGTTTGGATTTATTTGTTGAAATGTGCACAAATTTGCTGCTCAAATCCACAATCGACGGTGAAGATATCAATGATGGTGGCAGGTCAGTGACATATGAGGCTGCTGGTCGTATTGATCCAATGGGAAGCGCACGTCGACGTCTACGGTTGTACACGTTCTTAGTGATCATGTATTTCCCGACAGGTGTGAAATAATCAACGGTTCTCCGTTGTTGCAGTTTTTTCTCCAGTTCTGATTCTGCATCATGGTTTCTCCTTGATAGCCCACTCATTAGCTTATAATGGTTGTCAGTACAGATTAGTATGTAAGCTCAACATTGTTAACATATTATCAAGCATTCTGGACAGAAACCTTAGCCAACATGAATTTGCTTGCTTTTGATTTTCTCTCGCCGAGAAATTTTATTCTACTTGAAGCTATTTTTCTACATCAATTTTTTTTTAAGGTGAACGAACATTAATTTCTTCGGTCGGCTGGTTTTTGAGAAGAGCAATAAAAAGCAAACAAAACCACAAACATGCATCCGGTTCAGCACATGGGACCAGTTTGTTCCCTGAAAGTATTTTCAAATAAATGGCTGTTCAGTGGAGAAGGCCCAAGTTTAAAAATATATGATTACGTTACAGGTGAAAAACTTTTTGAAAGAATAATCTTCAAAAGAAATAAGATTCATGGAATAGAATATATCGATTCCAATGTAGATGGTAAAGTTGAATCCGATGTTAAAATAGTTGTTTGGGGAGGAAGATCCCTCAGCATTCTCACCCTTGCTCAATTAAAAAATCCAAATTTTGAAATTCCACATCAAGGAGTTGGTGACTGGATTTTCCATTGCATCTTTAAGGATCAACATACTTTGCACATTCTTAACTCACACAACATAGTGCATACCATTTCCACTGAAAATGAGAAACCTCAGCTTTTGTCGTCTAAAAGTTGCGACTGGAAATCCATTCTTTATTCCGGAACGCTCCACAAAAATACAGAGACAGGTAAAGTGACGGTTTTAGCAGGAACCGTTATGAATGGTATTTTAATTTGGGACTTGAAAAGTGGAGAAGTTCAGAATAATTTAACACAGCATGAAGGATCAGTATATTGTGTTGTCTCTTCACCAGATGGAAAGTACGTCGTGAGTTGTTCTGATGATAGATCAATCAAGGTATGGAATAAAAAAACAGGAAAGTTGCTAGCCAATGGGTGGGGACATGGCTCACGTATCTGGGGATTATCAGTCTACAATGTTACCGATTCTGGCTTCAATATTTTTAGCTCTAGCGAAGATTGCACTTCACGTATATGGACTTTCAATTACTCTGGAAGTGACGAGCTAACACAAGATAAAATCATACTAGGTCACACAGGTAGGCATGTCTGGAGCGTTGCTGTGGACGATCAAAACAAGATCGGTTTCACGGGAGGTGCTGATGGTAAGATCCTTGTGACAGATTTAGCAACTGATAAGAGGGAGGGTTTTTGGGGTCACAAATGGGAGCTAAAAGATGTATCCTGCGAAACTGGATACAACTTTATCAAGGGTGAACTTATAAAAGAGTATGTTGATTTTGGACATGGTCTTCTAGCAGTAACCTCAGGGGGTAAGCTTATGATTTTGAAGCATTATAAGAAATGGTTGCCTTTATTCGAAGATTCGAAATTTAAAAGATCCTGTCTTTTGAAAGCTTTCAAAGAAGATCCTATAGCTGTCATTGGAAACAAGCATGGTGATGTAATTATTATGAAATTTAATGAGAATTGCGAGCTTGTGCTGAAAAATGAATTAAAGCTGGAACAACATTTCAGTAGATTGGGCAATATTTTGATTAACCAGCATAATAATAAATTGTTTGTGCTTTTCGAATCTCCGAACCCTAAAGATTGCATTGTTTACAGTGAGATTGATAGAGAAAGCCTAACTGTCATGTCTGACAAGTTATTGCGCAAACCAATTGATAAAATTATACTGAGTTCTGTTGCATACGATACTCAACGAGACTATCTTTTCATTGGTTGCAGGTTTGCAACTTTACTTGTCTACTCCATGTCGGACAATCAAAACGAACCAATCGCAATATTCAAGAATTTTTTTAAAGGGGATACAATATCTTCCATAGAGCCACTTAACGAATCACAAGAATGTACACTATATTTGACGGACAGGGATGGGTCATACCATTTGATTAAAATCAATGAGGAGCTAGAGTACGAGTTTTTGCAAAGTAGTAGAATTCAGAAAGGTTTCTTAGAGGGTATTATTCGGCTTTCTAATGGCGATACTATATTTTACGGTTTCAAGTCTGACAGTTTTTTTGCTTGGAATGAAACAAAACAGTATGAGATTATGCGTGAAATATGTGGTGGTCCTCATAGACGTTGGATGTTCAAGCACTGGATTGACAAAACGAGTAAGAATCTGAAGTATAGGTTCGTTTATACCAGAGCCTCAGAAGTTCAAATTATTGAAATTGGGGACTCATATGCTGTTGAACTATTAGCAGCAGGATTACATGGGAGAGAGATCAGAGACATATGTTGGATTGATGCTGTCAACGATAAAAATGAAAAGGTCGTGATAACCGGTGCCGAAGACACAACATTGAAGATTGGAACATTGAAGAGCAATGGAGAATATACATTACATTGGACATATAGAGAGCATGTTGCTGGATTACAGTCAATTCACCCAGTCAATAGCGAATATATAATGTCTTCGTCAGCATTAGAAGAGCTATTTCTCTGGAAAATTACCAAAGCTGATGGCAAAAAATGCATGGCATTACACGGATCACTCCCTCCAAGTGAAGAAAACCCAGATTTGAGAATAATGAATTTTGATACAATCGAAATAGTTGACTCTGAAAAAAATCTTGTAGGATTTTTGCTTGTTTCAGCCTACTCGAATTCTGCTATTAAAGTATTCCAATATACGTACTCTACCAAAAAGTTCACACTTTTGATTGATGACTACTACATGAAGTGTTGCATTTTCCATGCTAAGTTTCTCTCGCTGAATGGAAAGCTTTACATCCTAATCGGATCAACCAATGGACATATTACACTATACAATGTTCAGACCAACATTGAAGACAGATACATTACACTTGACGTAGAAGTATGTGGAAAGGTCCGTCTGCAAGAAAAAACACCAACAGCTGATCCGAAACCTTCGAAATTGGGTAAGTGGACCATCAACCAACAGATGCATCAATCCTCGATCAAGGCGCTCGAGCTGATACAGGTGTCCCCCGATAAGGTAACCGTTCTTACAGGAGGTGATGATAACGCATTAATAGTAAGCAAGCTCCAGAGTGTGGAAGGTACCGAGGTAGTTACCGTTGATGTTAAATCGTTCAATCCTTCAGCTGCATCCTCAACGATTACTACAATCAAGGCTGTTGATCAGAATACAGTGCTAGTTGGGGCTGTAGACCAGAGCTTGAGACTCTGGGACATTCGCTCTGATTTAAAACTTGTTGAAGACAACTACACAACTGTCGCTGACACCGGTTGTGCTGAAATTGTTGACTTTGGTGATGATAAGAAGCTTGCTTTAGTTGGCGGATCCGGGTTTTCCATAATCAAAATTTGAGTATTTACTCTTTCCACATAGATAAACCCCCAACCCCCAAACCTTGTAGATTTTAGACATGTTTATAACTAAAAGTAGAATTACCAGACTCTTTTCACACATTTCGGCTTCGAAGCACAATGCCAGGTGATTAAGCTGTGGTGAAATGAACCTCGGAAGAGATCAGAAAGACTCAAAATTGTGAGTGTAGTATTAAGTGTAAATATACAAATAGAATATATACCAAAGAAGTGAAATTCAGGGAAATTCTTGAAAACCTATAGACAAGAGATGTTTTTTTTTCATTCCGTAAGCGTGAAGCGGCATATGCCGTAGCATATCTAATGGTATGAGATCAAGCTTGCTTTTGTTTGTGTTTTGGATTCGCCTTGCAGAGAACATAAACTCTTCCCTTTCTTCTTGCAATGTAACAGTGCTCGCAGAACTTCTTAACTGCAGTTCTGATCTTGTATGTTCTTGACATGGAAGCCAAAAACGAAGGTTGGATATGTATATTTGAATGAGCGTGCTGGTGTGTGCATTGCTTTGTAGTGTGGGCAACTTGGCCCATCCTTTGTAGCCCCAGTCTGAAGTTATTAAAAAGCATCTTTGCACTCCAGTCTTTATTTTTTGAACTGCACCTCCTGATCCCTTTTCCCTTTCGTTTATGCTTTTCACTTCGCCATAACCCTTCTATTCATGTAATGTGAACCTTCAACTCTGAAATTTCCCTGATGCGACAGACCCCAAAACGCAGAGCCGTTGCTGACACGTAAAAATGGCAGATGCCGTCGATCGCCCCCAACTGGCCGTGCTGGGTATTTCTATCTTGCGGATTGTTGTGTTTAGCAACATGAATCGTGTATCAGAGTTGATGAGCCAGAGAAAAGCTTGGTTTGGCCAAGAAACAGAATCCTCAGGTCAATTCCAACAATGGATTCTTGGTCTTTGGTATGTGGACATCGTTGTCAGCAAATTCTTGCGTTTTTTCTTCTTTTTCCGGCAGCACCTTTCCAAAAAGTGGCATTCTAACATAAATGAGATATGATACAGTTAAACACTACATCAGTAGTACGACACCCGAAAAACCAGGCAATCACCTCTTCAGATGCACAGGTGCTGGTGTCCTGCGTCAAGTTTGATGATTCCCACTCCTTGCTTTGGGTGGGTGACTCGCGTGGGTACTTGACGTCGTATAGCGGGCCAAAGATGCAACTCTACACGTCAGTGAGGGCACATAATGGGCCGATCTTGAAAATCTTGAACCACAAAAGAGGAGTTTTGTCGTTGTCGTTTAATTCGATACGCTTGGGGACCAAAGAGGGCATTACGTTGTTCAACATACTTTCAGATGAGCTGAAGGGAATAAACTCCATGTCTTACACGTCAAATACGCAGACGGAATTACTGGTTGCCGGCGACAAAGACGCCACTCAGTCAAGGATATTCAAGATTGATATGATAAACAAACGTATTTCGAGCTCTTTTGCGTATCCGCACACCGTCATCTTCATGGAAACGAACTTGAAATATATTGTGCTCGGTAGATCCGATGGCTGTGTTGATATTCTGGATCCGAAGTCAAACCGGATTCTTGAGTCTTTCGAATGCCACTCCTCGGGATTGTCACACATCTCGGTTAAGGATAGCAGCTTGCTGACGACGGGGTTCTCCTCCAAAAGGGGCCAATTTGTTCCAGACAATTTTGTCAACTCATTCGATTTAAAGACCTTGACCGCTTCGAGTCCGATATCATTTCCGGCTGGAGCCTCAAAAGTTTTTCATCACCCAATAATACCGAATGTCATTTTGATCTCATCGAGTATGGGACACATGAACTTTTTGGACATAAAAACTCCCTCAAAGCTGAACATATATCAAGCCGACATTACTACATATGTCACCGCGTTTGACCTTTCCAGTTCAGGCTCGTTCATAGCAATTGTTGATGCTCTACACAACTTGCACTTGTGGTCCCGCAATGCTATGGGATCGTCAACAGAGTTTGCTTTGTACAACGCTCCTCTCACATTTCCAACACCTATAGCTGAGGTCATACCAGCTTCGAATCATTTGACAAGCCCAAACTCTCCATTCAGTTTAATAAAATTGCCGGCTTTTCACAGTCAATTATTGTCGGCGTGGCCTAGTGATTTGGTATTTGATGTGGGAGGCTTGCCCAACCAGATAGATCCAGAGATATTACGAAGCTCGGAACTTATTAATGGTATCCTTATAGCCAGATACAATAAAGAGAAATTCGGTCCAAGAAATGTGGCCGAGAAATATTACAACATATCTCAGCAGACCTCTGAAGGTATGAACATTCCAAGGTTTATTAGCGAGCGGATTGATGATGATGATGATGATGACAGGGGAGAAAATACAACCATGAAAAACAACAATGACATCAATAGTGGACTTCTTCATAGCGAGAATCTAGGGGCAAATGACTTGTACAATCATGAAATTTTTGATTTGAAATCAGCTAGAGGAGACGTTCCAAATGCTTATAGGCAGCTCTCAATACTATATAGTAAGTTCGGAGTGGACGACTTTGATTTTGATTTTTACAACAAAACGAAATTTTCGGGCTTGGAGATCAATTCTGGTAATTCGTTTTTCAACCCTATCTTACAACTGTACAGATATATTGCTCCAATGTTCAACTATACCCTTATGGCACTAGCCGAAGACGTCACAGAAGAGTCAAATTTATTGATGGAGCTTGGTTATTTGTATGATATGATGCACAAATCTGATGGTCGTCATTGTGCAGCATCAAATTTCCAGATTATCTTTTCATCGATTGGAGAGACACAAAATCTAGGTTTGACCACAGACTCAAACATTTCAAGAGATGATTATAAACAAAGAAGAATGATACAAACTTTCAACAGGTTTTTATTGGAAAGACTTTCTAAGGATGAGTGCAAGTTATATAAAACTCAAACCCCAAATAACCTAAATGACATATGCGGTGTTTACACTGAAACTACAATATATTCAAATTTTTGTTCGTTGACACATAAAAGAGTTATGATGTATCATTCCATAGATATCAACTGTTTACCTTCTCCTCCACTAATTCCCACAAGTGTCACAATTCTCAACTATTTGGAAGCCTCCATGAACAAACATATCCAGCAACAAATTGTTTGTGAGAACTGTGGGTACCAACATCCAGTCAATGCTTCTCTAGTCATCAATAATTTGTCTCCGGTTGTGGTTTTGAATCTGGACTTGAACAATCAGCAAATGAACGAAATAAGATACTTGAAAGGTTGGCTTACTCCTGAATTTTACTATGCCCAATCACCCCTGGGTACCCCTGTATTGAGAAGCAATGTGATAGGTGGTGTAGTCTCTAACCTCAGAAAATTTGAGTTATGTGGTTATACAGCTCAAATCACCAATAGACAGGGGGAAAGTCACCTTGTCACTTATTCCAAAATTCGAACGGATCCAAATGATTCAGGTAGATGGTATTTATTTAACGACTTTTTAGTTAGGGAAGTTCCTGAAGAGGAAGTTTTGGATATCTCTCCATGGTGGAAAAAACCTGTTGTTATGATTTATAAGGAGGTTGGAATCGGTAATGAATTCAAACCGAATGTCTATATGAACAATTTGAATACTTCCATTTTGCACAAAGATTGTTTAATTGAAGGAACACGTGAAGGTAAAACAATCGAATACCATTTATTAGATAATAATGAGACAATAAAGCCAGGAACCCTAGTTGCATTAGATGCGGAGTTCATCGAACTTTTGCCTGCAGAATACGAGTTTAGTGGCGAAGGCACAAAGTCTCTTGTTAGGCCACCAACTTTATCGCTCGCAAGGATATCCGTTATTCGTGGTGAAGGTCCTAAAGAAGGCGAGTGTTTTATTGATGATTATATTGCAACCTCCAAACATGTTCATGACTATAAAACAGAGTTCTCTGGTATAGTGGCTGGGGATTTAACACCTGGTGTATCTAAGAAAAGTTTAGTCAATTTGCAAGTTGCATATAGAAGAATTTGGTTATTGTTGAACCTTGGCTGTGTGTTTGTTGGACATTGGTTAGCTGGTGATTTTAGAATGATCAATATCTATGTTCCCCCTGAACAAGTGCGTGATACAGGTTTATGTTTTTACCTCAAGAAGGAGAAGCGGAAGTTGGGATTGAAATTTTTGGCTCACTACGTGTTAGACAAAGAAGTTCAAAAAGGAAATCATGATTCCATTGAAGATTCGATTAATGCACTACTTTTATACAAAGAGTACCTAAAGCTGAAAGAGTCCGGAAGATTAGAGAACATGTTATTTCACCTTTATTTCGAAGGACAGATGTCCCGGTTTAAAGTTCCCACAGAGGTAACTTTGAGGAAACCCAGCAATACCAAGAAAGATGACAATGTAAATACGTAGCGAAACTTTTGTACAATATATTTAGCATTTTGTAATTTATAGAATAATTTTAGTATGATGTGTGTGTAATTCGACTGGCTCTATGAACGTATTACTCGCTAGCAAATGACCTTCACAAAGTCGTCTACAATTAATGCTGCTATTGTTGCTGATGTGATTGCTGGAGTTGATGATGAAGATTTTGCTGTTGTAGTGGAGGCTGCTGCTGCTGTCGTTGTTGTAATTGGTGTCGTCTTTGCTGCTCCAGTTGTTGTTGTTGCTGTTGTTGTTGCTGTTGTTGTTGTTGTTGTTGTTGTTGTTGTTGTTGAGCTCGCGTAGTTGGTTGGTACTGGGAGGATCTATTAAGGCCGTTGAAATGATTGACCTGATTCCCAAAACCGTTGAAATTGCCAGATGTATTGCTATGTAAGTTTGTATTCCCAAAGCTAGTGTGATTTCCCCTCGCAAAAGCCTGTGAGAATTGCTGTCCACTTGTATTTGGCTGGTATCCATACTTTGCAGATAACGCAACACCACCCTGGTTGAAAGAGTTTGATGAGTTGGCTCCACTTCTAAGAGAGGGTGCCTGTGGTTCCTTGAAATGCAAACAGCTTTTCTTCCACAGGGTGAGAAGTTCATCATTATAGCTTTCCAAATCTTCAGTAAATGGTCCCCCTGTAAGTTCGGCTTCTTTTAGTGATAGTCCTAAACTTTTTGACATTGAATTTGCGGTAGCTGGTCTTGAATTTCTCAAAGATGATTTACTAATAGATTTAGAGACTGTTTTCACGGGTTCAGGAACATCAAGCTTTTTACCACTAGGATGAGACTCATGTCTACATGTACCATAAATTCTTTGAAGAGATCCCAACATAGGATTTGTATGACGTCTAATGTGAAGAAATTCTCTCGACAACTGTTCATACTGGAAACGAGTGGTTTGGTTGATGATTTGAGAGGGTGTTTGACTAGTCCCTTCTTCAAAATCGTTCAAAGTGGCAACATTCTCTCTTTGAAGCCATAGCTTTTGTTGTGTCCTGGATTCAATCTCAGGTTCCTGTGAAGATAGATATGAAGACAAGTCCAAGTCAAGAATCTCAGACTGCTGATTGTCTGAATTTCCTCCGTACTCCATTGACCTAGCTTGCTTGGAAAGCAGAGAGACATTTTGAGGTGTTTTCTCTTCAAAGCTTGCTTTGTTATTGTTTAAATCCTCGGGTGGTTCTTTGTCTTCTGCTGAGGCCCGACTTTTGGAGTTCTCAGAAGGAGATGATGACTTGACTTTTTGTGGATGCTGCGTGTTTCCTTGTATAGTCGACATTTGTAAGCGGTGCTGTAGGTTCTCCGGAACTCCAAAAGATAGGTATGACTCCTGACGCTGGAGGGATGGGTGAGAAGCAGTGGCTTTCATATTAGTTGCATTTAGTTGGCTTAGTTGTAAATTCTTGACGGAAGGCTGTGTATTTAGATTGTATAATGTCAAGCCAGATTGCTGGAAGATCAATGAGTCTTGGTTAGTGTGGTAAGGCATCCCGGATTTGGAAGAACTCACAGTTGTATTCGAATCATTGTGGGAAGAAGCGTTTTCCCCTGATTCTTCTTTCTCCATATTCTGCGGGTTTTCTTCCGTGTTACTTGATTGCTGCCGTGAAGCCACATGGTTATTTGACAGTTGTCGTTCCTGTCCTGTCGACTGAGAAAGAACAGAATGCATTCTATACATATTTAGAGAATTTTCTCCCTCTTTGAAATCATCTGACTGGTCTAAGATATTTTTCTGGCCCTCTGAGATGTCCTCATCACTGGTTTTTGATTCCTGTCCAAACTGTTTATCTGCTGCATCGTGAGGAGAACTGTCAATTTTCATTTCTGCCACGTTTTCTTTCAATTGTTCCAAGATTTGATCTCTGGCACCCACTTGAGTGTTCTCTTCATTGGAAGTATTTGTATTTGAAGAAACACCTTCACCGTTAGCTTTTTTCTCGTCTGTGGCAATGCTGCCAGTCCTTCTGTCCACATAATAATCATCTTCGTCTTCGTTTTCTTCGTAGTCTTCGTAATCTTCATTGTCCTTATTACTCATGCTCTTTTGTTCATCATCGCTATTCTGGTCACTTTGAGCATCGAATTCTGCATCTGCGCTTGACTTGCCTTTTCGTGCCTTCCTGAGGTGCAAATTCGTCATGCTCTTGGCTTTATTTGGTCTGCTATAAATGTTTGGGCCACTACTCACTGACCTAATGAGATCGACATTTGACCTTGTACGTGCAATTCTGGGGCGCTCAGACTCATTTCCACCGGGATTGCTGCCCATGGAGTCGACTGACCTAATTCTGGTAAGCTTTGCCGCATTTTTCAGGTTCCCAAACGATGATATCCGGCTGGACTTTTTGGAACCGTTGACGGTAAACTGTTTTCCTTGTTTGCGTTTCGGAAGAGGAACGGAGCTTCCTATGTTTTCAGTGGAGCCTTCCTTTATCATTTCTGTCATTGTTTATCCTCCCCTCTTGGTTTTATTAGACCTGTGGAAGCCAGGAGTACCCCCATCAGCTCCGATAATATCAGATGTAGATGGATATCTGAAGCATACAAATATCACCAATTTCGAGCGACGCAGTCTGGCTGTGCTAAAACGTTGTAGCCGGTCTTTAATTTGAAGGAGCCAAACAAGTTCTCGGGACAGAAGGATCTTGAAGGCCCTCTCTCAGAAGGGAGCATTTACCATTGTTAACACTATAGGAGCTCAATTAGAATACGGACCTGAGATGAATACGGTTAGAGAGACATCCACTGACATGGACTTGTACAAGGTGGCGCAGAACTACATTGAGAAAATGCTTGCTGTAGATGCTGATAGTGACAACAAAAATATCAGAGTATTACTTCTTGATGAAAGCACAGCATCAATCATCTCGTTAATCTCTACTCAGAGTGATCTTTTGAAGAAGGAAATATATCTCGTTGACCGTTTGGAAAATGAGAATCGTGATAAGTTGAGAAACTTGAAGTGTATCTGTTTCGTGAAGCCTAGTGATTTGACTGTGACTAAGTTATCGCAGGAGATCAACAACCCCAAATACTCAAGTTATGAAATCTACTTTAATAACATTATATTCAAATCCCGATTAGAAAGACTGGCTGAATCAGATGATTTGGAAATCGTGAATAAAGTAGTGGAGGTTTTTCAAGATTACTACGTATTGAACAAATCATTGTTCACCACCACCAATATTATGAGTCCCTTTACCGCCAGCGGAATCCAGACATGGGATCCCTTGTCTCTAGAAAGCTCTACTGAATGTTTGACTTCTTTAATTCTATCGTTAAACATGAAGCCAGTGATCAAGTACGAGTCCAATTCCAAGATGGCAAGTAAACTTGCTAATGCTTTTAATTACGAAATGACATCAAATAGTCAACTATTTGAGCAGCTTACACCTAAAAGAGATACTGCACCATTGGTTCTCATAATGGACAGGAAAAATGATCCCGTCACTCCTTTATTGTTTCCTTGGACCTATCAGTCAATGATTAACGAGCTACTAGGTATCAATAATTCTAACAACAGTGTCAATCTATCATATTTACCAAATGTTGGTGAAGAACTTCGAACAGTTATCATGAACGAAACACAGGATCCTTTCTACGCTAGATCTATGTATATGAACTTTGGAGATCTATCTACGCTATTGAAACAGTATGTTGATGACTACAAAATCAAAACAAAAACAAATTCCAATATCTCGTCTATTAAAGACATGAAATTTTTCCTTGAAAACTATCCAGAATTTAAAAAAATGTCTTTGAATCTTTCAAAACATATGCTACTCACATCTGAAATTGACAAGCAAATCAATACTCAACGAGTTTGGGAAACAAGTGAATTTGAGCAATCTATGTGTTGTAACGCGGATACTTCACATCACGAGAATGACGTATCTGAATTGGAATCGTTCTTATTTGACAGTACTAGATCTGACGGAACGCTGGCTAATCCCCTAAGTGAAGAAATCAAACTGAAACTGCTATCTTTGTACGCTCTTAAGTACGAAACATACCCTAGTAATCATCTAAATTCGTTACTCAAGAGGCTGAACAACCCAAATATCAGTAATTTCATCAATATCCTTCTCAAATATGCCGGTCAAAAATGTCGAATTACTGGCGAGGATGGTGCTGTTTTCAACAAGCTTGGTGGTACTGTCGGTGCTGCTAATCAGGTCGCTGCTCTTTTCAGCAACATATCAGGAGGCAACAACACCGAAAATGCATTCATGCAACACCAACCTAGAATTGCCAATGTTTTGGATAAATTCATTAAGGGTAAACAATCCCTCAGCAATACATTTGTCTCTGTTGGTAAAGACAATACAGACAGCAAAATACCTTTCAGAGAAATAGTTGTTTTTGTTATTGGAGGTGTATGCTATGAAGAAGTTCGAATAATCGAAGAATTGAACAAGAATCACGATGGTGTTCGGATTGTTCTTGGTGGAACGCAAACACTCAACAGTAAGATATTTATAGATAATCTCAGAGAAGCTGGAAGTACTTGGTGAAGTGCATACATATATAAAATCATTTTGATGGTAATGTACAACATTTTTCTTTACACTCACGCTTGCGGCAATTACTCTAAGAATAGAGAGCCTTTCTCAGTCTAGCTAAAAAAAGTAGCAATTAAATAATACAGCTTTATTAATATAAGATTTACAGATGAAAAAAAATAAACCGTACCAGGTTCAAACGAATAATTAGGCATGGTTGTTTTGCCACGTATTTAGTAGGTTTGTCAATTGGTCTAATTGATCTATGGAATCATTATAGCACCCTATCAAGGTGCTTTTCAACTCCGTTATTTCTTGTGTAAGCTCAGAATCATTCATCTTGAAAAGATTGTTTTTGAATTCTTCTTCGTTGCTCAAATTGATTTGAATGTTCGATACAAAATCCATTATGGAAAATATCCGACGAGTCATTTCATTCATGCTAATTCTTGCGCTAGGTATATTAGCTCTAAAAGGCTTGTCATCAGTTGCGGGGGGTTTTGAATCCTTCTTTTCTCTCTTGGCACTACTACGTTTTGGCGTTGAAGAAATAGAGTTTGTGTTTGGGTTAGTTGTATTTTTTGAGTTAAAAGAACTGCTGGACGCCTTTGTGGATACAGATTTTGCATCAGATCTATCATCATTGTCCTCCTCGTGTTCATCATTGGAAGCGCTTGTGGCTGATGTAGTTCTCCGGGGTCTAGTTCTCTTTGGGTCTCTAGCACGACGTCTTTCTTCAATTTTTGGCTTCTTATAAATTTCTACCTTTTCGGGCTTGACTTCGGTCAATTCGGTATCGGTTTTTGTGGAGCCATCATCAACCTTTGGCAGCTCTGATTCTGTCTCTGGGTTGCTGTCTTCGTTCTCAGGAGCTGTCAATGATATATCGTCGTGAAGTTTGGCTCTATTCTTTCTCAAGCTTGTGGTGCGAGTTTCCCGTACTCCTCCTGGTCCTTCACTTGAACTTATGTTCACTTCTTCAGGAACAACCCCACTCTCCTTGGCGCTTTCCTCCAATGCTTTTTTCAACATTTCTTCGTAGTTATAGTCTCTATAGCTATAGGAGGACCTTTTTCTATGTTTCCTTCGATGTCCATCGTCATCTTCGTATTCTTCCTCATTCTGGGACATCTCGTGGTCATTGTTGTGGTTTTCTGTAGATTCTTCGTTCTCTATTGCTTTAACTTCAGACGGTTTCCTTTCCTTTTTAACTTCATTGAGATCATCTGCGGATTCTGGGTTCTCAGCTTTTGTAGAGACGAACCTACCATTCTTTCTTTTGAGACTTTTTTTCTGGCTGTTCATCGAGGCGGAAGAAGAATATGAGCTATTTCCAGCATTCTCATGGGTTGGGTCGTATTTACTCCTTCGAATTCCAAATCTGTCTGTGAATAAGGTATGATTTTCTGGCTTGCATTGCTCACACCAGTATTTCTCCGGGGCGTTTTCCTCGTCTTTAATGCCAACACAGTATCCATGCTGCCAGACAGCACAGATTTCACACTGAATAAAAAAACCTGGATCCACATTGTCGAATTCTTCGTGGCTGTTCTTCGGAACGTACAAGTCGTCCGATCCACAGATGCATCTTGTCACCTCCTCAACTTCATTGATATCATCAAGGTCCTGATCCGGCTTCTGTTCTTGCTCTTGCTCCGGATCCTGGCTGCGACTGTCTCGGCGATGTGAGTCTGGTTCGTCAGTCCGGGCCCGGGATGAGCGTTTGGAAGCTGATCCCGTGATATCGTTGTTGTTGTTGTACGAGTCGAAATCGGTATCCATCTCGAAGTCTTCAGTTGCGTATTTCGGCTGCGTTGAGTGTGCTCTTCTTGATCTGCGTGAGGACATTGCAGCGCAGAGGGTAGTAGACAAGTAATATAAGCGGGGGAGAGTGGTTTGACCACGGCAGAGTGCTTGCTAAGACAAAAACAAGAATGATGTACAGCCCGAGATAAAGAGAGCAAATGGAGTTGTCAAACAGAGCAGGAAAACAGAGAGCGAGGCTGGCCGAAAAAAGGAGAGATGGTAGAGGAAAAGGAGGGGGGACGATGAGGGGTGAAGAAGTTGGGGGAAAGGTGGAGAGTACTAAAATAGAAGAGTGTAGGCCATCAAGAGCAAAGATTGCAAAAGGGTACTTCACGGTGCTGCATAGAATAAGCCAGAATAAAGATGTCTGATTTTTACGACGGTCCGTCAAGATACAAGAAAAGGAGGGTTGTGACACACCGAGGTGGCGGGAACCGGAGACGGGACGAGAGTCGTGACGCCGGTGCCAGCAGCAGCGGGGTTGGTTCCGGACACGTCGGCAAACCTGGAAGAGCAGTGCCAGAAAAGGTGCTGCCGAAACCGGTGTGGATGACTGACGAGGAGTATAAGAAACAACAAGGCTCGATTGTTCGAGCGATCCAGCCGCTGAGGAAGGGTGCAGAGGCTGACCGTGGAGGCCAAAACCCAGCGGAAAGAGGAAATGAAACTGGCCATGAGGGCTTCAGCAGGAGCGGTGCTGCCGAGGCAGGCGCTGGTGCTGGTGCTGGCGACGGCACGCCTATGGCGAGCGAAGACGTTAACGTGAAGTTAAAATACTTGAAGACGTTGCAGGCGCAGGGAAAGGACGAGATTGTGCGTGACTACTACAACACGCAGACATTCCACTCGAGGCAAAGCAAACGTACCGAGTCGCCGATCTACCGGTTGCGCTCGTTCAACAACTGCATCAAGTATATACTCATCAACAAGTACGGGAAGCCAAATGGGACGGTGCTGGAGCTCGGGTGCGGGAAAGGAGGCGACTTGGCGAAGTGGGGCATGTTGGGCACCCGGCAGTTTGTTGGAATTGACTTGAGTGATGAGAGCATCCGCGAGGCGATCAAGCGGTACCGGAACGGCCGGTACGACTTCCAGGCGGTCTTTGCGACCGGCGATGCCTTCAACGTGGAGCTTCCGGAGATCTTGAAGGACTTCAATCCCGACGAGGTGTCCCACTTGCAATTCGACAACGTGAGCATGCAGTTTTGCATGCACTACGCGTTCAGCAGTGAGGCGAGCGTCGAGAGCATGTTGGCGAACGTGAGCAAGAGTCTCAGGGTCGGCGGCATGTTTGTTGGCACGATCCCGAGCAGCGACTTCATCAAGTGGAAGCTCAAAAAGCTGCCGCAGGGCGAACATCGCTGGGGGAATTCTATCTACTCCGTGACCTTCCCCGATCTGGACTGCTTCGACCGTGAAAAGGGCGCCTTCGTCCAGCCCTTCGGCAACGTCTACAACTACTTCCTCAAGGACGCCGTCGAGGACGTGCCCGAGTACGTCGTGCCCTTTGAGAAGTTCCGGAGCATGTGCGAGGAGCACGGCCTCGAGCTCCGCTACAAGAAGAACTTTTTCGACATGTTCAACAAGGAGGTGGGCCACTTCTTCAACCAGCTTCCCGGCCCCTTGATCCAGTCCTTGCGCCTTCCCGGCGGCAAGTACGGTGTCGCCAATGAGGAGCGGGAGGCTTGCTCTTTCTACCTGGCCTTTGCCTTTGAGCGGGTGTAATGCGCACGGCCCCGTTCTCCTACCTCTCCTGTGTACCTTTGTAGATAGACGCAAGACACGTCTTATTAGCCGATCGGCGCAAAAACTAAAACCGCCGGCTCCTCGGCAGTTTCCGTCCTGCAAGAGCCGTTGACTAGTGGCGCCACGCGCACTAGAGCAGACTAGGAAAGAAGCAAACGGTTTGCAAGCGCCCGAAAGGGCAAGGGAGCCGAGCGTCGCCAGGCAACGCAACTAGGCGGTGCTAGTGCTGGTGCATTGGGAAATTGTGTCTGCCATTAAGATCACGCGGGGCAGCATAATGTGTTGATGTTGACATTGGAGGTGCAGCTGGGGCTGTCTGTGATGAAGAAAGTGATGGTTGATCTTGATGGTTTTTCTTCTGCATGTAGAAGAGGACGGGCGGGAAGGGGAGGAAGAGGACCAGCGAAGCAGGAGCTATCGATATACACGGACCCACGATGGCGTACGAGAAAGCATCGACACTGACGGTGTCTGGGCCGTTCAACGTGCAACACATCCCCAAGGTAAGAAATATTGCACAACCTGCATTTAGCGTCGATCTAGCGTCGTCGGGGGTACTCTCGGCAGCGGGGGAGGACATGAAGACGTCTTCGTCCTCGTCGTCGGCAGCGTCGTCTGGAGCAGGGACAACGTTCACCACTGTGGCCACGAGCGGCGCGTCGACGCCGGCGTCGTCGTGTGGGACTGCGGGTTCGCCCCGTCTGACGAAGAAGAAAGGGCCAGGAGCCGAGGCGTTCACGACGAATGCTATCATTGTCTGTACGATCGGGTTTCTTGCGGAGTATGGCAACGAGCTGACGTGTGCCCCGGGCGACGTCTTCAAGCTGGTTGACCCGACGATCACCAACGGGTGGGTCCTGGTGCAGTCGCTGTCGTCCGGCAGAAAGGGCTGGGTTCCGAAGGACAACGTGAAGATCCTGGACCTGCACAACTCGAGCGGGAACGGACCAATTCGCAAAACCACCTCTATGGGCGAGAGACGGCGGCTCGGGCGAGAGAGGACAGACCACGAGAAGGACGGAGAAAAACGAGAGAAACTGGTAACGCCTTCCCTGTCCTCGTCGTCCTCGTTCCTCTCCTCGAACTCCATCTTGGATTTCTACTCCACCCAGATGACGCCGAGCACCTCTTCCATTTCCTCGCACACCTCTCCACCGCTTGACACGGTCAAGAGCGCCACTCTTTGCCCCGAGAACAACCTCACACGCACATACGCCTCCATCTTTGCCCACTCCATGTATTTTTTGGAGTCGTCGTCGGCAGCCTCGTACTGGTACAGGTTCGACCTGATCTCGGCGCAAAACAGCAATCAGAAAATACATCTGTGTAGATACTACACAGACATACTGGTCCTCGCCAGATACCTCTCCTCCCAGGCAGACTCGCTAGTCGCAGGCACTCAGCTGCCGAAGCTGCCAGACGCCTTCTTCTTTGGCGAAGACTCGTCCTATGCAGAAGGCGACGACTCTTTTGCATCACACATCTCCCAGATCGATGGGTATCTACAGCAGCTGTTCAACGTCATCAAAACGCAGCCTGCGGAGGCTCCCCCAGTCCTCACATTCCTGAAGTTCTGCCAACCAGAAGACAATGACTTTGAACACTACGTGCCTCTAGATGACGACCAGATCCTGCAAATATTGAAACCCCGCCAGGGTGAAGTCAGCAACGATATTGAACTGATCCTGAAAGACGAGGAAAAGGAAGAAAGTGTCAGCGAGCAGGACAAAATAAACAACAATCACGCCAATAATAGCAACAACACGATCAACAATGAGCTAGATAACTTCTTCTTCACTGCTCCTAAGCTGCATAAGACGTTTAGTGCTACCTCTCTAAGCTCGAGGAATTCCTCGTGCACGACCGTCTCTTCCCCCTCCACAATGGGCTCCACAATTTACGTGAAGGTCAAAATCATCTACAAGGATGAGTACAGTCTGATCAAATTGTCTGGCGACGAACTTAACTTCGACAATCTGTTCACGGCCATTTCAGATAAACTGAAAGGCTTGAGCCGTTTCACCATGGCTTATCGGAACGACAGTGGTATATTTATATTACTGAGAGATAACAACGGTTTGCAAAAGGCTCTTCTCATCAACAACAGAAAAATCATCCTCAAGGTAATCTGACTCCTGGTGAGTGCTTTTCTGCTACTTTCATTTTACTTTGGTTTTTCCAATTCCCTCTTACTCTTTGCTTTTTTTACTCCCCGAGATCCATATTTTCACTTCTGTATTTAGCGTCTTTCATCATTACCCCGTTTTTGCTTTTCTCTTTACTTAGACTTCTTGCCTCTTAATAATCTTTTTCTCTCCTCATTGATATACTTTTAACCCATTCACATTCCCGAGCCAACTTCTCATCATTAATCTATGATCTTAAAAATCTTCATCTTCTTCGGATTCGCTAAATTTTGGGAAATTCCTTCCAAACGCCAAAAAAAAGTACTGCACTACTAACAGCCATGAGTACCCGTGTAGTCGGTGTTGTGAGTCCTTGTATGCTTCGGCCCAACAACACTAAGGAATGATACAGCTATTTTGCATTTTCGCAATCGTGCTCTTGCATCTTATTAATGGTGCAAATTGTACACAGTCATACGACCTATTGATCCACCCGGTAGGTGTATCCTCCGCCAACGGGTATCCTTTGTCAAACTTATCCATAAACTCATCAACCATAGACAGTCAATTGTTGCTGAACAAAGCCTTGGCAACGAAAGACCTAACAGAAAGCCCAAATGGATGGTGCCTCTCTTTACGTTCTCAGCCCAGTGATGAGCTAACAGCGTCAGGGTTAGAATGCTTCAACTACTTCAAACCAGTTCAGTCTTTATCAACTCATAATATAGCAGGTGAGTTGGGTCTTGTGCTTGATGTAGAACACAAGATAGTTTCAGTCAATTTCTACCCGAAAGAAAAAGGTGGACTCTCGCTGCACATCAGCAAGTCTTACGAAATCTCAGACCCACAACCTCGTTTACGTCTTGACGGTAAAACAGATGCAACGGACGACGTAGATATACCAAAGAAAAGTACCAAAAAACAGAAGAACTTGGAACCAAAAGGAAAAATACTTGAGGAGAATAAAGAAGATGAAACCAGCTTAGAAACCGACGAGTTGAAAGATTTTCAGGAGATAGTTAAGCCAAGGGGCTTATACTCGGATGAGAAAACATTTATAGAGAAATACTGGGTGTACATCGTGCCTCCGATGTTGGTCATTTTTGTTGTCGGGAATCTAGGTGGAGCGTGAAATCGTAGTAAGTTAGCAGTGTGTAATACTGGCGAAAGTCAGAGGAAAAAAGAGGCACCATGCCTGTTCGCCCAAAAAGGAAATTAATATTTGATGGAAGAAGCCAGAGAGAAAAAAAAAGAGGACACCGGTTGGCTCTCTATCTGTTGGTTTCTCCGTCGAGAAGAAGCCCTTGACTATCTGCCTTTCTGTCTCCTGTTGCCATGCAGGTGTGAGCTTTCACCAGGCAAAGACATTGCTAGATTAGTTGATAGGATAGTATGAATCTCTACAACTGGATAGGCTTGCTCGTTAGCTGCCTGTTGTTCGGTAACAGTGCCCAGGCCCGAGGTATATTCTCCAAAGTCGGTGCCTCGTGTCTCTACGTTGCCGCAAACTTCACATCCTTCCCTTTCAATTGTGACATGCCCGATCTTGCCTTTAAATGTAGATGCCAAGATCCCGCTTTTTTGGGGACAGTAACAAACTGTGTCGAGACCCATGCAAGCGATCCCCAAGAATTATCAGCAGCATTTTCCCAGTTGCTGGAAACATGCAAAGCCCAAGGTGGCAAGTCGTGGGCCTTGGTTGATCTAGTGAAAATGAACGAAAACGCAACAAACTACATGATCAACTATGAAACTTTACCTACTCCAAAATTCAAAGCAAGTTTGGTGTGGAAAGCCATGAAAATCCACGACGTGCAAATGAAGAATAAGCAGCTTCTGGAATACTATGATGAGGATGAATATGTTGACTCCATGGGACTTCCTGCCTCAGCCAGCCCAATCGTATTTGACCCTTATTCCGAGGAAGAAATAGTTGAAGAACCTATGGTAGAAATCAAAAACACAGGTATGCTTAGAGATGGCAAAGTTGTTGGAATTGAACAACTGCCAAATTTTGAAAACTTCAAAGAGATTGAAACCATTGGTGTAGATAATATCTTGCAAGCACCAAGATTTCTATTATTTAATCCAGTTGTTGTTCCAGGTGAACTATATAACATCTCATACAACAGTGTTTCAAAGTTGATGGATCAGAGAAATTTGGCTACAGTATACGGCTTCTATGTCTATGCCTACTGGGGCGCAATTATGTTGATTGCCATCATTGTCAACATTGCCCAGTGGACTTCACCTTACTACAACAACAAAATAGCAAAGACAAAATTTGCGCTTTGGTGTAAAAGTAAAATCATCTGTCCCCAAATCATAAAACCCAGCAACGTATTAAGCTTCAGAGCTAACTCAGTTGCAGACAATACATTGAAAGAGATGGTCGATGGTCCGATGGGAATGTTTATTGGTGCGGACCGGGTAAAGGCTCAAAATACACAAGCTCAAATCTTGAGTTCAGAGTTATTAGATGAAAACAATCAAAATAAGTTGAATGAGTTGAGCAATAAATTGAAAAAGATTAAGAAAGCGTCAGTGAAAAAAGATCAAAGCTCCAAGTTTAATAGAAATTGCAAAAATAATGTATTGCATTCGATTTATACCATGCCAGTCAGAATGCATGCTTTAGTCATTATTGGATATTTGATTTTAAATGTGGTGTTTTGTTGCGTCAACTATGAAATAGCATATCCGAATACAGTGTTTACGTGCCGTAGAGGTCAAATGTTGGTTTCAATTGCTGATAGAACAGGTATTATTGGCACAGTTCAGTTGCCTATTGTGTTTCTCTTTTCTTTGCGAAACAATCTCTTCTCCAATATCACTGGAATGTCATACAGAACGTTTCAAATGTTTCATAAATGGACATCGAGGGTTGTCTTTGTGTTACTTGTCCTACACTGTGCATTTTACTTGTTGTTTGTGAATGTTCGGGGGGACTACATTGAAAGATGGGGGTTGTTAAAATGGAGATGTGCAAACACTGCTTTCGGTGCTATTTCAATAACAATGCTTGTTTCATTCTTCAGAAGATCATTTTACGAGTTGTTCAAGGCTACTCACAATGTACTGCTAATTGTTTTTGCAGTTGGTTCGTGGTACCACTGCTTGACCCTTGGATGGACTGAATATCTTGGAGCAGCTTACGCCGTTTGGGGAGTGGATTATTTAGTCAGATGGGCCAAAATGATTTCTTCTGGTGGAATATTGAAAGGCCAGTGTAAGGTTATTTTTGATACAAAGACTTTCAAGCCACACTCAATCAAAATAGTAGTCAATCATTCAGGATGGTGGAAGCCTTACCCAGGATGTTATTGTTGGATCAGAATTTTGAAATATGATATGTTCTGGGAAGCACATCCTTTTACAGTGATATCTGCAACTTCTGCCAATAATTATAATCAGTTGGTTTTTATTATTAGAGTCAAAGACGGTTTAACAAAGAGGTTAGCAAACCACGTTTCCAAATTCCCTGGTGGTGAATGTAACTTGAATTTGATAGTTGAAGGTCCGTACGGTAACAACATTCCATTCAAGCAGTATGACAAGTCTGTGTTAGTAGCAGGCGGTGTTGGACTAGCAGTTATCTATTCTATAGCCATGGATCTTGCACAGATCTACAGAGCTCAAGAGTTGCGAGGGAAAAGACTAGCCAATGATGCCAGCCATAAACACATATCTTTGGTTTGGTTTATACCAAATTTTGAAAGTCTGATGGCCTTCAAAAATGAAATCGAGAGCTTGAAGAGTTTCAAAGATATTATGGAGATTCAAATATTCATTACAAGAACCTTAGAAGACGACGTGCTACAAAGCATCATCAGCGATGCAAACCTCATCAATCCGTTGGGTGTGCTATCAACCTCTTATGAGCTCGAAGGGTTTAAAGGGTTTGCAAGCGCTCTCATCAAGAGTGCCAATATGCGTCGTGTAGATCGTATTGGAGGTAGAGATACGGGGAGCTCAACAGACGAAAAGCATCTGATCACGTACAACAAAGGAAGTAGTAGCGATGAGGTGAACATCGAAGAGAAAGAGGACGTTGGTGATCTAGAAGAAGGCACTACTGGTGACAAAGACAGCAAAGACGTCGAACTGGGCAGCAACCAGATATTCAAAGAGCAGAGGCTCGAAGAGGTTGAGTTTTTGAAATGGTTGATTGCCAACAACGGCGAACAAATCAGCATCAGTTTCGAGGATAAGCCCTTCCTACAGGACGAACTGTCAGAGTTCTTGCTGAACACAACGGAACGCCTTCCGACGGCGTTGATTGCCTGTGGACCCACGATGCTCAATGCCGACGTCCGTTTGTCGGTGGTAAAGTGTCTTGAGCAAGGTCTCTGTGTCGACTATTACGAAGAAGAGTTGCTTTGGTAAGCAGCGCGTTGCGTTTGTATAGGTATCCGGATATTTTATAGACATGAAGAGTTAGAGTGTCTAACTGGAATCTAGTTCTAAGAAGTAACATAGAGATTGGCTGGCGGCTTTTCGTTTCTGTAGCAAGACCGTGTCTATAGTTTGATATGAGTAAGCAGAGCAAGCATGCGAAACAGGCGAAACAGCTTGGAGAGGACATCTGGAAATCACAGACGGTGAAGATTAACAGTGAATTGTTCACGCTGACATACGGATCCTTGGTGGCCCAGATATGTCGAGAGGAGAAGTTTGATTACGAAAAGATCAACAATGTGTTGTTTGACATGGGTCGGAACATTGGGGTGAGATTGATAGAGGAGTTTTTGAGCAAGACGAGCCTGGAGCGGTGCTCGAGTTTTAAAGAGACTAGTGAGGCTATCTGCAAGATTGGGTTCAAGATGTTTCTCAATGTGGTGCCAAATGTAACCTACTGGAGTGCCGACGGGCGCACGTTTCAATTGACGCTGCTTGAGAACCCCTTGTCTGACTTTGTGGAGCTCCCGGACGACATCGACGAGGTGGACTACGACTACAACGTGGCGGTGAACGGGCTGGAGGACATGACGCTCTCGGTGGACATCGACGACAAACTTGGGCCCGGCAGAGGCCGCAAGGGCAGTGCCCGGAAGGAGCTCTGGTACAGCAACATCCTCTGTGGGGTTCTCAAGGGCGCCCTTGAGATGGTGCAGCTGGATTGCCAGGTTTGGTTTGTGAGCGACGTGCTACGGGGCGATGCATCGACCGACATTAAGATCCGCTTGGTCCAGGTACTCAAGGACGAGATCCCAGACGGGGATGAGTAGGAGTAGGGGTGTCTACGACAACAGAGCTGCCATTTGTGTGTCCGACAGTCATACATTCAGTTTCGTATATCTTGTTTCTCTGTTCTTCACCGGAAAGCCGGCAGTCAGGTAATGTAGATAAGGTGTAAGATTGAAATCATCATAGTATAACCGTGGCACCTGTTCCGCTGCAGCGTGTGCAACGTCGAGGCATGCCGATTACTATCGGCGGCCATTACACAAAGGTACCGGCACCCCGTGTCCTCCGCTTACGATCTAAACACAGGGCTTGCAGAGAGAAGAAGAGCGGTCGAAGAAGATGAGAAAAAGAGAGAAAATAGAAAGGTGTCTTGTCTGCCCAGGCTTTTTTCTATGTCGCAAAAGGAAACGAGAGCGGGCTTTGTTTATTTGTTTTTGTGATCAGGGTTTTACGGTGTTATGAAAACCGTGTCAGCTTCAAATTGACAAAGTAGTGAAGGAATTCAGCAAAACAAGAACAGCAACCCTTGGATGCATAATGGATGGAACCAAATCGGGTGGTGAGGACGAGTATGAAGGACACGATGCAATTGACATGTACGAAGCACACACGGACTCAGAAGAGAGCCATCTGAACAGAACCGGTTTTGAAGAACACAAGGAGGAAAACGACGAGAGTAAGGGTGAGTCTGCAGATGAAGAAGAAGTGGGAGAACAACCGCTGTTTTTGGTAAAACAAGGTGCTGCGGAAGAAAACGAAGAAACTGCTTTTAAAGCCGGCGAAGAAGAGACAGGAGATGACGGCGGTAGCGGTATGACTGAAGAGCACGAGGCAAACGACGAAGCTGAAGATGATGAAAATGATGACAGTGATGATAACGAAGTTGAAGAAGATGACGAAGAGAGAGATGAGCATGAAGAAACGGTTTTCATGGTGGACGAGAACGGAGACCACATCGAAGAACAAGAAGGCTACGATTTGGATTTCAACGAGTACGTGGGGCCGTCTGACGAGGAGGACATGGGGGAGACCGAAGAATACGACTACGAATACAATAATCAACGGGAATCGTCGCCTGACTTGGTAGTTCCAGATGTTGGCATCACTAGGGAATCGAGCATGATGTCACGAATCACCAATGAAAGTGACATCTTTGCCAACCCTCGTAAGCCCTCTGTAGCTTTCCCACATCCTTCCTTGCAGACGTTAAGTGAGGAGATGAAGCAGTTTTCTGGAGAATCTGATAGTGACTTCATTTCGATGGTGAACGGGCAGAGTGCGAAGCCCTCAAGGACTGCTACAACGTCGTCGGCGGACTCAGATTCAAGCGGCTCTTCGGGCCAAACAGGTATTAGCGACCATCACAACCAATTCATTTCCAACGCACGGTACTCTCACAGCATAATGTCCTATGACGATGATGACGATGATGACGACGCGTTTTCGTTCCAAGCAAATGACGATAAAGAGTACGAGATAGGGTACACGCCAAGCCATGGGCATGATGGTGCTCGTGCGGCTAGCGACGAAGGTGATGAAACAGATACAAATATTACCGATACCGAGTCGGTGACTGAGGACGACGCTAAGACCCCGGTTGATGAGGTATCAGATGCGGCACTTCCTCCCGTACCCTTTGCTCCACCAATAATGGGACAATCTCAGCAAAGAAATGAAAAGAACAGGGATAGCTTGATCAACGCAGAAGAGTTGCAGAACGAGGTCGGTGCCATGAGAAATCAATTTGTCCGATCAGACATGCATCCCTCTGTGATGAGTAAAGTGATGAATCTTGTTGAGTTCACAGGTGGCGACGACTTACCTCAACTTCCGAAGGGCATGTTGGTGAACGGAGCGCCAGTGGATTCTGTTGTCAGTGACTCCATTGCTGATAAGGGTGAATCTCGAGAGGCTTATATGGCTGACTTAGCGAAGTCTACTGGAAGTGAGACTTTGGGTGTGCCAAGCGATGATGAGCTGGAGCTGAACAAGACAAAAAGTTCTGGATCAATAGGACTGAATAGTAGGTTGAACAAAAGTGCTAGTACTCTTGGAGGAAGAAGCCTTGACAACTCATCGTCACTATCTGGGAGTACGAAGTCTCTGGTTCAGCCGGTGACGCCGAAAAACATCAAAGCTGGAGAGATTTTTGCAAGAATACCTGATGTTGACTTGGTACAACTGTTCACAAATAACACCAAAGTTGAAGATAACATAAAGTCATTACGTGAAATACGAATCGAGTTAAGTGAATTCGACACAGGGCTCACCGACTGGATATCCTACAACATGGGAGATAGTATGAAGATTAACATGGAGGATGACAAATTGGGTGTGCATGTGCGTAAGGCTTTCAAGCTCTCCGAAGAGGGCAGTGTTCCAACTAATCGTAATACGTTTACCAATATTGGTAGTTTCAGCGATACGGTAGAGAACATGGCACACGAATTTGGTGATTTTGGAGGACGAAATGTGATCAAATTCAAGGACGTTGTGAAGGAGGTGAAGGTGAAGAAGATCGGCCAGAGGGGAAAGACGCTACTACGGAAGCTCAAGAAGGTTCCAGAATTCAGCAGTAATAACTAAATAATGAGATAACGGATTACATTGGTGGATGTACCTGTGTATTTACGTGTAAATGAAAACTACGAATAATATAATGCATAATGCCACTAACAAAATGAGACGGACAAAAATGGCGGGGGTTCCTAGTTGTTTTATTATCTATAACGGATTATCTATCGCTTTACTGCTTTTTGGCCACTAGTTCGGCACCTATTTCTCTCACCACATTGTCCATAAGTTCCCGTACACTATGGCAGCCCTGTATTCCAAGGTCAATGAGTTTCTGTAGCTTGTCCAAGGGTATTTTGTCTTCCATCAAGAGTAGGTTGATTTTGTCGCCGTCGCCGACGATACCGACAGTCAAGAAGCTTAGGTCGTTTTCCTCAAGGGAGTTGGAGTCCAATAGTGGGAAGGAGTCGTAGAGGGCGACGTTCACAGCACTAATGTAGTCGTACATGGCGATGCCTGCGTCGATGAGGGCCAGGGAGGCCGCGTTGACGCAGGATGCTAGCAGGCCACCGTCAAGCTGCAAGATTGTTATCGAGACCTCGATCACTGTCCGGGAATAGTTTTTTTTGACGATGGTTTGTTGGAGAGCTCTTTTCAGTATTATGGCTAGCTCGGACATGCGGCGGTCGTTTCTGGACGTGGATTTTCTTTCTGTGGTGGCGTATGGCGGCTGGATGATGGACACGGAGATGGTGGGCTCGTTAGAGGAAGAGGGTGCGGCACTGTTGACGGCAGAGGTCATCAAAGTGTCAGAGGGACCCCGTACAAGACAGAGAACCTTGGTGTTTCCCTGTGATATGTATGCGGAGCCGTCTGACGAGTGAGGATGGGTGTTGATGGAGCAGTTGAAGGACCGCAGCTCGTTGAAGCGGCGGCCGTCGACCCGCATTCCTTCGGGGGAGAAGAGTTCGAATTTCGACATTGGCGGTAGTGGTAGTGGTGCTAGCTGTAAGTATCAGTGTTGGGAAGAGGCCCAAGAGGGCCCAGCCCCAGCAGGAGCAACATGGTGCCGTAAAAAGACGCCGGGCTAAAAAAAAATTTGGCATGAAAAAGCATGAGGAACATGGGAGCGCAAATTGGAAGATAGACAGGAAAGCAGGGGAGAGAGAGCGGGAGGTAGAAAGGCGGAGAAGGAAGGGCCAACTCAGTTGGCGAACTCCCGGAGGCCGAAGGCGATGCTCTGGCGGAGAAGCACGACGTCGACGACGAAGACGGAGAGGAAGAGGAGCCCCATGCCGATCAAGCCGGGCTGGAACTTGGCCCGCTCGGCGAGGTTGTAGAAGTTGAGCCAGGCCTTCTTCAAGCCGAGGCAGGAGCAGAAGCCGGCGACGGCGCAGATCAAGAGCGTGGTCGGCTTGAAGTAGTGTGTGTAGTCGTGGATGTTGCTTGCGTAGGCTGCGATTAGCAGCGGCAGGGTGTCGCTGCTGCTGCTGCTGCCGCCGCCGCCGCCGGCGACCCCGTCGACGGCGGTGATCCGCCGCACAGAGAGAATGATCATCTGGAGGACGACCTGGGTGATGGAGAAGGACGACACGAGCAGCGTCGTGGTGCACCGGATGTAGGCGAGGAACGAGCGTTCGTTGGCGAGCTCGTCCCGCGTGAGGGAGTTCTTGTTGTCGTAGTGGCAGAAGACGCTGTTGAGCGCTCGATCTGTCCAGCGGACGTGCATCGTGGGCGGTGGCGGGCGCTCTGCGGCGTGCATCGGTGCAGTGCAGAGAGCAGCACCGGCACAGCAAAACGCACGGCGACCCCAACGGCGACCCGTCCTTGAGCCCCGACCTTGAACCCCGAAACACGCCAGGCAGGAACGGCCAGAGCCTCCTCCGCACATGGGCCGGAGGCGAGGCACGGACCCACCATTTATTTATTTCCTCTCTTCTCCCGCTCTCCCTCTCTCCCCTCCTGCGCCCTTCCTCCTGCTCGTGCCGGCCGATCTCGCCAAGCAACCCTCTGCAGCACTGTCCATGTGGAAGCAGACGGTCATGCTGCACCTCGACGCCGAGACGTGGGAGACCGCCAAGGCGGCGCTGCACCACCTCAAGCAGGGCTTCATCTACATCAACTTCACCCTGGCGATGCTCATCTTCGTGCCCTACGTGACGCTCATCCTCTTGGACTTGGTGGTCTACATCGGCCGCCTTGTCTGCGAGTGGCTCTCCGAGCTGCTGCTGCTCTCGAGAGGCCCGCCACTAGAGCCGCCGTCGCCGCCACGCTCTGCCGACTGCAAGAAGACGATCTGAGCCCCACCGCCTTCTCCGATTCGCCCTCCACCCCATTCTGTGCCTCACCACATTCCCTTCTTGATATTCTTCCTGTTCTGCTCCTGCTCCTGCTCCTGTTCTCTCCTCCCTGGCGGTGGCGAATACACGTAGGCGGCTCCCCTTCCCCTGGCTCTGACCCAGGGGGCTCCTCCCTTTCCCTTTTCCCCCTTCCGGCTCTCCGCATCTTACTCCGTGCCTCCGTGCACCACGGGGCAACAGGAGCTGTGCTGTGCTGCGCCACTCCGGCAGTGGCGGTGCGCGGTGCCGGCAGGCGGGGCTGTGGCGGTGCGGGAAAAAGGAGCAGCTGGAGGCAAGGCCAGACGGGACGGCCAGACAGGACGGGCTGGCGATATGTCTTGCCTCTGGTTCAGGTGCAGACGTCGTCGTGGCTGGTCGGCTGTATACGATTGTTTATCCCGCTGTCGTGTAGAGACAGTCCCAATTACACTTGCAGACGCCACGTGCACGATGTCCGCAGAAAAGAAGCTTGCCGCCATCGAGGACGACGCAACCGCTGAGCCTGGCGTGAGTGCCACTGAGGCGCCAGAGGAGACGAAGCCGGAGACAGAAGGGGCTGAGGAGACAAAGCAGGAGGCAAAGCAGGAGACTGCCGGCGCCGGAGAGGAAAAGCAGGAGGCGACGGCGAAGCACGAGAAGCACGAGGCCAAGGCAGAGGCTCCGCCTCCGCCAATGCCAACAAGACCGGCCAAGCAGCTCTCGCAGACAGACCTCACGATCGCCCAGCTTGTGGACGTGTTCCCGCATCTGGACCTCAAGTACATCAAGATGGCGCTCATTGCGTCCGAGGGCCGCTTGGAGCCTGCTTCCAACGCCTTGTTGTTCCTGTCGGACCCCAGCTCGGGCATCGAGATCCCGCAACCACACGCAGGAGCGTCTCTGGCGGCGCCGGCGGCCGCCGGCAACCCTTCGGGTCTCGAGGAGTCGGACGAGGCGCTGGCCAGACGCTTGGCAAGGGCGTACGAGAGAGGCTCGAGACGCACGTCTGTTTCCACCGCCAGGAGGGGCAAGGCCAGACCGCAGGACTTGGGTGCCGACGGCAGCCGTGTTCGTAGAACCCCTAGCATGAACGAGCACCGCGTCTACAACAACTTTGTCGGCGACGACAACGAAGACTACGGCGCCGAGGAGGACCTGTATGAGACGCTCACGAAGAACGTCAACGACGCCAAGCAGGTGGTGGGCGGCTGGTTCGGAAACGTGGCCAAGAAGATCCAGGAGTCCATGGACCAGTCTCCGGATGGCCAGACGCAGGCGCAGAGGCAGGGCAAACAGGCGCCCCCTGTTCCAAATAGGAGACACAGTCCTGGCCCGCAGCACGGCTCAGAAACCTACTCGAGAAGCCCATACCAGCAGCCGCAGTCTATCCAGCGGGGATACTACTCGCAGAAGAACGAGTACGTGGTCAATACCGGAGACGACGACAACGACGACGATGCACCAAAGCTACCTGCCCGCGGCAAGGGCCAGGCGCACTTGTACCCGGCCTTGGGTGGCGGCGAGGCCCCAGTCCACATAGAAATGACCGATGCCTCCGCAGACTTAGCAGACTCCCCTAAGCCAATAGAAAAGGACGACCTGTATACCACGAACAGTGCCAAAATTACAATGAACAAGAAATCCGAACCCACCACCGCCACAAGTGCAGCCCACTCCACCGCCGCAGCCAATTCCAAGTCAGCGGCAACGCCTGCCTCTCCCAAAAGCAAAACATGGACGCCTTTGAAATCCGTCGACCCAGAGCCCTCTAGTGACGCGTTTTTGGTCGACGATAGTGAAGATGATGATGATAAATGATGGTTTTCCCCACTACACTGATTTTTTTCTCTGCTTTTTGGTCCTAGTTTGTCAGCTCCTTGTGTCCCTTTTTTCTTTCACTTTTTGACTGCTTTCGACTTTTTCGACTTCTTTCTTCTAATTTCAGTTCAAAAAAAAATTTCTTTTAACAAGAAAGCGAATAGCTCTTTGCCTCCTTTTTGTTGCTCAAAGAAAAGAAAGATAAACCTATCGTTTACAAAGATAAACTTAAACTATATCTTTTACACTCTACCAAAATAATTCCCTGCTTAAAGTCTCTTATTCTCTAGAAATCCGGTCTCCGTGAAATCTCCTTCCCAGAGAATGGTTCTCAGAACTTTATTGAGAACTTCAACTTGAAACGCCCCGTACGGAAACCACTCACCATCAACGCTTATGTAACACTCCCTGTCAGCCTTCGGTATCAGTCTAAAAGCCTCGACTTTACTATGATCAACGCAATCCTCCCAAACATGAGTACCCTTTTCCAACGAAAGCAATGCCCCCGCTGTCGGTATAATCCTCGATCTCGAATCGAAAACAACTAAATCAATAGCCCCATCGGATGGCATTGCAGCAGGAAAAAAGTTGGTCGTTGCTGCAATATATGGCATCTTGCCTGCGTAGAAAATCCTCATGTTATTTGTAGTGCCCTTGTCGTAAATTTCCCAATCATCAGGTAAAGTACTAAAATCCTTCGACTCTTTGAAAAATGATTGGTACTTTAGCTCAAAATCATCATCGCTTAGTTCCTTAAGGTCTGAACCAGCAGCTGAAAAAGCCGATGACGATTTAGAGTATCTTTCGGTACTCACATTAACCGAGTCTTTATAACCTCCTCTCTCGATAGTTCCACGGCGACTTCTAGATTCAGGAGTCCCTTTAGTTTGAGATTCGTTCATATAATAGTTCGAGACTTCTTCTTTATTCTTACATTTCCATTTCACTGCCAAATCGCATGGGTATTTGTGCCCGGCTAAAACTTCATATGCAACACCTAAATCAAACCTAATACTTCCAATAGAGCGCATCCATTCGGTACCAATATCAGCCTGGGCAATTGCGCCAAAAGTTTGTGATAAAAAGGAAACAATAACTTCGTCAGAAGACTCCTTACCAACTGCCATCAAATCACATTGGGATGGTCTGCCTTTCAGAATCCTCAAAGCAGCCAATGATGCAGATGTAGCACCAAGACATGATAAAGACATGGCATTTCCAGAACCGCCAGGAGTTTGAACAACGTTGATTTTGGAAAAAGCTTCAGCACGATCTTCACGTTGGAAAAACCCATTAATCACCTCGTATGGTATTCCATCACCAGAAGCACATAAAATCGTGTCATATTTCTGAATATTTATAGATTTTGCAATATCGATAGCATGGCCTTTGTACTCGGTATACTGAACTTCAAGATTACAGTGAGCTGCTGACAAAATTGGCTGGACTTCCTCCTTAAAAATTTTAGTAGCTTCACTTGTACCACTGTGAGGGTTGATCAAAACAAAAATCGATTGTTGTCTAAATCCGTTCAAACTAAACTGAGAGTGTGTATATGAGCATCTTATTATAAAATCTGTTAAGCTGATGTTCTCATCCCCTAAGACACTCGCATCTTCCAGTTCAATGGTCAGAATTTGAGACATGGGATACACTTTCCTCTTGGCATCTTCGTAAGGTAATTTAAACTCACCAACTTTGTTCGGAATTTGGATTGGTATTTCATCAAAAATTGGATACACGTATGTTACCTCTACTTCATTGGGTTTACCTGAACTAGTCCCTTCAACCCACAAGATATTCCTAAAAGGTATAAGTGAGTTGACCTGCCTCGACTCATTAAACGAAGACGTTGCTGTTGAAACAGGCAGGCAGCAGGCTAGGGGATTGTCCAATTGAGGCGTAGTAGTTACCATCAGAGGTTGGCCAGAAAGGACTAGCCTCTTCCCCTCCAGGTCAATAGTTGCCTTCATATGACGTGATTCTCTATAGCAAAGACTGGACTTGGTAGTAGTGAGAAAGGCTATTTGTGGCCAATGGAAGCAGTTCTGTTAAGAAGTTTTAACTTCCTTTTTACCTAAGAATAATATCACACACGTACCCTCCACATCGTTGGGGGAGGGAGAAATCTAACGAAAAAATAACAAAAAATAAACGTCAGCTACAGGATTCGAACCTGTGCGGGCGGAGCCCAAAAGATTTCAAGTCTTTCTCCTTAACCACTCGGACAAACTGACCAGTTTTACCAATTTTGTTTCTGACTGTAATAAAGAGCCGCTTTATGTCACAAGCTGCTCCTAGCTATGGCTGTGAAATTTCCCATCATTTTTCTATTAACTACCTTATTTGGAAGTTTGAAAATGACGTTTTTCCAGTTTTTAAAAGCTATAAGTGAGTTCCAGTTATTCAATTATTAAAAATATTTTATTGAACAATTCAATCTTTATGTTGAGATAAGATGCCGAAGTCAATATCAATAAATTAGAGAAAGAGGCTTATTAAAGACAAGGTGTTGAGATAAGATGCCGAAGCCAATCATGATCGAGTGATAAGAGATAAGAGTCTTATCATGATAAGGCATCTTAAGTAATCTAAAACTGGAAAGTTAGCCGCCATGATAAATGAATAATGGCAAGTTTAACCGAAGGTGTAAGTGTATAAATACAAGAGGTTTGTCCCTTGTATTTATGTTTGAGAATATTAGTTTGTAGGCTAGTTATATTAGTTATAAATTAATAAGCAACAAACATAAGAAAAAGTGAACATATACAATGGATATTCATAATAGAATAGCTAGATTACAACAGGTTATGAGCCAATTCGCTCTCACTTGCCCTAGAGATGAGAGCTTGAAGCTTTCTTCGTCTATGAACTATCCTAAATGGAACAGTTACACTGGTATGCTTGTTGCCACTCAGGGTGCTGGCCTTGACGTTTATTTTACAACTGGAGATATGATGTTACCTCCAGCTGAACCGATAGACGACACTCTAGTTATGCAGCTCCAAGTTGCATTGAACAATGCAATTCAAGTTGTACTGTTGAATACTGTGTCGTCAAAAGTGTTGTTAAAGTATCAGTCTGATAATGCGTTCGGACTTGATTTACTTATGTTGATTAGACGTGATTACTCCCAGGTTACATCACGTCAATTGTATGCTATGGTTAATAAAGCTTGTGATGCTTCGGTCAGTAAGTCTGCCGGTGATGAAAGTGCTCTGTCCTTGTTCAGAGATATATGTGCTCACTTTAACCACTCCTCGGAAATTACCCAAGTGATGGGTTTGTTTTACTTAAGGATGTTTAAGTCCGACCAAGCGAATGCTCGAGTTTTAGATGTGTCAACTCCGAACATTACGTTGTCAGCGGTTGAGAACACTCTGCGGGATCTCGTTCCTACAACGCAGGGTTCAGTATTTGCAGCTACTTCCAAGAAACCTTATGTTAATAAGCAGAAGTGTTACCGATGCCAGAAACGAGGCCACGTTGCTAAGGATTGTCCAGCTGCTGCCCCGATTGCTGCTAGCAGTTCTAGTGGTAATACAGCAGCTCTTGTCAACTCCTCATCCAAATCTATCTCTGGTATCTCTTGGGCAGTCTTCAACTCAAGAGAAGACTCAGTTATGCCAAGTCGGAGCTACATTTTGGATTCTGGTGCTACACTCCACATTTCAAATGAGCGGTCTCATTTTGCTGAATTTACTCCGGCGTCTGGCTGCATTACTGGGATCTCATCCAATCCTCTGGTCGTTAAAGGTACTGGGACTATCCGCTTTGTGCACCCAGTTACCTCAAAAGTTCTTACTGTGTCCGATGTCTCCTTTGTCCCTG